GGGAAATTAATGAAGTTATAAATATTGATGAAGGGAAGTCCTCGATTTGAAAAAATATTTTTGTGTTGGATAGCCCATTTATCAAGGAAGGCTTCAAACCTTCACGCTACGACCAATAGGAGTAGTGGATCAATGAAAACTGTTGCGAAAATGGGAAAAATATCCAAACTGTTTTCACGCCTACGCCGCGGGTACAGCTAGTTGATTTATATTTTTGTTTGTCCACTCTATCAATGTTCATCTAACAACATGCACACAACTGCATCTTGATTGATGACCACATCCTAATGCCCATACAAACAAGTTAATGATATTTGCCCGCTAACGGAAATGTTCCACCACACCCAGTTTAATGATTTCAAAGGAAAACTGTCGTTAGGAAAGTCGATTATACTAATAGCTTTACATCGATGACTCATTGTGCAATATTGGGGATTGAAATCATCAGCATGCCAGTCCACCTACGCCCGTATTCACAAGCGATGCTTGCTTATGTGAAGCAGCAAATCGAACGCACAGCGTTGAATAGAGCTATGTGATTGGTTGTGTGTCCCTGTGCGTCCACGCGCACTGTGAGACGTCATAGTAATGTTTGTGAATACGGGCGTGTAGATATGCTACTTTTAGCATCGGCGATCGGCGATTTTGCGACTGTATTGATGCAGCATTGCGATTTGGCTACTTCATACGTTCGGACGCGGTATGGGAATCTATCATTTTAACGACTCTGTCGATGCAACATCGCTATTTGGTGACTTCATAATACGTTCGGACGCGGTATCAAAATCGCTCGATTTATCGACTACTAGCTTTCCGCCCGCGGCTTCGCCCGCGTGGAATTTTGTCTGTCACAGAAAAACTTTATCGCGCGCGTCCCTGTTTCAAAAACCGGGATAAAAACTATCCTATGTTCTTTCCCGGGACTCAAACTATCTCTATGCCAAATTTCATCAAAATCGGTTGCGAGGTTTAAGCGGGAAAGCGTAACAGACAGACAGACAGACAGACAGAGTTACTTTCGCATTTATAATATTAGTTGGGATATCGATGCAGCATCGCGATTTTGCGACTTCATGTGTTCGGGATCGCGCAGTTTAGTGACTGCTGTCGCTGTGGAGCATCCGAAAAGCGACTGAATCGCCGCCTTTGTCATCTTTAGGTGTGCAGTGTGGAATGAGTGGTCGTTGCATTCAGCTTCTAAAAAGTAGCTAAATCGGCGATCGGCGATGCTAAAAGAAGCATGTGTGTGTGCTGTGGCTCTTATGGATGTAGACTATTACCAAATATGTAGTCATACACACAACGAAATCCTTTAAACTTTTGTTTGGAAGTCGATCGTTAACTTCCAACTCCTCCCAAGTTCAGTCATTTGGAAGTTTTACCTGAAAAGTTTTCCGGGATTTAGAAAATTGGTCCGGGATTTGGAAAATTTTATAGATTTAAATGTGTTTGTCCAAAATTGTACTGTATACTTTATACCACACAATAGATACGAGTATAAACATTTACTACGAGTAGCTAGGTATATTTTATTGACAATAACCATTATTGTATTCTACTGTGGTATCCTATAACTTCGTATTAGATTTCAAGAGATACCGAATGTAATCAATATAGCTAACCCAAATTGATAGGATTAGAAATCTGATATAGTATTGGTCCGTTCTGATCCACCTGAAATAAATTTTATCTGATATTTTTGGAATTATCCCACTGCCGAATAACCTAGCTTTTGCGGCACTTATTTCGCCGCTTTTCTGGAATTAATGTTTATTATCGCGCACTTAAAACAGTCCCAAAGTCTAAGAGCTAAAGCACACGATCCGTTGCGGCGGCGGTGCGACGCCGGAGCGGTGTCGCTGCGTCGTCTTAGGCCCACAACAGACGGTGAAACGAAACTTACTTTTGAGTTGCATCTAAGTTTCTGCCATAGCGTCCGTTGAGAGACCACACATGACGCGACCAGTTTCAAAGTGTTCAGTTTCATTCATCAGAATCATCAGAAAGTTGCAGTTTCGTTGCAGTTGCGTTTCACCGTCTGTTCTGGGCCTTACATAGGCCATTATCACACTGCGCCGCGCTCCGCCGCGGTCCGCGTGATTTCATATAAAAAATCCCGCGCGCAGACGCGTTATCAGTGTGTTGTGCCGCGCGTGTTTTCTTTACAAACCGAGGTACCTACTTGCATACAATGATTAAATCTGTCGTCCCGCGTACCGCGGCGGAGCGCGGCGCAGTGTGATAATCGCCATAGAGATATCTGTGGCGGGCTCACGAGCGGTGGCGCCGCGACGCGCGATATTGTGAAACCTTTGCGGTGCGACGCATCGTGTGCTTTGGCTCTGTGACGCTTCGTTAGCAATAAGAAAGTCTTACCCCAGCAAAATGAAAACATAATACTTAGCTGTTGCTTAAAAGATTAACTCAAAAGACTTATTAGGGAAAAGGGACTACGAAGTGGTGGTGGAAACCACATTTATTAACCAGTAAGTAGTTCAGGCTATCTTTTCAGTTAAACAAAGACCTCTGAAGTGCCTATAACTTTAACCAACCGCTGCTTTTGGATAATAAGTACCTAAGTGGGAGAGTGCTAGTTAATAAAAAGCAAGAAACTCAGTCAACTTTCTCAGACAACTATGTCAGCTTCTTTTTCAAGGGTAAACATAAACAATTCTCTGGGAGAGATTATCTAACATTATTTCCGTACTTAAAGCGCTTCCAGTTAGCATCGATTGATTTTTTCTTAAAAACTTTAAAACTACAATTTGAACGAATTTTGCTATTAGTGAACCTGCTCACGATCGACTAATTATCTGCTATACTCTCAACACTCAAAAGCACAACATTTATGAAAAATAGAAGAGGCGTATGTAGCAACTACGAATACACTGTTTCACCTGTAAAAATAATTTTGACATGTTAAAACAAATTATTATTAAGCAATATTAGAATGTCCACCGATTTATTAATACTCGCGCCTCCAAAATTTTATTACACAGCCAAAATTACAGTTTGCTTAATAAAAAAGTCATAATATTTTTTACTGTCGCCATAAATGTAACAATGGTACAGGTAGCAGTCGTTATGTGCTATTTGGTATATAATACATATAGGTGTGTCTGTTTGTTCCTCATGTAAATTGTCGCTTCAGTTTTTATTGTTCAATAAAAACGTAAAGATCGGACGGCTATATTTATTTGTTGCTTATAATGTTTTCCAATAAAGAATAACGTTTATTGTTATTTCTTAGAACTGGCTCATAAAGGAAAAATCATTTTATATACTAAGAATAAATTATTTTTTCTTTTTTTCGTAGAATAATAAAGAAACGATTCAAAGCAATTTGGGGTTTTACTTAGTTTGTTTTAGCAGTTCATAACTCTGAAATTATTCATTTTATTTTTTGACTTATAGCACAGAATAATAATAAGTACCTACTACGTACAGAAGTTTTACTTCGCGAAGGAATTCTCAGCTCCGCCGCGTAAAAAACGTGTTTGGGATATTCACCCACGTACAGAAGTTTTACTCCGCAAAGGTATTTAAAAAAATGTATGCTCAATGTCATTAACAATATGGTGTAATTTAGGCTGTCTCAAGAGTCAAGCACCATTTTGTTGACAAATGTCAGTGATCGGCACTGCGCCGAAGCTATAGGGCTGACTTCGGTAAAATGATGTGACGTGAGGTGCCAAACTGCGGAAAATGGCGGAGGAAATACATGATTTAGCAGGAATTATCATGAATAATATTAACTACTTATTTACCTCTCAGTGTCTTGAGGCAACATAAAAAGGAACATTCTGTGTTTTTGTTATTATTTAGGAAGTTAAATACTGCACAGTATTTAGTACACCATTTTCTTTATTTTCTTCCATCATACACAAGAATACGCGTGCGTGAGTCAATGTTCGCTCGTATGTGAGGCCTTGTCGAATAGTATCCTGTAGGTGGGCCATCGTGCGTGTTTTGTTTTGGATGTAAACTCGCGGAGATGAACAGGCCTGGTACTACGTACAGAAGGTTTTCTTCGCGAAGGTACTTAAAAAAGATTATGCTCAATGTCGTGCCGATCACTGACGTTTGTCAACGAAATGGTGCTTGACTCTTGAGACAGGCTAAATTACACCATATTGTTAATGACATTGAGCATATATTTTTTTAAATACCTTCGCGAAGTAAAACTTCTTTACGTAGTACTTATTATTATTCTGTGGTAACTAGTACCTACTTATTAATTATTATTCTGTGTTAGTACTTAGATTTGTCAACTTAAGGAACCTATAAGCTTCACTTAATTTAGGCCAAGGTAATAGGTTAGAAACATCTAAATTGATCCTACTAAGGACGTATTATACCAACTTGTCGCTCTTCATTGGGTCCCAACGCAAACATTGGTTCTCTTAGTTTGTTTGCCGGTCTTTCAATATAGCGCAAATGAAATTCCAAACTCGATCTATTTCTAATACAGTCCACAGGAATAGATAGAAAGCAAAAAGTTCACTTCGTATTATTCTTTTGAGTTCATAGGTATAGCTATTTAAACTTTGGTGCTTCTATCGTATCTTTGAATTACACCTACCATACACACGTCTTTAGTTTCGTATTAACACTTGGTAGATCCACACAAACTGGTTTCGATTGACTCAGTAGATTGCTCTTCACGAACACTAAGGCGGAGTTGCACCATAAATATATTATAACCGATGTTTTTGTATGGAGTTTGACAGATTTTCGACATTTGTTAAAGTCAAAGTACCTAAGATGGTGCAACCCAGCCTAAGCATCAATATATTTAGTTTTAGTCTGAAACCTATACTTTCTTGAGGCAAAAACCCGCCTTCGTAAAAACATAGAGATATAGGAACTTCAAATAAATAAGCTGAAGGATGGATTTAAAAAAAAGACGTTCCTCAATAAAACTGATGATGAAGTTAACCTCTCGTTTTGCGAAAAGCGAGCTTGAATAAATAATCTTAAGGTTGTTATTCTTCCAACAGAGCCAGCCTCAACGCCGGTACCTCCATGACAGAAGCTGTGGAGTGGTACACCAACGCGAATGCTGCGCTCCTAAGCCATCTCACTAAGGAGATCAAGGATACTGACAGCAGCACCATTTGGAGGTATTATTACTGACTTAGATTAATAAAGCTAAAAAATAAAAATTGTTTATGCAAGTAGGCTTTTAAAAAGCACTTTTACACGACCCAGTGTATTAACCCTACCACTGCTTCAGGACAATAAATGGGCCAGTGCTGAGGAGAAGCAGCGTAAGAAACTCAGTCACTATTGTCAGCCTATTTTTCAAGGGTTTACAGACTTTAAAATAAACAGTTATAAATATTCATGCGAGCTAGGCACTGACAATATAGGTATTTCGACAATGGGCAGTCAATATAATAATCTATATTAACTTAAAAATGTGCTTTGTAAACTTTAAAATTGGGTTATTAACCCAAAGGTTAATTGAGACACTTACATTTTACGTGCCTACGTTTTGAACGTGATTTTGCTTTAATTTTGTAGAGAAAATTTAGTATAAAGCTGCTAAAATCTACAGTTAACAAAAAATCATTGTATTTTCGTGACAAATATTGTTTTAGTAGGTACCTACTCCTTTGTAAGGTCTTTGTTTACTGAAATGAAAGAAAAACTACGTATAAAATATTGCACGTGAATTAAGTCAACGTTTTATCGGTCACATTCAAATACAAACTTCAAAAGCTACGCTCTCTCCGTTCGCAGTCGATTAATCGAGTTATCTTTATTGAATTTCCCAGTTCCGCAGGGCTTATCTAGTTCCTATTCTCATAAAACAAATTAAAAAAAAACTCTTACAACTCATTTTATTTTTGCAAGTAGAGGTATTCCTCTAAGCGCACCTATGTTATGTTGCCCTGGTACTTTTTATTTATCTTAGTAGACATACACTTCAAAATCTTTATAGTAGGTAATAACAAATATAGGTGCGCTTTGAGGAATAGTTTAGGTGCGCTTCAGTAGGTGCGTCTCAAAATAGGTGCGCTTCGAGGAATACCTCTGAAAGTAGGCTTTTAAAAAGCACTTTTTATTAAATAGGGTGGGCCAAAAATTTTGCAAATATAAACGCGCGATTTTAGTCACTATGTAGCGCTTCACGGGACCACGTGCACTTTTTATGCCAAAGCAACAATTTGGCACACCCTATACATCAAATTCATTGATTTTGGGCGTTACAGAATAAGGTACCTGATACAAATAAGGCCTACCTAACTTTAAATGCTTATATTTCAATAAATATTAACGCCAGTCAACAAAAACAAGGTTAATTAACTTCTTCCATCCTTTAATTTTAGCAATATTACAAAAAATAACACAATTTTTAACTAAATCTATTCAAAATAAGCAAATTACGAAACCACTGATTTTGGCTTTAATAAATCACCTACACGGAATAAGGCCTATATGATTCAAATGCCTGTAGACCTTAAAATTGAGGTTGTATTAAACAAAATGCGGTCTTATAACATTAAACACGTCGATTTGTTTGCGTTATCAAAATTTTACATACCAAGTAAACAGAAATATACTGTATATCTCTAGATAAACTTATATTCCACTTATTAAGAATAATACATAACTTATAGATAAAATTAAATATTCATAGTAACAAAGTAATGATTTCTTACTTAAATTATAAAAAAAAATGACAAAAACAAACAATATTATTTTTTTGTATAGGGCTTATTAAAACACCGTGTTCGAATAAGGCCTACACATAAAACCTTTTAATTAAATCAGTTTTGGAACATCATTTAGTCTTGAATTTTTGTAAACAAAATGAGATCTCAATTTTTGTTAGAACCAAGGCATAAAAAGGCTTTTGAATCATCTTTACGAACTCCTACACAATCTTCGTGATACCACCAAAAGCAGTCCTTTATGGTAGCATATCTGCTACATTGTCTTCGAAACAGGCATGATAATACCAGCTTTTATTCTCCTTTCCTTTAGAATTATACGTACGGCTTTTTTTTCTTATTTTTTATTGGTTTTGTATTTTGTTTCTTTTTTTTTACAGGTTTAGTAATTTTTTTCGACTCTGTTTTCTTTTTCTTTCTGTGCTGTTAGTAACATTTTTATTAAATAAATATTTAGTTACTCTTTGACTCATTTAGTTTAATGAATTTGTCCGTAATCAAGTGTTGACATAAGTATCTAATATGGCCTATCATGCTGAAATAAGGCCTAGGCCTTATTAGATATCTCGCTCTTGTTGTCTTTAAAAAATTACAAATAATGCATCTATAGCCAGTAGTACAAATGAAGGTAATTATTAGCTAGTAAGAAATATTTAGAAACGATTACTAAGAAAAGCTTAATCTAAAACAGCGTCATTTTACCGAAAATTTAAGATTAAATCGCCAGATTTTTATAAGAGAGCACGAAATCACCCACCACCTTAGAAGAACTAGTGCCAATTGGTGCTGGGATCGTGGATCTGGACGCTCTTTCACTCTACCAGGTTGTAGGGCACATGAGTACGTGTCCTTGAAGTATTATCCCGGTTGGATTTATTTATCTATGTTTTCTGATGTATAGGCCTTATTAGAACGTAGGCCTTATTTGTATCAAGTACCTTAGTTGAGAAAAGTTATAGCATGATCCTTCAACATCCGATATTTCCAAGGCTTAGTATTGCTAGTTCTTCCAAGTTAATAGATGTTCTGAACTTGTAATTACTTTTGGTGCTGACTGTACAGGGCTTCAGACATGGTCACGTTTCTAGATAATTTAGTTTTGAGCCAATATTGATCAATTTGACCAAACTTTGTTAGAGGAATATTCGTTATTCTTTATTACAAAATCTTTTTAAAACTTTATATCGAGTAAAATCATACATTTAGTTTTAAATTAGACCAAATAACATTTTAATTATGCAAGGAATGACAAAAATGTATTTTACATACATTGCACTATTGTATTACATGGGGATTCTGGATGAATCTCGATTCCATCTTCAGCTTAATCATCACTTTCCATCAGGGAAATTAACATGTTAATAAAGAGATTCATAATAGAACTTCTTCGTTGTGTTTTTTTAATCGTTTTAATCAACGTCTACTTTATAGAGTTCCGAATGTTTTTTTAAATACGTTCAACAGTTTTTGAAACCTTTTTAGCCGACTGCGCCAGAAGGCGGGTTATGGTATTGTATCCATAGTTCAGATGATAAACATCAAAACAAACCTATATCACAGCCTGATATAAAAGTTATTTGTGGATAAACAACATTCCGTGTCATATAAAAGTTATACGATCAGTGATAAGGTAAAGATAATAAATACTTTATTATTCAATCAGGAAGCTTCTACCAAGGCGGAGCTTTATGTAGCTTGAAAGCTTTGGATCTAGATGACAATAAATCTAGCATAGCGTAGAGAGCTTAAAAGATTAGATTTTACGCTTATTTTTCCTTCTTATTTCTCTTAGTTATTTTTCAACAAATATTTTTAAAACTGTTACATAGTTCATTTAATAGTATTTTTAATCCTATTGAGCATTGTCCAGACACTATTGTTCTAAGATAAATAAAAATTTTGTTCAAGTAAATTGTATTTTTTATCGTCATTAAATTTTGTTTCGTTTCACCAAAAAAAAATGTATATCAAACGTTTGCTTTTATTCAAATATTAGGTATAGAGTAACTAACCCTAAATAAGTACCTATTAAGAAAACTAATCACAAGAAGCCACGTTTGCCCTCGATTTCTCTTCAAATGCAATCAACTATAGTTCTGTAGCTTTAACAATCCAAAGACAAAGCATTTTAATTTCTTTCCGATATCTAAAGACTAATATCAAAGTGCAAACAAGATCCGTGACGTCACAAGTCATCTGAAGGAACTGGGGCGCAGTAATAACCGCTTATTAACTGACGGAGAGTTAATTAGAGATCGTGGTTTAACCGCAGGTTTAGTTTAGCAGATCGGTGAAGATGTCTTACGCCCGTATTCACAAACGATGCTTGCTTAAGGCTTGGTATTTCTGCTAAAGTAGGTATTTCGCGCTGTCAAAATCTGCGCGCGCAATACTTCGCCGAAGACAGCGCGCCAAAGAGCTCTCGCGGCTACACAGTATAGAAATACGCAGTTGGTTAGGTTAGGTTGACTTCCTTCCGTTCAAGCGTCACACTCACAGCACTTTCTAATACAAATCATATCCAAGTGATACAAATTAAAACAACTTTCAAAATTTTTGGGAATAATATTCGGGAATAAATATATTATATTTTAGAATCGAATAAAATTAAATATAGAATATAACTGCCAAAGTAAACACGGTTCAAAGAGGCGTGGCGTCACCCGTCCTTGCGGAAGTTCCGCGCCGGCTAAAAGAATTTCAAGATTACGTCACCCGACCTATCGGTAGATCCTCGGGAGCTTGAGCGATTGGAAAAACATTTTATGATCAGTTACTCGTAGTAGCAATTATTTAGAGCTTGGATAATAAATTATAGTTGTTGCAATTCACGAAACTTTGCGAGATGGTTAATTACATTAATCAGTACACGCATCAATTTTGTTCAGTCTTTCTGTTTATTAATAAATAAAAATGTCATACTAAAATTGCATACATATTTGTTTGTATTGGTCTGGGTGTTTTCTTTCCATAATTTATGTATAACGTATGTACGGGGCTCTGTATCGAAAATCACTATGAGCAATGAGCATCACACACGGTTTTTAAATGTTGCAAAATTTTTATAAATGTTGTGCTTTAGAGAGTCGAGAGTATAGCAGATAATTAGTCCATCGTGAGCAAAAATTTGTCCACTAATAGCAAAATTCGTTCAAATTATAGTTTTAAAGTTATTAGGATAAAACAGATTTTGCTGGGGTAACGTTTCAAACATTACCCTGGCAAAATTTTTTTTTAAAGTCGTTCTATCCCGGAACCAAATACATGGATAGATAGCTCTTGTTGCGTAGTAATTTGTCCACGAATAGCAAAATTTGTTCGTGTTCCGGTTCTCAAGTTATTTAGAATTTTGCTGGGGTAATGTTTTGTGATGTCCCAGATCTCGTAAATGGCTCAACGCAGAAATTTGAAAAAAATACCAATGATAAACCTTGATATGTCCAAATTAGTTCAAACATTAGTCATTGATTTGAATGATAAACACCAGTGTAATTAAAAGATTTCGAAAATCAGATAAAACGGATTTGTGAGTAAACCAGTACTCTTACAATCGAATAAAAAGGTGTAGCATGTACCCCTGGTACACCTTTATAACCACAGTAAATATAAATGATGTGGCTTTGCGCAAAAGAGAGATTTCAATAAATCTAATCTTAACGATCAGAGGTGAGAGTGCTTTTTAAAAGTAATGTACGGCACCAGCAAATATCGATTTATTACATAACCGAAACCAATAATTGCACAAATCAAATTAACGTAATAAAGAAATATGCCTATGACAGAAATAATGATCTAGGTCACAAATATCACAGTCCCTGAACCGAGAGAACGTCCGTCACAGCCAAGCGCTCGAGCAAAGTGTCGCGGTGCGCCGGCGGCCAGTTTCTCGTGCCTTCCCACTCTAACACAGAATCGAACGATATGACGTCACGCTGACGTAGCGGGTGTTATTTCTAAGACTAATTTATTTTAACAGTCTTACTTTCGTGGCCGAATACGCGATTCCCTTATAACAAGGGAACATGGCATACAATGGACAAATTAAAATGTTCCTTGAATAAGCTATCCTGTTAATTTCAGCTTTATACAGGGTGGCCAAAACAGTGAGGTCTAAAAGAAAAATTTAGATTCCTTACATCAAGGTGTACCTAAATCACCCCCATGTATATAATACGATTGTGCTTAGTTTAGGAGATAGAGTTAATTTTGTGATATTTTAAAATTAAACGACCTAGTAGGCTTTAAACATTTTTATCTTTTTTTTTGGGTTGACTTTTTTCGGATTTCTTTTTTTCGACAGATTTGTTATTAATTGCAGATGTTTGAAAAAAATAATCACCTTCCTATCTTTGATTCAAGATACAAAAGTTTTGCTAGAAACATTAAAATTATGCTTTTATCAGAATCCTATCAAATTTTCAACTTAAAAGTTTAAGTAAAAAAAAGAACTTCCATAGGTCCAAAATCATTATAAAAACTGCGCCGTTTCCTGAACATTCATAATAATACAAAAAAACATGTACTTAATGGGCCACTATTTCCTGTAATCGGTCCACTAAAATGGAAAGTCGGAGATTCCGTTACATGTTTTTGACTTTCTTAGAGTCTGATATTATTATACTGTGACTCATCAAAGTCATCATTGTCAAAAATATTGACAAATCGCGAACTGTCACGGCCAAAAAACTGACACGCGTCCGTCCTCCGTAAGCGCCACCGCGCGACTGATTGAGATTGTCCAAGCCGTCATGGACGATTTTTTCCACATTTTTTAACATAGTAACTAAATAAGACGCAATATAAAAATTTCATCCGTTAAAAGCCCTCAAGTTATTTCTGAACTTTAGTTTAGTAAAAGATTTAGAATCTCAAATCGCTTATTTTAAAAATAAAACCATAAATAGAAAACGAATAGAGGTAACTTTGGGAATTTATTCTATCGAGTCAACTTCATCAAATCGTGTTTCCATCCGTTAATAGCCCTAGAAAATATCCTCAACTATGCCCAATAAAAATCTTAGCCTTTAATTTTACTGTTTAGTACCTCAAAAATGAAAAATGAAAACCTCATTTTCGCCATTTTCTCTGCTACCCGGCCTTAAGTCAAGCAGCAAATCGAACGCACAGCGTGGAATAGAGCTCTGTGATTGGTTCGTGTGTGACCCTGTACCTCCACGCGCACTGTGAGACCTCATAGTAGTGTTTGTGAATACGGGCGTTAATGACATAGAGTAAGCGTTAATTTAGGAGTTGCATTGAATGGAAAATTCATGTACAAATGACCTGAATTCATGACCAAATCTAAAACTACATATGTATTTCACTCGACAAAAGTCATTTAAAATGGAATTTGTCAATAAACGAAACCTAAACAAAGTCTAATTGAAGATTTTACACGCTAAGGTTTGGTGTTTGTTTACGTCAAAATACCTCTAGTCCAAAAACAAATGAGCAAGATCCTAACGCCCGTATTCACAAACGATGCTTTTAAGTGAAGGAGCAAATCGAACTCACAGCGTTGAATAGAGCTCTGTGATTGGTTCGTGTGTCACCCTATGCGTCCACGCGGACTGTGAGACCTTATAGTAATGTTTGTGAATACGGGCGTTAAGTATGGACCTTTCCATAACTCGGTGAATGACGTATGGTCAGTCAAAGTAAATCCCTAAGTTTTATCACAGGTTTTATCTACGTATCATAATTATACAGGGCGACTTTGGAATCAGTATCCATAGTATCCAATGTTTTTAATAAGCTCTACAGAACAATTTAAAATATAACTTTAGCTTATTAATTATTTTTAATCGTGGTAGTTGTCGCAAAAAATATATTGAAAATCTAATGCTCCTTAATCTTAAGTTTTAATGGATAACGCTTATTTTCGCGCACCATTATGTCTATTAAGCTTTGCAGTTAACTGTGTGTACGTGTATTTTTCTATGAACGAAGTAAATTACATGTATTATCACTGTACCAATTTTGAAACCACGCGCAATTGGTAAAAATAATTAAATATAAAACAAACTTTTTTTTTACATAAATCCGTTTTTTACTGATTCCGAGTCGCTCCTTGGAAACTGATTGCAAAATAACCCTGTTTCTACATATTTATCGTGCTTCCGGCAGTCTGAAAGCAATACTTCAGTCAGCTACTGACTGAAATGATGGTAGCAATGACACATCGAGGTGTAAGTGATGTCATTACTCACATACTCTCTCAACGTACGTTCACACTTCACGATAGTGAATCATACTATCATTTTTGTCACGATATTAAGATCTATGTTTTTTCCTACAAAACAAAGATGGGTCACGGAGCTCATTGGTGACTCATGGGGGTCTAATTGATGATTCACGGTGCATTTCTATGCAGATTCCCGGTAGGCTGGTAGATTGGTCACGCCAATACGTTGTAACAGGTTGTAGACTCGCATTCTATAAACAGAGTTATGCAAATATAAACATTGCCACCTGATTTTATGAGGATTTGGGAATTCAGTGCGTTGAAAATTTGGTTCCATCTACTATTATCATTATCTATACTAATACTTAACATTAGTACCAATGAGGGTTTTCGCGAATGAAAAATCCGCCAGATGGCAATACGTAGACGCGAGGTCCAAATGCTGCATGATTGGTTATTTTTGACATGACATTGACAGATATGTCAAAATCCACCAATCATGCAGCATTTGGACCTCCCGTCTACGTATTGCCATCTGGCGGATTTTTCATTCGCGAAAACCCTCATTGTTACATTTAGTCCAAATAAAAACTTTTTCTATTCTAACCTAAATGTAGGTTACTGTCGCGACCCGCCTCCTTGGCCGCGCAACACTGGCCATCAAGAAAACGATTATTATTTTTCGAAGATAAATAATTTCGTTCCTCTTTTGTTTTTTTCTCGCTCACGACCCTCGAATTGTAACGCTTATTAAATTTTTTCCACGTCTCGATTTTTGTAAATATACCTAGGTAATATTTCATTTTTACCATAATTATAATTTATTGTGTAATTAATTAAGTATTGCTACAATTCATCTACCACGAAGCATGACACAACATTAAGACATCTAGTCTCTAAAAATACTTATTTGGCTCTAAAAATGCTCCTTTTTCGATTTGCATAACTTATTATCTTTCTGGTTAATTTAATAATAAGCATTAGTTTGTAAGTATGTAGTCTTTATCCGAGTCGCGTATTTATTTATTTAATTAATAATAATTTTTTTCTCAGATACTTGGTCGGTTTCAAAAACCTCCTGCGTAGCATCGAGTGTAAGGGCATAGCATCGGTACTTGGCATCAACTACTTCGCAAGAGGATATCTTCGGCCAAGAGCACACGAGAGGTTTTTTACAACTCTATATTTAAACACCAGAATCATCAGTAGTCAATAATAGGCTAGTTGCCTAAAAAATTTTTTTAGTCCGTAATGTTCAATATCAAAAAATATTGGACACATATATTTTTATTTGTCAATCTAACAAATAATTACATAGTTATGGTGCGTTGAAGTTGCGCACGACGTCACAACGTGCGGCATTTTTAAGCAAGCGTTGACGTCACGGGCCTCTTCTTATGAACTTTGGGGCGCTTTATCTCTTTAAATTTTCATTAGTTTGAAAAAGTGAAAAATACGTGTAGAGTATTTTTTGATAAGTTAACTGACGGACTAATTAAAACTCTTGCTTTTTGACCCAGGCAACATCCCCATTGTATTCGTTATTGTACCTACATCATCATCATCAGGTCATTAATTAAGCGCCTCTGTGGTCTAGTGGTAAGACCACCTGCTTCAGACGCAGAGGTCCCGGGTTCGATTCCCAGTGGGGGCAGATTTTCAGGGCCTAATTACTAGGGAGGGACTAGGTATTTGAGTTCTCCTTTCCAAAACTGGTTAAGGAATGGGGATGCCTGATGTTCAAATCTTTATACCTTAGACAACCTTCAAGACATCCACGGGAAGAACGGTAGCAGGACTATTATTGTTCTCTTCTAGATATCTAAACTATATAACAACTACAAAGATTCTTTAAGTTTGAGTTGCACCACCTAACTTTACAGTGACTATAACCAGTGTGTTGTGTATGGAGTTTGACAGATTTCTGACGTTTTTTAAAGTTAAAGTAAGATGGTGCAACCCGGCCTAAGATTTAGAAGTAAGTAGAGATAATGTTTGATAAATTACAGGTACATAGCTCACATGGTACTAGGCAGAGACCTGTTAGATAACACCCTCAACTTAGTGCCATCCTTGATACCCTTGCACATGGACATCAAAGAAGATAGCCCGGAATATCAAGTGCTTGAGAAAAAGTAAGTGAATATAATTTTACTTAAGCAGAAATGTTCTCCAGTAGTGAGAGAATGCTTTGGAATGCGCAATTTTGGCAGGCCTGGGGTCTGACGACTCGCTGGGCTAGGATGCGCGCCGTGATAAAATCTTAACGATGATTTTAGACGATAAATGTATGCGCTTATCACGTAAAATTTATGATCGGATCCTAGGCCTACTAATGTAGATTGCGAAGCGAAGCACTTTGATGCAAGCAACGCAAGACTGATCTTTGTGGAAAGCTACAAGGGAGGAATTTGTCCAGCAGTGAACGTCTTTAAATACATAGAAAATAAGGAAACATTCTTATATAGATTCATATACGGATAAAAAATTTCTACTACCTATTTACCTTACCTATTTCACTTACACATGTCAACCAGCTTACAAAAGAGGAAAACGCTCTATAAATAGCATAATCTCATAAAATACTCTAATTGGAGTACCTTTTCTAGGAACCAACAGATCGTGGACAACCGTCACCAAGCCGGGAGTGTTCCTGATGCTATCGAATACTTCGACCAGACAGCTACTCTACTGGACAAACTAAGAGCAGTTCAGAAACAGTTGAGGCAGTATATCAAGTAAGTGGCTTTAATTAAGTCAGTCAGTCAGTCAGTTCAGCCAAATGACGTCCACTGCTGGACAAAGGCCTCCTCCAAGGTTTTCCACAATGAACGGTTCTGCGCTGTCCGCATCCAGGCTCTTCCCGCGACCTTCACCAGATCGTCGGTCCACCTAGTAGGAGGCCTGCCCACGCTACGTCTTCCAGCCCGTGGTCGCCACTCGAGAACTTTCTGCCCCAACGGCCATCGTCTCTACGAGTTACTTAAGTATTTCAGCACTATAACTTGATATTCATCATCAGGTCATTCCGTCAGCCACACCCGTATAATCAAACGATGCTTGCTTAAGTGAAGCAGCAACGCTATCGACGTCGAACGCTCAGCGTTGAATAGGCTTGGTGTTCGCATATTTCTCCCACAGTCATCTCACGAGGAAAGAAGTAGTTGTCTTAATACATAATTTAACATAAACTTAATTTTTAAATTCCCAACTACAATTTATGAAAGCAAAGACAATTTTATTTATCTCATACATGCATAAATTTTACCACAAACTAACTTAACTGAGAACTAACAGCTTTAACTTGAAGATGGATTAATTGGAGTTAGCAAATTCTCCAAAGTTACCTGGCACGAGCATCACATTCTGCTTGTATATTACCACGATATTAACATAAAAGGTACATGGTAGCTTGTCTATACCTAAACTCGTAAAACAATTTTCAAATGTTTCGTTTCATAAAGTTTTATCACCACATTAATCGAAAATTTTCAGGAGAGCCAAAAAATATGACCCCGAATCTTTTTGCTAACTCCAAGTTTGTCGTAAAACAGGCCTTATATTTGGCACTGCCACTTGCACTTTGCATTAAGGTAGAGGGTGCCCACTCACCACGCTGCACTGGCCAAGGACTTGGAGCTGGCCTAAATAATATTATCACAACCCAGAACATTATCCTAACGGCCGGTTCACACATGTCTCCGTTTTACTGTTCCGTTTTATCGTGTAAGTTTTTTTTTTCGACGTATGTATTACTGTATACAGAACACTGTGTCATGTGTGAAGTCGCTCATGCAACTACATACGCCATCGACGAAAAAAAAAACGTACACGAAAAAACGGAACAGTAAAACGGAGACATGTGTGAACCGGCCATAACGTCGCAGAACGAGGTGAGCCGACCCCAAATAATGGGAAATGGCTAGGACAAATTTTAATAAGATTTTGTTAACTCCAGGCCCACAGGGGCAGTACCTGGACTGTGAAAGTGTTAAGTGGTTCTACTGACCCTACATGTTCTGAAATATAGTTGCAAACAAGTTGGACCAAGCTACTAATTGGGAGGGACAGTCGATCAAACTAATTAACGAATCCAACGAGCCGGACGAAATAAACTTAAATCGGCTCAGCTATTTCATTGGTTTATTAGTTAAAGGTTTATTGGAGAACTTAATTGATTTCTCATGTTAATTTAGTGGATCCTCAAGGAATGATTCCACTTCAGTTAATTTATATCGAAGCAAAACTTTAAGGTAGGCATTTGTACTTGGGCTTTAGTCTTTAATAAAATAAAAAAATTCCTAAACTAATTAAGTCAAGTAAAAATATATTGTAAGGTGAATAAAAGTTAACTAGATTAACTTTATTACTTTTAATTTTTAGTTCTAACTGTAAATAAATAAACTAATGCCCGTTTTCACCATCAATCCCTAATTTTTAAGTGACCCCTTTGAAAACAAAATCCCTGTTATGTGTTACCACCATATGCACTTATAAATAAAATATGATCGTAAATTCCAGTTTTATACATTGTGGATATTTTAAATAGGTATAATTTAATAGTCAGAATAGATGAGTTGTTCTTAGAATACATACAGGCATCGCTATAAATATTATTAATTGAAAAAATACGTTTTTCCCTGGGGAAAATATAACACGTTTCCTCATTGTAGGCTCCAAGGCGAATGACATTTAAAATATTTACCTAGACGTGTTACGTTAGAATATTAAATTAAACAAATTATAAAGTCATTATGTTGACACGTTAATATGTAATTATTAAAGTCAATCAACACAGTATACACTCATATAGAATAGCTTTATAACATTTATGAACGACGCTACATTTACTAAGGGAAGAGAAGGGGAATTCTAGGGAGTTGAAATAGGCGAGGTTTTGCATCAAAAATGTGTAAATCTGTGCTGTAGATACACTCAGCATCGAATATTTCGTGACACCCAAAGTAGCCAAAAAGTTCGCAACACGTCTTTGTTACAGTTAGAATAAGGTTTTGTTGTCCACTTTTGTGGCCACTTTGGGTATCACGAACTATTTGACGCTGATTGTACGTTAAATTAATAGGACAAAGAAAATATTAAATACAACAGCTGTTATTAATAAATCTATCTTTAGTGTTGAGATGTTTGTTTTATGAGCGCGAAAAGGGTACAAGAAAATAAATACTGTGACGTAAGCCTTTCGATTTATCTATTTACTTATCTGCTGTATATTTTGCTTGTGTAAATAAGAAGACAAATGGTATATGATGCCAGAACATGTAACTAAACGTGGGAGGGAGCGTTTTGTGCAAATAAATGTTTGCCTTTCCACTTTGACATATCGTTTCACTTCCGTTTCATGTCTATTCTTTGTCGCAAATAGTTTGTTCGATTATTCATGCTACGGCTGCCCTCCTCCCATAAACCACTAGACAAAAACAAATAAACATACATAACAGTTTAATTAATCCCGAAATCGCTTCGCTCACTCTTTTTTGCATAATTACTTTGCTCCATGAAGCGATTTTGAAATTGATTAAATGGTCTAATGGTGGGTTCTATCTAGGTATTACTTTTCTATATTGGGATGAGACAGGTGCTGGGTGTGCAAGAAACGACATTATCATTGGTTGAAAAGGCATGCGTCGTTTACATACAAATTGTGTAGAGTAAACGGTGCTTTGTTAGCAAAAATCAGTTCTTTGTATTTCACGAATAAATCTGCCACCCTCAAAATTACGGAAATATAGTCAAATCCGTCATTTAAGTATAACGTAATTTTTAGATTTAACCCTTTAAGGCTCGGTATTTTGGGTTTGACGCAGACCGTTCCAATTCACAAAATGGTAGGTAACAGATTAAAGTTAGAGTCTACCATTTTTGTAACAATAGTTCAACTTGTACCAAGTTGAAAATGTTAAACAGCTTTAATCTGAGTTTTCAGGATATAAGTAAACAGTGTTGTTTTCTATACTCCACAGGAAAGGAGTGACAGACAGCTTGACAGAAGCCAGGCGGAGTGAGGCTGTGTGCGCAGGCATACTGATCCTAGTGTGCGTTGTGTCTCCCATCATCATCGCCCTGGTCACCAATGCCGTCAACACTATACAGGTGAAGCAAATTACGACTAGCATAATGTTTTAAAAGCACCTAGTTCTTACATCCATCACTACATCAAACTCTTTAATAAAGACCGTGTCAGATTGAGAACTCGTGATTTGAAGGGTTCGATCTCCGCCGGCTGCTGGTTTATTGTGGCGAAACCAGATTTAACACCAGCATTTACTTAAGTAACTGTAGGGGTTTAAGGAATTAAAAAAAATCTTTTTGTGATTACAATATTAATCTCTTCGAACACTTCACTCTCAACGCCTCCAGCTGGTCTAGGATGTGTACCTATTTCATTATCATTGTATAGTTTCATCATTTTTCGTCGATAAGCCCGTACATTTGTCGTTTATCGTCGATAATATTATATCGTGGCGCGCATCCTACTCCGACAAGTAAGCGTAACGCTTGTGTTAGGAGTTGGTATTTTTTTCCAGATCTATGAACTATTGTATTCTTCTCCAGGTATACGCCAGGAACCTCTCTGAGAAGGCCAGAGAGCTGGAACATGAGAAGGAGCTCAGCGACTCACTACTCTACCAGATGTTGCCGCCCAGTGTTGCGAAACAACTGAAGCAAACCCAACAGGTTGGTCAACATTTCATCTTTACAGGTTCCAAAGTACCTATTGGTAATATCATATTCAAGGAACCTAGTTTCTGAAATGAATTTAGACACTATTAAGAAATAATTTACTTTTATTGCCTGAACTAGCTTTTGCCCGCGGCTTCACCCGCGTGAAATTTAGTTTGTCACAGATCGTCATAAATTACAGCCTATATGTTATTCTGGGTTATAAACAATAATACTGTTAAGTTTCATCAAAATCCGTTGAGTAGTTTTTGCGTGAAAGAATAACAAACATCCAGACATCCAAACTTTCGCATTTATAATATTAGTAGGAAATAGGATAAAGTTTAATTTTTATTAACTAACTGCAAAATTGTGTGTTATGTTGCTTTAAAATAAATAAATAGTCAATACAGTTAAAGATAAGAAGAATACAGTTAAAGAAATCGTTACGATACGACACAGATTTCCTTTACCATACAAAGATATAGGATGAGTATTATGTAGAGTTTCGATTAACTAATAAACAATGATAATAAAATTAGTATTAATATTTAAATTTGAATTAATAGAACCGTTGGTGAATTCCGTTAAACTTTTCGAAGCAAACTATGGAAAAGTAAATAAAAAGTTATATGATGTTTCTAAGAGTATTCACTCAGAAATCAGTTGAATTTTGCTTAAATGCTAATCAGAACTTAGGTAAGTATGCTTGATAATCTCAAGCACGGCCTCAGGCTTGGGTTGGATTTATGTATTGAGCATTTGAGACCAACCGATAAAAAAAACCAAGACAAAGTCTATTATAGGTAGGTAACTAAAATTGTATCGAGTTTAGAGTTTTGTTTAGCCAACTTTGTTATAATAATTGGCTCGTATAGGGATAAAATAAGTAAGATTTCAATGGAAATAAAGGTGAGATTTTCTTGGAATGAATATTTAACTTAAGCAAAGGACCTACTTACTCGTATAAAGACCGCGCGTGCGATCGCGAGTGGAGTATCATCCATCACTCTTCAAAAACTTTGAAAACTCCATCGTAATAAGAAAACTTTGGATGATTTAAGTTTTTTTATTAGCTAATGGAAAATACAGCCAGCCACCACATTAAGTTTATTGTGAAATGGCACCATTTACTAGTAGATAAGATGCTACAAAGCTTGATGAAGGTTTCAAACTTTTAATATACCTATCACTGCGATTAGAGTAACTGCTATAATTTTCCACTTTACTATGAAAGTTTTTATAAAATTATTGCATTTAATATAATTAATAAAATGCTAATGAACCCGCAAAGTTCATTGGCAACCTCTTAGGCGTTTTGATTGATGTAATTAGTAAGCTAGTGTAAAAAATAATACTACCTTTTTCCCACGGCTTCGCCCGCATAAACTTTTAATTTCTTTTTCAGGTGCCAGCAGAATTCTTTGCATCTGTGACGGTGTACTTTAGCGACATTGTTGGATTTACAGCTATTGCTGCTGTTTCCACCCCTTATCAGGTAAATCATTAAAGAAATGGATTAAAAATAGTTCAGTCACTTTCAGGGACGAAAACGGTCAATTTTAAATAAATATAGCCTTCAATACAATGAAGTGGCACAAGTACTACAGGGTACAAATGGTACAATACAAGTATTCACGGTGAAATTATTGATCCCTAAAAATCTTCGATTATTTTACTTCCTCAAGTTTTATTTTCGTAACAAAATGTGCTTCTCTAAGGTTTTATCTATGTCTCTACCAAAAATCATTCAAATTGATGCCGTGGTTTTAACCGAACTGTGTATCTACCATGAGTTTACGTTAGGTGTGCTCGCTAGCGAGTACGTCAAAAATCTCTATGAAGATTTTGTTTCTTGAAAGTAGCCGCTAGTGGCGCTGCACGATATGTCATACAATTAAATGTCATTTTTTTACGCAGTCGCTAGCGAGCACACCTAACGTAAACTCATGGTAAGCACACTGAACACATACAGACTTACTTTCGTATACTATTGTTACGTATAATTTCAGGTGATAAGTTTCCTGAATTCAGTCTACAAGCTGTTCGACGAGAGAATCGAGTGCTACGATGTATACAAGATCGAAACGATCGGAGACTCTTACATGGTGGCATCGGGGCTGCCGGTCAGAAATGGTAAGACGATTATCACACTGCACCGCCCTCCGCCGCGGTCCGCGTGATTACATATAAAAAATCCCGCGCGCAGACGCGTTTTCAGTGTGTTGTGGCCGCGCGTGTTTTCTATACAAACTGAGGTACTTGCATACAATGATTAAATCTGTCGTCCCGCATACCGTGGCGGAGCGCGGTGCAGTGTGATAATCGCTTAAGTTTCATAACCATACATTTACTCTGCAGGCACCACAAAAACATAAAACATTACATTGATGATTTTGGCTAAAATGTCAACTAAGTACTGCGAGTTTTGCCAGCTTAACAACCTTGACCTAGATTCTTAGGACCTCAAGATTTGATAGGACTTGTATTTCCATCATATTTTTCAATGTTTGGAGGTATTATATTCCTACCTTTTATTGATTTCTGTCTCTTACAACTTCTGTGTAGCACTGTCACAACCGGACCCAACTTAGGAATTTAGATTTAGAGAAATGATCACGTTATATCGTCTAACAGTGGACTGCTGTAAGTTGATGATGGTGATAATTTGAGTTGATAAATTCTTGCGTATTCATTTTTGACCTTGATAATATAACTGCCGAAACTAAAGCTAGAGATATTGAGTTGCCGTAATAGGGATGATGACTGGGTAATGAAATCTAAATTCTATTTAGTCCGTCAGACAGATAATAAAAATTTTCGACACATTTTTTAATTTTTTTCATAATCGAATACCTAATTACAGTATTATAGTGAGTTGAAATGTCGCGTGACGTCACTTTTGAGTAAAAAATCTACTCAAGCGTGACGTAACGCGCCATTTCAACTCGATGTAGCACATATTATTTAATTATGAAAGAAAATAAAATATACGAGTCTAATATTTTCTAATTATCTGTCTGACAGACAAATCATTGAAATTTTGTCATCTAGCCTATTATATTTTTAATGTTCTATACCAGGCAACAAGCATGCTACAGAGATAGCCAGCATGGCGCTGGAGTTGCTTGAAGCGACCTCCATGTGCCGCCTGCCGCACCGACCCGATCAGGTATCTACTTAGGTAATACTATAAATGTTTATGTGTTTATGTTTACGCTTTATGTGTTTTTGCTACGCAGTTTTAACTTGTGTTTGTTTGCTTTGTATTGAAATCAAAATCTATGTTATTTCTAAGAAAGCTCACACATTGGGACTTTTTGTAGCAGTCGCAATGTAAAATGGCTTTTGGTGTCCCTCAGGGTATCATACTGGGTCCTATGTTAGCTTTTTTTGTTGTTTGAAATTTTAATGCACATTTTGTTAACGTGATTTGAAGTTATTATAAGTATTGATTATCGCCCACCCGTTATGTGCCCCTACACTCTCACCCGAGGGGTAAAGATGTGATCTTTAATACTGACTTGTCTAAAAGAGGCTTCATCACAGCCCTTAAGGCCTTGATCCGTTAGATGTACAGACACCACAACGATCCAAAAAAAAATTAGTACCTTTATTATACGAGTAAGATTGAAGAAGAAAAGTTATAGATAAGTATAGTTATAGATAAGTATAATATGTAAGTCTAGATATTAGCACGTCACTACCTTGTTTAATATACCACGCAATCTTGTATACCCATTCTTATGATACACCATACAAGAATGCATGGTAAATTCAGTGAACTGCTCCTGAATCGAATGTACCTACTACTACTATTTCTATTTAGGTATTTATATTAACCGGCAGACAGTGGTGACTGAGTTTGTTGCGGCGCTTCTTCTCAGCACTTGCCAAATGTTGGTCTCGAAGCGCTGGTAGGGTAAAAAGATTATGAGACATGTAGAGGCTCCTTAAGAGCAAAATGACGATTTGTAAGAACTATTTATTAGTCTAAACAAATAAAGAAATTTTGACTTTGACTTTGACTTTGACTATAACTTCAGTGAATTTCTAACAGTGCGTAAGTATTTTTTGAAGGTTTTAACATTTTGATGCCGTTTGATCAAGAAAGACCGCGTGCTTTTTCCGACCAATCTCCTGTAAAATGCATTTTGCCTTACGCACTGTTAGAAGTTCACTGACGATAAGTTATTCATGCTTCTTACCTTTCTCCAGACGCTGTGCATGAGGAGCGGCATCCACATGGGTCCGTGCGTGGCCGGCATCGTCGGCTCCAAGATGCCGCGGTACTGCCTCTTCGGAGACACCATCAACACTGCCAGCAGAATGGAGAGCACTGGAGAACGTAAGGTTTTCCGTTACTTTTCTATTCATCATCATCATTATCATCATCATCATCATCATTATCATCATCATCATCATCATTATCATCATCATCATCATCATCAGGTCATTTAGTTTCCACTACAAAAAGACAACCTCTATTTTACAAGATGTAAACGGAAAATTTGGCCCACACTCCCCTTTAAGTTTTTCTTCATTAGAGCGCTTTTACATTAGGGCGCGACAGAAGCGCGGCAGTGGCACGGAAAATTAGGCCCACACTCCCCTTAAGGTACTTTAATTTTCTTCATTAGAGCGCTTTCACATTAGGGCGTTAGAAGCGCAACAGAAGCGCGGCAGTGGCGTTTTAATGTGAAATGCATCCGCTGTCACATAATATGAAATTTTCGGCAGCGCGTCTGTCGCGCGTTTGTCGCGCTGCTAAATCGCCTAAATGATAAAGCATCTTCAAGAGTCAAGACCATAATCCATACTTATTTAATAAGCAAAAATAACTCTGTCTGTTACTTTTTCAGCTTTTCGGTGATTTAAGTAGGTAGTACCTTAAATCACTGAACCGATTTTAAGTTAGGTAGTAGCTATAGAAATTAGTTTAGGCCCAAGGAAGGGTTAAATAATTTATTATTTGCCCCGATTTTGTGAGGGAAACAAGCAATAAAGCATTTTCGCGGTTAACCTAACTTTAACGGGTCAAGCTACGGGAAAAAAACTAGGAGATGATTCATCTGGCGCCTCCTAATTGTTTTTTTATCTTTAGTTTTAATGTCAATTTCCTCAAGCAAATAGCAAAAAAGATGCCGCCTTGTAATAACCCGTGAACTTAGGCATTACACACACCACTGGAATTCCCACGATCGTCACACGCGAGCACGACACGTGCTATGCGCGCGCGCGTAGTAGTACAATTAGTAGGGATGCAACGATATATCGACAAAGTTGGCATCGATATATCGAACAAAAGCAGTTCAGGAATAATATTATAACGAGTAAAAAGTATTTATTAATGTAAACACAAGAATATGATCAATATTATTATCAATATCAATCAATATTATTTCAAAATGACAATCAAACAATGACTAAAATTATTCCTTATTTTATATTATTACGAGTAATGTACAGTCGACAGCACATCAAGTTATACATTTTTGTTGCAAAATAGCCCGTGTTACAACGAGATACGATGCCACTGTTTTTAGATTGATGTGCTGTCGTCCGTACATAAAAAATAACTAACCTGGGTTTGCTCGAACAGCATTTCCACCATTAAACACTAAACTTTAAAACACTTCACACACTTTTCTCGAGACGTCTACGCGTCTGTTCGCGGCGGAGGTTGGATAGCGACTGACTGTCCGGTGCTCGAATTATAGTTCCAAAATACTGAACTGTCCTATCGATGACATTGACAGCGGGGCGCCACCGTCAATACCGAATCGCTGGTTCCGATTTTTGCCATGTTGGAAACCATAAAGTTGAACGATGGTAGCGCCCCCCTGTCATTGAGTTTGGCGGGACAGTTCAGCGCGGGTCATCTATACAATAAAGTGAACGACTGAATAAGTAATATAACTTGAATGAATGAGTGAATCGACGAATCAAGTCGCCGGATCTGACGTCAGTCGATACCAAATAATTTTATTATAGAAGTTTTAATAAGTTATTATTTTTATTTAAATTATTTATTAATTATTTTGAATACAATCAATGAATACAATCAACTAAATGGTATTTCAAGAATTTCATTCAATGCATTAGTTTGACTATTTTTTTTTTCAAATTGGTTATGGTATTTATTTTTCTTCTATCAAAATTTCCATAAAATCTTAATTAATATTTGCTAACACCTATTTTAGAAATTTGTTGTGTAGGTATTTTATATTGTATATCTTTTTTTGCTTTACTAGACTGCATTTTGTTCTGATGCTTACATTCGTAATTTTTAAAGTTCATAGCGACCTCTGTCAGCATAATATTATTAAATAATATTTAATGAATATTTACGTTTTATCGATATTATAATAACTTTGCATCAGTCTCTACACGTGCTTCGCGCGTGCGCATAGTAAGCACGCGACTCGTCCACACAGAGCAATCAAATTAAAGAAATTAGATCTGAATAATGTGGGTATAAGGCTGAAAGTCCATTGACTCGATTCAAGATACAAATGTGAGTAAATAAGTATGGCGTCTGCGGTCGATTGAATTAGCACCTTGTGTCTTAAGGCATTGAGAGTTTAATGGTTTGAAGCGAACTGCTTTGCTCTGAGTCAGCGTACGCATAGCTTTTAAGTAAAGTAATACAAATTCATCAATTGATAAATTAGTAATTTGATAATTTTGACAAGATCAGTGAATCAATAATTAAATCTCTTTGGTGCATTCACTGTATAGGTTAAATTGATCTTTTAAATCAAAGCTTTTCCATTTTTCCAAGGTAGGTATTCCTCAAAGCGCTATCATTTTGAGGCTCATCTAACGCACCGAGGCGCACCTAAACTATCTAGCTCCTATCTATCACCTAAAGTGCGTTATATTGTAAGACGATTAAAAAGTACCAGGGCAACATAACATAGGTGCGCTTCAAGAAATAGTTCAGGTGCGCTTCATTAGGTGCGCCTCATAATGGGTGCGCTTCGAGGAATACCTCGTTTTCCCGCCTTCTAATAATGGGGTTCTTTTTGTAATAAATTAACATTTATACCTTCATACCTAGGTATGTGCAATTAAAAGCCATCAATTACCCAGTGGAAATTTAATGAATGCCATAATTATTATGGTTATCTTTTCCCCATGCTTAAACTAATAATAATTGTTGCCTATAAAGTTTTTAATTCTCATGAATGGACAATTTAAAAGCGGTCTTTCAAATGATGTAGGAAAATCATCAACTTAGAGCTTGTTCCCACGAAACAACTGCACTTACTATACATTTGCAGGATCCCATTAGTAGTATACGTCGTGTTTTAATATTAAAATTCACACGAACATCCCGTTTGCAGTGTCCCGCAAAAATCCGATCCGATCGAATTTGTAATTTGAGTTTCAAACACACATTATGTGTGTTCACATGACAGTCTAGTTTTGCGGGATCCTACTGCGGATTGCCGTGGGAACGAGCCCTTACACTGACCTAATGAAGTGCCTGGGAATAGGACCACGTTACTGACCCCTGGGTCAAACACATTGTGATAACCCGAAGATTCGCGCTGTCGCGATGTGTGTGGCCCAGGGGTTAGAACATAAAATTAGTTTTTTATTTCTAGCCATGAAGATCCAAATTTCAGAAGATGTGAAAAGAGCGCTCGATAGAACTGGACTCTTCGTGACCAGCCCTAGAGGAGTGGTGGATGTAAAGGTACTGTCTGATCTATGTAGTTATAATATAGGTACTATTTTGGAACAAACTGCACTAAATAATAATATGACATTTATGACAACTGGTCTAACTACTATGTAGTAGTTAGACCAGTTGGCTAGTAAAATGATTTACATAAATGGTGTTATCATCATCATCATCATCTCAGCCATGGACGTCCACTGCTGAACATAGGCCTCCCCCAATGCTTTCCACGTTGATCGATTGGTAGCGGCCTGCGTCCAGCGCTTCCCTGCTACCTTTACGATGTCGTCGTCGTCAAAATGGTGTTATATCGAATACTAAAACAGGCATATTTAGATTACCCTGCTGCCTTTGCTGCCTCCCTTTTTGCATCCATCTTTATTGTTGCTATCAAATGGGCAACATACTTATCGCTGGCATGGGCATTTAAGTCTAGTACTATAATAAACGTCACGGATCGTTCTTTTTCCAACTAAAATGTCCACTGTCTCGTTTTAAACCCACTCGTAACATAAACTTATAAGCTTGTGTCACGATTGGGTTCACTACAATAGTCCAGAGCCCCGATTACGGTAATTTTTAACGTCAACAATCCAGACACGCTTCTCGATTCTGCGATACGATTGGTCGTTCAACAGCGTACGTCAGCTGTTTTGACCAATCGTATCGCAGAATCAGAAACGCGTCTGGATTGTAGACGTTATAAAAGTTACCGTAATCGGGGCTCAGTGTGCTTACCATGAGTTTACGTTAGGTGTGCTCGCTAGCGAGTACGTCAAAAAAATCTATGAATATTTTAATTCTTGAAATTAGCCGCTAGGGGCGCTGTACAATCTGTCATACATTTATTGTATTTTTTACGAAGTCGCTAGCGAGCACACCTAGCGTAAACTCATGGTAAGCACACAGTTATCGGGTTATCGTTGCCTAAATACATAATTAAGTTGCCGTCTTTTTCCAGGGTAAAGGCGAGATGACTACCCACTGGCTGGAAGGCAGAACAGGGCCGTCCCCTGTCCGACCCACAAGCTCGGCTCTCGACTATACCCCCAGTTTCCTCGCCCGGATCCATTCCCAGCGGGGTCGGACTTCGCCCCGATACCAATCAGAGAAAGGACAACATTAAATGAATATATTAAGCGAAATCTATACTAATATTATAAATGCGAAAGTAACTCTGTCTATCTGTCTGTCTCTCTTTCACGCCTAAACCACTGAACCGATTTTGATGAAATTTGGCATAGAGATAGTTTGAGTCCCGAGAAAGGACATAGGATAGTTTTTACCCCGGTTTTTGAAACAGGGACGCACGCGATAAAGTTTTTCTGTGACAGACAAAATTCCAGGCGGGCGAAGCCGCGGGCGGAAAGCTAGTTTAAACATAATGCTAATTGAAATGTAATTTGAAAAGGCCTAAATCTGGACATGTCTGCATACGTCAGTTTTTGGATATCATCATCATTTCAGTCACTTTTTGCCCATAGGCCTCCACCAGCATCTGGCACCTGGCTAAAGGTTTTCTTTAGCTTATACAGAAAACACCTACCTACCTCTTGAAGGACGCCTCACTCTGCGCTTACAGCTCTTAATATAGTCTGGTCTGCGAGCACGTAGAATTTTGTCCAATGACCCCAAGCTACCCTTCGTATATATACGTGCTTATAGACCGGGCTTTACCATGCTAGCCGAACACGTAGTTTCAAAAGTTCCAAAATAATCTCAATTTATAAAGGACAATGTTCGTTCTCCATACATTGTTCGCCTAAAGAACCAACAATTTTGACATATTACTACCCGAAAGCGAAATAATACGATTCTGTGTGTAAGAACAATGATTCCTGATGGACACTTGCCATAAAATTAATGATTAAGACATGGACCTATAAAAAAAGGCGGACGGAACTCGCGCTACAACAAAACTGTGACGCATAATTTTGGCGTTTGTCTATTGTGTGAGTGAATTTAGGGATGTCATGTTAGCCAAAACATTTTACCCATTTATTTTAAGAAAAACATAGATCGGCAGATGTTACTAATTGGAAATGTAGACAGAATTATTCCGTGCCATTTTAAAAGGATGAAAGGTGAATGCGATGAGGAAGGCGCGAAATTTTCAATGTTCAAATTTTCTTACATTGTTTGCAAGTCAGTGTGTCAGGGTATGTAACTATGTACATAATGTTGATCAAAAATGATTCACGCAGTTACAAATTACGAATCTTGTGTACATTATAATCATAATCTTATGCATCATCAATATATTATTATTATTATCTCTGATAGATTTTTTTTAACATACAACCTGACACTGACTTAAAATTTGAATTTCGCAGTTCCACATTTTTGGGAAGGATCAAATTTGCCTATGAAAATATATCCCATTAAAACACAATNAAAATGTTTTAAGCGACATCAAGTATGAATTTCAAGTGCAGGCTGCCTGTTTTATTTTTATTTTATTTATTTATTAGGTATATACTACAGTTGACAATCGAGTTTTGTTAGTAGATATGTTACGGTCAAAGTGATAAATGTGAAAATTATGAATAATCGCCGAATATTATGAATAATTACCGCATGATTTGGTAAATGTGATTAATATGAGGTCATTTATGAGTGTATAAAACTAAATAGGCAGCTTAGGGGTGGCCCAAGGGCCACCCCCGTCGCACCTTAACCTATTTTTCACTTTAAATCAAAACATTATGTTATAGGCATCATGGAAAAGTAATATTATGCAAGAAACATTCCAAACTCATTATGCCAAATTATATTAATATATGATATCAAAACGTTCCAAAGTTTTGCTGTACACGAGCATGTACCTACACAAGATGTTGTTCTGTTTTATGAAATTTGTTAGTACTAAGGTTGAATTATTAAATAATCACTGTTATATGTGATTAATTTTTCACTTTTACCGCGACTGTCGGTAATTATTCATAATAACCGGTTATTATTAATAATTTTCAATTTATCACATTAACCGTAACAGATACTTAAGTACACATGGTTAGTAGTTAAGAGCTAGATTGACAACCTAATTGTATACACACAGCAGTTTAAGGCGACACCAAATAATAAATTTCAGTGTTTTTCTACAATTTATGTCGTATCAGACAAACTAGATTCGGACTAGACCTAAGTTTCAAGCGACAATAAAGTGTTCAGACCGCTACAAACCGAGCTCAAACAACGCAGAAAATTCTCGCAAATCCGAATATAACTCAATATCGCCCTAGATGTCGCTTAATGCAAATATAGCCCGTGAACCCTCGAATTGCACCACTAAGCGATACGCAACTAAATTAATTAAATATCGATCACATAATGGATTTTGTCCTGACCATGAATACGTGTGTTTTGTTTTGAAGTTTTTTTTTTTTTTTCATTTTTATTTAACTTTTTTGACAATGCATGCTTAGTTTGTGATTTTGGTTTTAATCACGTCACAGTGTTTTTAACTTATTATTCAGAAGCGTAAATTAGATGTTCCCTGTCTGCAACAATTAGTAACTACTACAAACAACTATTTAGCCCGGTCGCCGAGTACGTAGAATTTCGTCCAATGACCCATCTTTATCAACTATGCAACATGCGCGTGAGTGTGCGAGTGCGACAGCAATACAATTACGCGCGAGTGATAAGGATGGGTTTGTTACTTGAAATGTCAACCTAACGGAAGTAATAATAAGAGCGTATCGCTGACTTTAGCCCGCGAACTACATTGCCCGCGTGCAGTATATCCTTAAAAGTATAGTTAACGTTCGAAACTTTGTTGGATTATTGATAAATCTGTTTTAATATATTATCAAATGGTCAACAGATGTATAAAAATGGACGGAGCAATTATTCACATGACGTAATTACGTAAAAATAAGAACTATAACATAGTAAAGGAAAATCTATTGGATTACTGTGAAAAGCTATGTATTTGAACATATAAAAGCGTATTAAAAAANTCTACAGGGATCAATCCCTTTGGAACAATGGCAGCTGTGTTATTTACTTTATTTTATTTGCGTTTAGTAACATAAATGGTTTAGAGGATCAACAGGATTTGGATATCGATGCTTTGAAAAGTTATAGCTAAGGATACCATAATATGTATTATACGAGTATGGACGTCGTGTTTTGTTAGCCTAGACGCAGACCATCGATTTTTCGTCGGCCGATATTTTAGTAGGGCAGTTGATCAGTATGGGCATGTATGGAAGTGCGCACATTACGCCGATTCGATTTGGCTGATTCTTCATACAATTTAAAATCGGGCACAACTATCGGTCAACTAAAAATCGGTGGTCTGCGCCTAGTCTTAGCTCATAGATAGATGAACTAGGTATTCATAGTTGAAGGAAATTGCGAGTTAAGTACCTACGTTGTTTTTACAAAAATCGTTCAATATCTTCATGTGAGTTATTTTCATTGTATCTCTACATGTAGAGCAAGTAGCCTAAATTTTAAAAACTCATTGAATGTAAAAACTTTATGTAATATTATTAGGTAGGTACTTACTAATAATATATGGCATTGTTAAACTTAAGATATCAAAATATGTGTAACGAATAAATATTTTAGGTTATTAGGTACTAATTCATACTTTAATTAACTTATAAAGTAGGAAAACATTATAATCATTTGTTATTAATTGAATTTGATTATTGATTTTATTCTGGAAATTCCATTAAAAGATCAATAAACTTTTAATTTCTATGTATAAATATAAATTATCTAATTAGATTAAATAAAGCACTTGTTCAATATTTCGTGCCGTCGTTTATAATATTGAATTAAATGATATTTAAATTTTAATTAAGTTGTATGTAAATACCTAAATATTTACTTAGAATAAGGATCTATAATATATTATATATTTTTATCACTGTTACTATGAATTCAACTCTGTGAGTAGAAAATTGAAATGTTACTTATAAATATAATATTACAGGTGGTGTATGAATTTAATAAGTACGGTTATTTTATTGTAGTGAAAAGCCCAAATAAATGTAGGTGTTGATATTGTCAATTAATTAAATATTTTCAACGATAAGTTTTATTTATTTTTATGTCTGATGATACGGGATTGATTCAACAGTTAGGTACATCTAACAGCATAATAACTATCCCACCAAAAACATTCTGTAAAAAACTAGCCAAGTCTCGATGGAGCTGCTTGTTTATCTCTAAAAAGTAATGAAATCTAGACAAAGTCGTGCCAAGTCTATGGTTCTTTACTGCGATTTCTTTATTATTATAGTTAATGTTGTGTGACTTGGCCGTTGAACAATCTTTATTAAGATAATCAATAATCATGCATAAGTATTATTGAAATACGCAGCTTTATTAAGCCTACAATTCACTGGTTATTAAATCAACGTTTTCCAAGTGGCAATTTCCCATCGTCAATGGGTAGTGGTTCTGGCAACAGATTGGTGCAATGGTGTCATGGAGCACCTGGTTTTGTACCCTTCAACGGCCAAGTCACACAACATTAACTATAATAATAAAGAAATCGCAGTAAAGAACCATAGACTTGGCACGACTTTGTCTAGATTTCATTACTTTTTAGAGATAAACAAGCAGCTCCATCGAGACTTGGCTAGTTTTTTACAGAATGTTTTTGGTGGGATAGTTATTATGCTGTTAGATGTACCTAACTGTTGAATCAATCCCGTATCATCAGACATAAAAATAAATAAAACTTATCGTTGAAAATATTTAATTAATTGACAATATCAACACCTACATTTATTTGGGCTTTTCACTACAATAAAATAACCGTACTTATTAAATTCATACACCACCTGTAATATTATATTTATAAGTAACATTTCAATTTTCTACTCACAGAGTTGAATTCATAGTAACAGTGATAAAAATATATAATATATTATAGATCCTTATTCTAAGTAAATATTTAGGTATTTACATACAACTTAATTAAAATTTAAATATCATTTAATTCAATATTATAAACGACGGCACGAAATATTGAACAAGTGCTTTATTTAATCTAATTAGATAATTTATATTTATACATAGAAATTAAAAGTTTATTGATCTTTTAATGGAATTTCCAGAATAAAATCAATAATCAAATTCAATTAATAACAAATGATTATAATGTTTTCCTACTTTATAAGTTAATTAAAGTATGAATTAGTACCTAATAACCTAAAATATTTATTCGTTACACATATTTTGATATCTTAAGTTTAACAATGCCATATATTATTAGTAAGTACCTACCTAATAATATTACATAAAGTTTTTACATTCAATGAGTTTTTAAAATTTAGGCTACTTGCTCTACATGTAGAGATACAATGAAAATAACTCACATGAAGATATTGAACGATTTTTGTAAAAACAACGTAGGTACTTAACTCGCAATTTCCTTCAACTATGAATACCTAGTTCATCTATCTATGAGCTAAGACTAGGCGCAGACCACCGATTTTTAGTTGACCGATAGTTGTGCCCGATTTTAAATTGTATGAAGAATCAGCCAAATCGAATCGGCGTAATGTGCGCACTTCCATACATGCCCATACTGATCAACTGCCCTACTAAAATATCGGCCGACGAAAAATCGATGGTCTGCGTCTAGGCTAACAAAACACGACGTCCATACTCGTATAATACATATTATGGTATCCTTAGCTATAACTTTTCAAAGCATCGATATCCAAATCCTGTTGATCCTCTAAACCATTTATGTTACTAAACGCAAATAAAATAAAGTAAATAACACAGCTGCCATTGTTCCAAAGGGATTGATCCCTGTAGAAACAAAAAAAACGTTTATTTTTTTACTTTTAAAGTAGGTGAATGACCTTTTTGGTAAACTTGTCTTAAAATCCGTTTGAAAGTTCTTTTGTTATATGCCTGTTCATAAATCGTTGTTATTTTGAAAACAATAACAATAATGTTTGCCATTTTCTAAATTTTTAAACATTTATCGTTGTTTACATTAATGCTAAATCCGGACTTTCCAAATAGTAGTAGAAGTTACATCTTTTTTATTATTTATATAGATAACCATTTATCTAAATAAGTCAAGTATTTACTAAAATGTTAGATTAAATAATTAATAATATTATTTAAGATAGTTAAATTAATTTAGAGATTTTACCATTCAAGATTTCAGTCAAGTTGTACAGTCGCAAGCACATCAGTCTATACATTTTTGATTTAAAAACGCATCTATTAGACAGGCATAAGGTGCCAGTGTCTATAGACTAAGAGCTAGTGTATGCCAGACCTACGTCATTTTATAAAAGCTGAAACATTGTCAGCGTATGCTCCCAATATTATATGGGATAATAATGTTGGTGAATTATGAAATTTGGGTCATGGTGGCTTTGGGAGCTACCCTAAAAAAACTGTTAAGCAAAGACTTGGAACTGTCTGGCTGTTGGGGAAAATACTTCTAATTAATGCCCAAATATTATACATAAAAAATCTGATTTTATGGTATAACGTAAGTCTAACCTTTACGTTGACTTTTTCTGTATATTCAATAAACTGTAATTCTACTAAAGTTATACCATTAACGCTGACAAACTTTCAGCTTTTATAAAATGACGTAGGTCTGGCGTTCACTAGCTCTTACTCTACTAGATTGATATGCCATAGTCTGTGCAACTGATTTTTAACTAAGGCTGAGTTGCACCAACTTACTTTGACCGTAACTTTAACACTAACCGGTGCTTTTTGTATGGAGTTTGACAGATTTTTGACGTTTGTGAAAGTCAAAGTAAGATGTTGCAACCCAGCCTTAGGCTTCTTCAATCACTTACGTGCACAAATTACGCTTGCTTTTTCAATCACTTCCTTTTATACTAAACTTTATTTCATACTCTACCTTGTTTCACGATCACGGTAAATTGATCTTAATAACGACAAAGTTTCAAATATTATTATTAATACTGACTGAAACACGTCACATCTCAAGTTTGTGGACCCAAAGTTGACGAGGCGATATATTTTTTTATGTATTAGATAGTATTTTGCTTTTAGTAATTTGTGGTGCACACAATTTCTAATCTAATGGTCTACCAATGGGTTCACCATAATGTAGTCCAGCTGTCGGGGATCAAACTACCCTTGCAATCCGACATCCGATATCCTAATACCCGATATACTAGAGGTATTGGGCAAAGTAGATCCTTACTTCACAGGAGTTGCAGCGGTGGGAATGAGAGGTGGGAATTATTCCCATAGTCCCGTTCTATTGTGCAAATATCGCCTCTAAAGTCCTATACCAATCGGTTTTACAATTCCTGTTTATAATACAGGATACATAGATAAAGCATAACTATGAATAAATTAAAATCATGGCCTAATAAGTAACTCCAGGAGGTTCGCGTCATAGTCGTTAAGCCGCCGGCTGCACAGCGTCTGAGATTGGATGCCGCCTATTTTGTTGACCAACCAGAACGTTTCCATGGTGCCTTTGCCCTGAAATCATGTAAAATAACAATTGAACCTCGGCCCAAGAGACATACACAAGTAATATAATAGCCTTTTCAGTTTACAAACAAGCAGACACAAATAGTGCCATTTATTTTGTAATTAATTTATTTCAACTAACTAGGACTATACTCAATACTCAATCGTTTATTGCATAACCAAATTAGCACATTCACATTAGGTCTTACAATTTATGCAGTTATACAATGTGGACCCAGTTAGGGCACAGCAACTTTAGGAAGGAGACAGAACGACGATCTTAATAGTTTCAAAACAAATTAATGTACAAATTGAGATTTGTGGAAATGTCATTATTAAACGATTCAATAATTATAAAATAAAGATAGATAGAGACTAGGAAGTGAGTTCCCGCATTCATTTTGTATGAAAATGGATAAACTGTAACCGATTTCTTTACTTCCAGAAAAATAATAAACTTCACCCAAAAGTCGGATATTGTGTGTGTACTGTGTAGTGATTACTCAAACATAAATCTGGATTATGTAGGTACTCGTAATTGAAAGTTACTAACTTACCGATCCCGAACCCTAAGGCGCAGCGTGAGACGTCCACCTGCAAGGTGGACCGACGACATCGTAAAGATAGCAGGGAAACGCTGGAAGCAGGCTGCTACCAATCGATCAACGTGGAAAGCATTAGGGGAGGCCTATGTTCAGCAGTGGACGTTCTATGGCTGACATGATGATGATGATGATGATGATGATGAACTTACCGGTATATCTATAAGACCTCGAGACTCTACCTCGTAGTTTCCAATTTCGTCCAGGGCCTTTTTAGTCGACTGGGATATGTGGATTTTCATTGCTGAAAAGAAAGATTAATCTTTAGAACAACCATTGAAAACTAATTAATTCTACTGATTTTGATATTTGTTATAATATCTAATCTGCTAGAACCACAGTCACAGCAAAAGGGACCAAATAAGCAAACATCTGGCAAGAATGGGGGTTTTGTCTTTGGTGAATTAGAGAGAGTCATGCTCCGCTTCGTCGGCCGATAGTTTAGTCGGGCAGTTGATCAGTATGGGCATGTATGGAAGTGCGCACATTACACCGATTCGATTTGGCCGATTCTTCATTCATACAATTTAAAATCGGGTACAACTATCGGCCAACTAAAAGTTGATGGTCTGCGCCTAGGCTATTTGACCTGTTAATAATAAAGATACAAAGTAAGAAAATCCGTAGTATGTCTTAACATAATCAAGTGTGACATCACATTCCATTTGACACTGACACGAGTTCCTCCCCCACATCCGGCAAGTGAATCACGAAATATTTGGGCAGGATCAATAAATTTAAAACGGTACTAAACTTAAACTAGGCCCTTTTATATTTCATAACCAAACCGCAAGTGTCATCAGGGATGCCAGTTTACGAAATAAGCCCGTATTACACATCGAAGTTAAAAATAGACGATCAAAGTTACCGGTTACTGAGTAATTAATTTATGCAGAGCCTTACGAAGGAAGGGAATCCCGCTCGTTGCAACATGTTACGCGGCTAAGGGTATGGTCACACTGATGGGTGCTGTTACCAGTGTTAGCGATACCATTTTCAAGGTCTTTAATTTATTTGTGATTAGGTACAGTAGATTCTGGCTGATTAAAAAAGCTAAGGTTTTTTCTCTTTGCAGCTCCTTTGAGATTTAAGTTATGCTATAATTTCAGTTTTCAATTTTAAATTATCAGTGAAAACTCATAGGCTTGTATAAGACTTATTTTTATGCTACTTGTATCATAATAAAAGCTGTATGTTTTCCTAATAAAGAAAATACCTAAATAAATTAAATAAATAAATAAATGATGCTATTGATATTAATGATGATAAAAGATTTAGTTCAAAATATTGTCTGGTTTTAAAAGTATTTTCTCTAGTAATAAGTATAATTTTTAAGAGTCATCTGTTTTTTAGTCGCCATACACAAAAGCGTTTTGATTGGGGGTATGAAATTTTAAATTGTATATTATTGTGTAGTAGTGTCTTGGGATATCAAATTTTAAATTGTCTAGTAGTGTCCGATGCCTTATACTCGTTGTTCTTGTTGTTGTACAAGCGATGGCACATGCAGCCAAACTCTTTGGCATCTTATTACAGGTTCAATAGGTGCGATTTTTCAATAAAACTGTTAGACTGACGTGCTGTCGACTGTACCACAACTGTACTGTGCGACAACAGAATCGTAAAATGATTCAATATTGCAAAATCAGGATAATCCGTAATGCGGATTTGTATATTACCCTGGTTTGCGAACTTTTCTTGACGCACTGATGATATCATGGTACACGCATGCAGAATGCACAACCTGTAGTAACATTGGTTAATCGTGTTTTTTGTGGTTTTATAGAATCCTCTTTAGAAAGGCGTCGGTCATCTCCAGGAAATGAAGAAAATACTTTTTATCCTCTAATGGTTATCTCTGTGTCTGGAAACAATTTAGCTGTACTAGGAATTATAAGGACGAGGACGAATGAAACGTTTTGTGGTATTTTTTTATTATTTAGAAGAAAAATACAGTCAGTTGGAGGAGCCCGGTGCTCGGCCCATAAACAAGACAGTAGGAAATCCAATATGATTCTATAATGGACCCAAATCTAAGAAAAGTCTATTATTATGAATGCGTTGTTTATTATGATTATCTTTATATTAATATAAGCTGACTTTCAAATTAGTTTAATTAAAGCTTTGTTTCATTTAAGTTGTTGTTTTAAAAAGCCTCATAAATGTAACGAGCGTTAATTTTAACTATGGGAGAGACTATAATGGCAGAAAACATTGAAAGAGACTTGGTTATTTAGCTTATTTTACTTTTAATTGCCATGAATTCAGAATGGGGGAAATATGATTATCATAATCATCAACAGCCCTTTAACCTAGACGCAGACCACCGTCTTTTAGTTGGCCGATAGTTGAGTCGGGCTGTTAATCAGTATGGAGATGTATGAAAGTGCGCACATTACACCGATTTGGTATCGGCCGATTCTTTATACAAATTAGAATCGGGCCCAACATCGGCCAACTAAAAGTCAGTGGTCTGCGCCTAGGCTTATAGTCCACTGCTGGTTTTGCCTTAATCTCCACGCTTGGCAGAAATATTTGTTGGGGAAATAAGAAGAAATTAATTAAAGAAAATTAAGGTCAGTCAACTAATAACATGTCATGATGGGGTTAAACCCTAGCTATGCAGCTGGTTTTCAATAAAACCAGATGTTGGGTGTGTCCTAACAAACCCACTACTATCTTGGCCACAAAAACCGGGTAATCCCGGTTTTATTGAGACACGCGCCAAATGTCATAATTTAGTAGCTTTTGTAAGTAAAAAAAAACTTTATTTGGGAATTCTAAAGCGCCTTCATTAGGAGCGAATACGTGTTATGTAAAAATATTTTAGTGATGTATTTCCGTAACCTCAAAATTGAATATTTTATTGCATTGCATAATATTTATGAGGAGGGAACGACCGATACGTAAACGATAATTAAAAATTGGCCTTGAATTTGGCTACTGTTAGGTTAATTCCCCGCACGATATTAGAATTAATTTCGTGGGCAAGGACATGGTGTGTCGGAATGGCAGTTTTACTCGTAAATGTTTATTATTTGTAGGAATGCATTTACAGAAAAAGTACTTATTTATTATGATACTGATAGTACAAACTTTGCTTTAATTGGCTGACCAAATTAATGCGACCAGTATCATGAACTCTGTTGTTATCTATATCTATAAAAGCGAAATGTCACTGACTGACTCACTCACTCATCACGAAATCCCAAAAACTACAAGTCTCAAATTTTACATGGGGGTTATTTTTAGAACGTAGGTGCTCACTAAGACGGGATTTTGCAAAATTCAACTCCTAAGGGGGTAAAACGGGATCCACGCGTACGAAGTCGCGGGCGGCTGCTAGGGTCAAAAATATATAAAGACATTTGATATCATTTGATTTGAATATTCGATAACAACTCACGTTCTCCAGTGCTTTCCATCCGACTGGCAGTGTTGATGGTGTCTCCAAACAGGCAGTACCTCGGCATGGTGGTGCCCACGACCCCCGCGACGCAGGGGCCAGTATTGACCCCCGCCCGGATCCTGAGGGGATCCTCTGGCCTGTGGGGCACGTTGGCCCCCTCCAGACTCCGCATCAGGGATAGAGACATGTCAGCTATCTCTGAGGCGTGACGGTTATCTGTGGCAGAGAGAAACCGGACATAACTACACGGCAGCAGTGTGGACATAAACTACTTACAANCCGCTCGCCCCGGTGTAACGGCGGCCGGCAGCAGCGTGAGTCACGCACGCGCACAGTCACTGAGCGCGCGCACGGACCTTTGACGCGTGAGTAAACCGGACATAACTACACGGCAGCAGTGTGGACATAAACTACAATGGCAAACATATGCAAAAAATGTTCACAGAAAATAGTAAGAAGAGACTTCATTATATGTGCTAAGTGCCAAAACTATATACATTTGGACTGCACTAGTATAAGTCAAAAACTATTCTATCTAATGACATCTGAAAGTAGGAAAAAATGCCAGTGCGATGCCTGCAGCTATCAAAAAAATCCTCAACAAATTTCAACTGAACAGATAAATATCTCCACCGAAAACTCTTTTGAGGCTTTATCATCGGACGAAAATACAGACCCTGAAAGAAGCTTTATCACATTACGAAAACCAAGAAAACAGGCTTCTTTGCCTGATTTATCAACGTCGTATTTATCTACAAACGATGCCTCTGCGTTAAGCTTTAACAAAACTTCGCATAGCCTACCAGACGCGACAGCTGAAAGAAATGAAATCACTGATTTAAAGGACGAAATAAAAAGATTGCAAGCTGAATTAATAATAGCAAACAATGAAATTGACAACTTGAATACAACAAATATGGCACTAATTAGGAAAATTGAAGAACGAGACAAAATCATAAAACTATACAAGACTTTTGGTATAGATGATCTCAATAATAGCACTAGAAATAATATTTCTAATGCATCAACACCCATCACAAGACTCACCAAGCTAAATAAGAAGAAAAGCGTTAACAAAGACTGTTTAAAAAGCTCTTCAAATGGCAAACTTGAGGAACTGCCTGCGAAAACTCACCCAATCAGAACATCACCACACCCCATGAACATGACCACCAAATCCATTATATGCAAGAAGGATCCAAACAACCTCGACTCCAGAAAGAGTAAAATGTGCGTGATAAGTACTATTAACCACAGCAAACCCGCAAGAATAGTTAGAAGCCGTTTAGAACACCTGGATATGTGTCACTATCGTATGCCCGGAGCTAACATAAGTCAGGTACTCAATGGACTACAACAAAAACTAAAACATTTTACCTTAAACGATTTTTGTGTTATTATGTTAGGAGAAAAAGATTTTAATATTACAAAAAATTATGTACATTTAGTTAATGAAATTAGGCTAAAACTCTTAACTGTTCAGCAGACAAATATAATAATTTGCTTGCCAACATTCAAACTTAACTACCATTCAAATATGTTCAACATGCGAATTGAAAGATTCAATAGTCTTTTATATCAGGACAATTTAATTTATCAATACTGTTTTATTCTAGATTCTAACAAAAATATAGAATATACATTCGACATGTTCACAAGAAAATATGGTAAAATCAATAATAGGGGTATTAAAGTAATTGTAGATGACCTTTATGAACAAATTCTGACAATATCATATTATTATGATACTGCATTAAAAGATGACTGTAACTTAAGTGACATTTCTGACTGTTCAGCAACCACAGATCAGAAAATTATGGATAATATAAAAAATCATTCCTTTCGTGCCTAAACATTGTACAATTTTATGCCAAAACATCCAATGCCTTACTAATAAAATTGATTATCTAAATATATTTTTGAACGAATATGATGACATTGATATAATTATGCTAAGTGAACATTGGCTAAAACCTGTAAATTATCAATTATATACATTGGAGGGTTATGATTTACGAGCTAAATACTTGCGACAAAACCATATACACGGTGGAGTTGCAATATTTACACGCCATAATATTAAAACTAAAGAAAGATTAGACATACAAGCATTTACGGAAGAATTTGTCGTAGAATTATGTGCCATTGAATTAGTGGAATATAATTTTCTAATAATATCCATCTACCGCACAGATAGAGAGATAGAAAAGTTCTTTACACAAATACAGTCTTTGCTAAACCACATCACAAAACATTCAATTACAAAACAAATAATCATAGCTGGAGACATTAATATAGATATAACAAAAAACTCCCCTATCGCGTGCCGATTCATTAATATATTGAATTCGTTTGGTCTGAAATGTTTAATTGATACACCTACACGTGAAACACCAAATAGCTCAACGTGCATTGATCAGATTATAGTTAGTAGAAATGTAAGTATACAGTCAGAGGTTAAAAAATTCCAGTTATCAGATCATAACTCATTGATTGGAAAAATCTCTCTAGACCGCAAAATATGTGATAATAAAATTGGACACAAAATAAAAAAACGGATATTTAGCAATAATTACATGTCTCATTTCAAATCCGAATTGCAAACAATTCCTTGGCATAACTTATTAATTCCAAAAAATGATATTAATATAAATTATAATGTATTTCATACCAAAATAAAAGCATTATTAGACAAATACATACCGCACAAAACAATTATAATAAAAAGTACACGAAAAACAAAATGGATTACTAAAGGTATAAGAAAGAGTTGCTATCATAAGCGAATCCTACGCTACCTCTTAACTAAATTCGAAAACGAGTCTTTAAAAACATACTCAAAATTATATTGTAAAATACTAAAGAAAATTATATGTACAGAAAAAAGAAAATCGAATATACATAGAATAAAATCCTCTAAGAATAAATATAAAACAATGTGGAGTATGATCAACGAAAAATTAAAATTAAATAAACAAAAACACGAAAACATTACTTTGAATGTCAATAATAACATTACTACCTGCCCAACTGAGATTGCAAATATATTTAATACCTACTATAGATCTATAAACCCTGTTGACAATCAAACACACTACTACAGTGCAAACTCTTTGCTCAACTCATTTTACTTGGGCAGCGTATCTAATATAGAGGTAAAAAAAGCTATCCTAGGCTTAAAACGAAATAACACTTTTGGCCACGATGAGATTCCGGCTACGCTCCTAGTGCACTGTATTGACGAATTTGTAAAACCTCTAACATTGCTAATTAACCAATCTTATAGTGAGGGTAAATTTCCAGAATCTCTTAAACTAGCTGTTATCAAACCTATATTCAAAAAGGCCGATAAGTCAGATCCTTCAAATTACCGCCCCATCGCACTCCTTTCAGTAATATCAAAGTTATTTGAGAAAATTATATGCCAAAGAATGTATAAATTCTTAGAAAAAAATGACGTTTTCAACAAAAACCAACATGGATTTCGCAAGAACCGCTCGACGACTTCGGCTGTATTTGATATTGTTGTAGAAGTACTCGAAATTCTAAATAAAAATATGTGCGCCGTAGCAATTTTTATGGATTTGTCCAAAGCTTATGACAGGGTCCTTCACAGTGTACTCTTACAAAAGTTACAATCCGTCGGAATTCGTGGGGTAGCAAGAGAATGGCTCGCCTCATATTTAAGCCAAAGAAAGCAACTTGTTGAAGTGCAACATTATCACGAAACAACGCGCGTTATTAGTCAGGTTCGCTCTCCTGCAGAGCTAGTATCAGGGTCTATACCACAAGGAAGCGTGCTCGGATGTTTACTTTTCTTAATTTACATCAATAACCTTCCCTCTGCGGTACGCCACAAAGTGGTCCTATTTGCAGACGATGCAACACTCTTGGTCTCTTGCAGTTACGATAATTTGAGCAGTCTGAATAACACATTAACAGAAGCACTTCATGAAATTAAATCACATTTAAAAGATATAGGCTTAACACTAAATATTGAGAAAACCAAATTGATGCAGTTCCGGCCATATCAAAGATCGGGAATATCCTTTAATTTAACTCACGATGGACAAAACATCGAGGAAGTCAAAGACTTTAAGCTGCTGGGTATCTCTATAGACGCGACTCTAAGTTGGAAGAATCATGTTGATACTTTAGTGGGTAAACTGAGTCGATTCTCATATGCGCTGCGCGAACTCAGAAAGGGTACAAACGTAGAGTGTGCACTTACCGCGTATCATAGTCATGCCGCAGCCTGGATAAGGTACGGAGTGGTACTGTGGGGCAACGCTACTAACGTACAAACCGTACTAATCCTGCAGAAACGCTGCCTTAGGATCATAACACACACAGCTCCGAGACAATCATGCAGGCAGATATTTGTGCACTTAAAGGTTCTCACTGTGACGTGTATGTATATCTTTGAGTTAGGGCGACTAGTGAAAAAATATCCCCAATATTTTAAAAAAATTGGTGACCTACCTGGAAAACAAAACTCTCGACGAGAAAATAATTTAGTACTGCCTCCATCCCGTTTGACACTGTACAACAATGGTCCACTATTTATGGCAATTAAAATCTATAACCACTTGCCCAACTCAATCAAAACCCTCCAAGGTAAAAACTTCGAACAAAGATTAAAAGAATTGTTATTAAGTAAGGCATATTATTGCTTAAAGGAGTATTATGACGACAAATTGTAACCATTGAGTAATACTATTTTTATTAATATTATTATTTTGAACATATTATTAATTTTAACATGATTATTAGTATTGACATTAAATAATGAACTGGAATTTAAATGTTATGAATTGGATTATGAAATTTTTAAGCATGCATAATTTATTTTTAGTATTTCTTCTTAAATTTTAGTGATATAATTTTATTAATAACTAAATATTGTAATACCCTGTCAGGGTTCATTTGAGGATGTATACTTACGTATGTATTAGCTTAAGACCTTCTCACCAAATGAAGCAATAAAGAATTATGAATTATGAATTATGAAAAATTAAATGCAATTTTATTGTTTTCATCATCATTATTTCAGCCACGGGAAATCTACTGTTGATCAGGTGCATCCACACCACAGTTACTTTTTATGGAACAACAGAATCAGAGTAAATACAAATGAGTAGGTCATCTTCATAGAAACGCACGGGCGCGGTTTGTATGTGAGTGCGCTCACATACAAACCACGCTCGGTGCGTTTCTATGAAGATGACCTACTCATTTGTACTTACTCTGAGAGAATGCAACTCATTATTTAACTTCAACTTTGGGACTGCTTACTTAACATTTTGCTAGCTACGGACACTTGGAAACGTAGCTCCGCAAAAAGTAACTGCATTATGGATGCACCAATAGGCCTTCCATTTGAGGTGAAAATTGCCCAACGGTGTCAACGATTCGAGGGTTGGTAGTTCAAAGTTGGTAGTTCACTGGTATATTGTGATGAACCCACATAATTAAGGATATGTAGCTAAAGATAATCTTGATGTAATAGTATAGAATTTACCTTTATTAATACCTAGTAGCTTTGTAGCGCAAAGTGGCACTAATTAAGACTGTAGGTAACACACAGTTTAACTTTATGTGTTGTAATGGTAATGTCATTTTAATAGTGTTTTAAATGGACCTGGCACTCCTCAATGCCTCCGCTAGAATGGCCTGCATTACAACTTTACCTATATGTCATGTTGATTGTAACTAATCTCCATTCATTTAGTTATGTCAAAATGTACCCCGTGCCCGTGTGACAATCAAACGGACTTCACCAAGACCATTCAACTGTCTAACCACAAAGATTGTTTCAATCACCTATCACAACCTACCACGTGCAATGAATATTAATAAGCTAATATTACTAATCCGCAATTTAAATATTAGTAATCCGTAATTACCCTCAGGTAAACCCTTGTAGCAAAATCGCTAAGGGATCATCGCAAAAAACCAGAAGTTGCAAACTACTGCACCAGATTTGGAAAAAACTGCTAACCACTTTTGTTACTTCATTAATTTTATAGCTGTTTTGGCCTTAACATTTAGTAAGTGGTGCAATTATCAAATCACTCTCACTTGTTTCGTGGGGAATCCCGCTATATTTATGTTTCATAATAAGTATAATTACAAGTATCATAGCTATAGGGGTTTCCCAGATGGCGAACGTACAAATTCATTACAGAGGTGGGTGTCATGCTTTGCAGTATAGCATACACCTGCTATATCATATATCATCCATCTGACTATTAATTAGAAGTATTAATAACGTCATAATGTTTGTCCATCATTTTACTGTACGGAACAAACATGTTAGATATTTATTTATTTTACATCTTATTGAGTCATTTCATGTAATAGTGTCTGTCTACTTTGCAAAAACTAAAGGCTCACAAGCATTGTGCATTGGCGCCGAATGCAGGTGATGCGAATGATGCAAATCTTTGCGTTATTATGATACAATCACTGTAACAGTTCATTCACCGTTTTAGATAGATCTTCATTAATTATATTAACATTCATTGGTTAAAAATATTTACTTTTTATAAGCCTAGACTTTTTATTGTACCCATTAAACCAAATGTTTGAAGTGTGCGGGCACTGAATCGTGCGCTTTACCGGAAAAAATAATGTCAACGAACTTATGAAGAATCCAGTCAATAAGTATGGTTTATTTCTGTGTCCCTTTACGAGAGAGTAGTTGTAGTAGAACAAAATGACTGATTACTTAAACAATTACTTTTTATAGCCTCAGGCGCACTTAACTGACCCTTACCATTTCTCTGGGGCAGTCCTGACACCACCATGTAGGCATCTCCGATGGTTTCCACCTTGTACACGTTGTATTCCATTATTTTCTCATCGAACAATCTGCAAACAAACAGAAGTAAAAACCGTCAGTTTTGAAAAATGGTAACGTCAGGTCAAGGGCATACAAAAATCGCCCAAACGTCAACAAAGCGCAAGTTTGAAGGGACCTATCAGGCGAATTTGGCCTTGGATGATATTAATCACTCATGAGTGAGCGACAGTGAGCGTCCTTTAATGACTTTGATACCTGATGACCTTGAGTGAACTTTTGTTTGACAAATGCATTAGGTCCTGGGGGACAAGTGGGTTATGTGGGGCTCTCCTTGCCCCCAAAACCAAGCTGCTCCACTAATGGCCTTGAGTGAACTTTTATAATTTTGAGTCACCTTTAGTAATCACGGAAGACCAGTTTCTTGACATGCCCTTAGGAGCATGTCATGATAAATACAATAAATTCTATTCTATTCTAATCTTAGATGACCTTGGATCAAATCAGTGGTAATCAACTGCCGACAGGTATGGTTTAACCAAACAAATAATGAACTTTTACCCACTCACCTATATAACATGTTGAGCATATTAATGACCTCCATGGGCGTGCTGTTAGCAGATATGGTGGTGAACCCCACGATATCGCTGAAGAAGATGGTGACAGCATCGAAGGACTCTGCTGGTACCGTCCGTTGCGCACGCAGTCTCCGAAGCACCGGCAGCGGCAGCATTCGGGACAGAAGCAGGTCACTCTTCTGCTTCTCTGCCATTAGCTTCTGCGAGCTGATCTCTATTGATTGCGTGAATGTCTGAAAAGAGAGGTGTACTATCATTAGCACGGCATCAATGTACACACGATAGCACTAGCTTAAGCATGTTAATTGCCTATGTTCGTTCGTTCGTTTCAGCCAAATGACGTCCACTGCTGGTCAAAGGCCTCCCCCAAGGATTTTCATAACGACCGGTCCTGGGCTGCCCGCATCTAGATTCTCCCCGCGACCTTCACCAGATCGTCAGTGCACCTAGTGGGAGGCCTACCCACACTAAGTTTTACAGCCCCTAGTCGCCACTCGAGAATTTTTCTGCTCCAACTCCTCTTTGGTCAGTGATAAAACAAATGACTCAAGCCCAGGGGTCATGGGGTCGATACCCGACGGTGGAAAAGTATTTTGCTCGGTTTGGTTGATGTTGAAGCTTATTCTACAACCCTCTTATCTAACTTCCGGTTATCATCGGTCGTTATCACACTATAACTTATCTATCAGGCAGGTTGCTGTAAACATCCGTTTTTTGACCGGAAAACGGCTCGTTTTTTCACGGGTTTGGCGGTGGTGTATGGTTTATAAAATGTGTGCATTCGGACATAGGAACGGCGAAAAAATTTACAAAAATCAAAGGATTATTGGTCCGTCGTCCGGTGGAAAAACGGATCTTTACAAACGGCCTCACTACCCATTTCCCTCGTTAATTAAGTTTCTCACAACACTGACCAACTTAACATTTTATCTAATTTTATTCAATGTAACACGTGAATTGTTTTTCCCAGAATAGAACCAAAACCCCTACGACAGCAAACCGCTTAGGAATAATAATGCGAACATATACTTTGAATACATAATCAGAAAATATACATAGCTTGAATACATAATGAATACGCAACGAAGTGCTCACACCCACTCCACGTCATCACGTCATGCAGATTAATTCAAGTGCTGTGACAGAAATACTCTACACTCGGTTGCACAATTATTGTGTCAGACTAAAAATGTACCTACAATATAATATAAATTTGAAAATTGTATCTACAGACTACAGCATATCAAGGTAGACATTTATTTAGATGCAACAATAATAAAAGGTATTCAATGTGCTGTGAACTGTAGCACATCAATCAAAATAGAGTGCATTTACAATTATTTCTACGGCAAAATCGGTCAGTTTAGACACTTACCCCCTTACTAATAAAACTTACACGCTCGTTGAACAGGGTTTTAAAGTGACGTTTAGTATGGAAATGTCATTTTAAAACAGTGTTCAACAACTGTATAACTTTTTATTAGTAAGGGGGTTATTGCAGAACATAATGACAGAAAATATTAATCTTACTAATAAATTACAAATGTAAACATTCTAGAGCATGTTAAGTCTAGTTCCAGGGAGGGGACTGCTCACCGTGCGTATATTTAGACGAACCACTTGGAACCACTTTTGATAATTGGTTTCGGATAAACATAATCTGACATAAAATACTAACCTTTTAGACATCTGTCGGAAAGTTTTCAGGGACCACTGAAACTAGTGCTAAAAGCCAGTGTCCTAATTTCATTGCAACCAAGTGTACGTATAATTATATAAAGCTTTACGTCCTATTAATACCCAAGGGTTATCAGCACCAGCTGACTGCCGAGTCACGTAGTTCAAGGCTTTTTTGATAACCACCATTAATTATGAAGTATGTATACAAATATTACATAGTACACGGCTATCAACTCTCGGGAATATCGCTCTTATCTCACAAGGAATAAAGTTGGGTTCAATGCCCACGTATTACGTCGGATGTAGGTACTAACTATTGTATCGTTTACATGATTGCTGGGTGACATAATGCAGTTTACACACCAAATCCGCCGACCTGCTGACATATAGGTCGTCGACTTTTCAGATGTTGTGAAAAGTCATAGAAAGTAAAGTCGTTGACATGAATCTTTTAAAATAGAGCCGTTGACTGACACCATCGATAGGTTTGGTGTGTAGAGTATTTTAAAGCTCTTACAATGTCGATATGTCTCTAATATAATACGAGAGCACGTTAAGCCATAAATTTGAACCAAGTCAGATGCTTAGAGCGGCATATAGAGTTAGAACTAACACTATAGGAGAGTATTAATAATTGTCTTTTACCACATAATTACCACAATTTGTCATAATTATCGAAAAGTTGACTGACATTGTCTAGAATTCTAGATTTACCGGGAATTTGACGCAATTATTACTCAAATGTGCTGAAATCATTTTAGCCACTATTCAATAAGTTTATCGCTTCCAATGGTACGAGTACCTACATTATGCAGTCCACTTTATAAAGGCCAGTGCACTGCTAGAAATATATCTCGCAAAGAACGCCACAAAGTACAATAACCTTAGTTGCATTAAACTTTTCAAGAGGTTCCTCGTGTTGTATAATAAACCCGCTTTTTTCAACCAACTGTAACCTTCTAGAGGAGCATCGGGTAGTGTAGTGAACCTAACTAAAATTACCACAATTTTACCTTCTCGGTAGATGAGGATTACAAAGCTGGCTACGGCACCAGAACAAATAAATACCTTTGGGGTGAAATATTTTTGTGATAAGGAGGATAATTTATATCCCGAGTCGCATATTAGCCGTAGAAAAACATTTTTGGTCACTTTTAAATCATTAGCCGTATGAATAATTAAACGGATGTCATCGATCCTATTTTTATACAAAACTAGCTTTCCGCCCGCGGCTTCGCCCGCGTGGAATTTCGTTTGTTAATTGTTCCTGAATTTTCTTTGCTGTAAACCTCACAGAGCCCGAGACCTTTCCAACGAATGCAAAACCGTGGAAATCGGTTCGTGCGTTCTGGAGTTATAGCGTCAGGAAGGAAAACCCGACTTATTTTTATATAGTAGATCTTGCTGTTGAATGTTGCAGTGACAAAATGAGTCTAGTCTTTCAGTTGATTAGTGATGTCATGTCTCAACCACCCAATTGATAACAATCCTCAATTTATCGGCCAACGCAACAACAGTGACGTAAGTATACAATTTTATTACATGCTAGATATACCTACTTAAGTATAATAAATCTGTAGAGAGGTCAATTCTGTACATGAATATATTTTCAAAATAACTATCAGGGGGTGATTAGTGATCGATACTGATGCCAAAAATGCAATCACTAAATTTTTTGTCTGTCTGTCTGTATGTTCCTTATAGAAACAAAAACTACTAGACGGATTTTAACGAAACTTGGTACAATTATTCTTCATACTCCTGGGCAGGTTATAGTATACTTGGAGTATCCCACGGGAACGGGAATTAGCGGGAAAATCCTTTTATATGAAAAATCTAAACCGCTTAAGTTAGACGCTTGAAATTTGGCATGCAGGTATCTTAGTAATTTTAAAGCGTAGTTACAACAGGATATTGCAAAATTCCCACGGGAACGGGAGTTAGCGGGAAAAAACATTTGTATGATAAAATCTAAACCGCGTAAGATAGATGAAGGGGGTAAAACGGGATCCACGCGTACGAAGCCGCGGGCGGCCGCTAGATAAAGTAATATTTTATTTCCGAGCAGAGGACAAGATTGAGTCATGCATATGACTGTCAGCCATAAGGACCAAATTCGAAAGAGCCATCAAATAATTTATAACAATAGTGTCGTCCGACCCCTCGGTCTACGCACGACACATTTAGTAACTACTACGAGTATGATATCACTACATAGCCGTGGTCAGACGCTAACCTACCACAATGACGAATATCCTCAATGGACTTTGGACTGTAGTAACCAAGTATGTAGGTACTATAAGATCCAATAAAATTGATCAGCTCATGACTGTGCTGTGATCACTTTTCTAAATTTATTTCGCATCTGAAGAAGTTTTCTTGATAATGATAAGATGACCAAAGAAAAACACTTCATGTTGTAATTCTATTAAAAGATTAAAAGATCATTTTTTCACCGAGACAAGGTAATACAATAAGGTAGATATTACAATAGTTATACAGTTCAGCTTATCTCACCAGCAAGCTAGTGTGATTATTACATTTTTTTCATTGACCCATGCATAGTTAAAAAAAAATCAGAATATAATTCTTTCGTGTACCATGTAAACATAATTTCTTGGGGCAAAACTTTATAATTACTTGTACCTATTCTAATTATCCACAAATGGCACTACTAGAGACGTCATAAGGGAACCAATGACATACAAATTATATCGGAGAAAACATCGATGTAGAGTCACATTTCATTTTACAGTTCATAGAGTTTTCCACGACAATTAGAACTTTATTTTACGGAGATACCGGTTAATAACCAATAAACATTTTCATAAGCCTGGTAAAGGGTTAAATTCTGATCAGTCAAGTCAAGACAAAAAATACAGTTCTACAACTGGTTTAGAAAACAAATCGTGATTTTCAAAAATGTTTAGGTATAGTATTTACATACATTTTTAATGAGGTTGAATTTGAGCTACAAAGATTTGAATGAACTTTACTTTTCAAAACATTATAACGAATATCATAATAATTTATTAGGCAAAAAAGCTAGTGACAAATCAGACGATATAACTATAGTTTAATAAATTTAGGTATTACATGATTCACTTGTCGCGTGCCATGTCTCGTCAAGTCGTTGACTCATCCACGCAATATTACGTTAAAATTCGTAATTGAAACCCAAATATTGAATAATAACTATTTCGGTCTGTCACAAAAGTAAGGCCTCATGTATTCCTAAACACTTTCTTTTTGAACGAAAGGAAAATATTATTTTTCTCAAATGTTTAGCTATTTAATAAATGTGTAAACTACAAAACTATGTGAAATTCGAATCACAAATTCAAACGGATCGCTTTTTTTACGGGACGCTAGTAACAGGATGTACTTGTGAACTTTAATATTGAAACACTTATACTACTAAACGGGATTCTGAAAAAAAAACGGGGTTTCTCCGTGGGAACAAGCCTTAATACACACGGTGCGTCTCTTGGCTGGAACTTGACGTGATACACTCCCGCCGTGTCCAGATGCAATTAAAGGTTAACGAACTCTTAAGTAATTATCTTTAATAATGAACAATCTGGATGAATCAGCCCTGAAACGAACTAAACAAAAGGGGAACTACTACAAAGCTATATTTGTACCACGTTGTGTCGCACCTAGGGAATTTACCCTGGACTTCCGAATTGAACTGACTTTCTAACCAGAAATAGAGGGGGGTTTTTTTTTAAACATATACAGGGTGTTAGGTAATAGGATTTTATAAAAAATATTTTGTATGAAAATGATGATGATAATATCAAATTTCTGACTTCACCATACCATTTATATGCCCATGTTAACATGGGCTAGTGTCGGCTCATGTACCAATTTACCTAACACCCTGTATAAGTAACTGGATCCTGTCTCTGTTTACGAATTTTGGTCATAATTACACATTGTAACCTTTAGTAAGATAAATCTTGAATAAAAAGTTAAAGAATGTACTATTTTTAAAATTGAGGAATCATTTTTTTAACAAGTTATGAAAAAATACATTAGGTATTCTTTGGGAAAAATTGGTATTTTTATAGGTACTACCTACTAGTATTACACTATTACATTTTACATACAGATATTTACAGTAATATTCATTAAGTGATGTACAAAACGTTAATCTGCATAGGTAAATATTACACCTGTATTGTGTAATGATTAACTAATTTGTGATGTAAATGATTTTTTCGCGCACGCTAAAATGCCGAGTGGTTTCCCTGGGTCTTTCAATTGGTGACTCAACGAGGATAATATCCTTTAAATAAAAGCGCCGCTTGCACAGTGGGTCAGTCCGAGAGCTGACTTTGAGAGAGCACCACGTGTGAACAAGAAACGAAAATGATACTTATTCTGTGCCTACTCGCTGTATGCAGCGCGGTCCCTTTGAGAAAGAACGAAGATGAATCAAAAATAGTGTTGTGGAATGTAAATGATCACGCAATGGCTGGTGAAGTACCTTCAAGTATTTCGACAAGTGCAGTTGATAGTGATTTAGTAAAATTAATAGCAAGTAAGAGTGAAAGTAAAATTCGGATGAAAAGATTTATAACGATCGGAGGTGGCTGTCCTGAGGATTATATCATGATGCCAGGCCCCATTGGATGCGTGACGTGTGAAAAGTAAGTTTTACTTTTTAATCATCTTAGATATTCAAATTAATTTTCGGTTCGGTAAATCCATACATCAGAGAATTAATCGTAATAACAAAGTCATTGATCAAAGGCGTATTCGATCAAGTTTTCGTTGAAATGAAAATCGATGATGATTGAATGAAAATTATTTAAATTTTGACTTTGACTCGAACTCGTATGGCCATTATAGAGGTGTTAATTTTATAAATATGTACTTTTTTTTTACTTATTGTCTTGTTTGTTTGTGACATCTTATAAACTCCGTTTGTCCTATAGTTACAACCTTTAATCTGGTCACAAACGACACTTTTTCCTTATCATTATAATATTATGTGAATTAAACACTTGAAGATCTCATACCAGACTAGTTTTTTAACTTGCTGCCAGTAATAGCATAGCAATTACATACTTCATAAATATTAAACACGTGTTAAACGTTGCAAATAGTGTGGACTCCCCGTACATTAGTACTTGACTTGTTTTATGTAATAATAATGATCAGCTTTATTATGTAACATTGTATTTATGTACTTGCGCCTTGCTTGACTCTATATTTATTTCAAAACCATTATTTTTCCCACGGATACTTAATTATGTCATTTACTCTACAGTATGTAAAAATCTGTAAAAACTCTACATATCCGATCCAAGAGAAAGCTCAAAAAACATAACCCTCCATTTGGCGCAGTTGGGTAAAAACCTATCAAGTAGTTACCAAATTGAGATGTCAATAATGATTTCATACATTCAGTTGTTTTATTTAACTATCAGAATCGTCCCCTTTCCTTTATTAAATAAAACTTGCTTTTGCTTGCGGCTTAGCCCGCGTGAAATTTTGTTTTTCAAAGAAATACTAAAAAACCTGGAATGAAAACTATCCAATGTCTTTTCCTATGACTCAAACTATCTCTATACCAAATTTTGTTTTATTTGTTAAGGATGTAGGGATAGTAGGGATGAGTCAAAATAACCTCCGAAAAATGCATTGTTTGTTATAAATAGATTGATATTAACTATTTATTTAATTTGTTCCAGGTACAGAGAACTAACTGATGAAGACTGCTGAAGGACTACATTTAGGCTCAATGGAGAACGAAGGCTTATTTTATATTAGAATCTCATGCTACAAATGACAGAAGACTACGGGTTTTAATATAAGTAATATTATAGGTTTACTCGTTTTAAATTGTGAAGCTCATTTAATGCCAGTGACATACAGCCAGCGTCAAATAGTTCGCGACACCCAAAGTGGCCAAAATGTTGACAACGCAATCTTGTCCCAAGTAACAAAGATATGTGGCGAACTTTTTGGCTACTTTAGGTGTCACGAAATGTTTGACGCTGGCCGTAGAGTCAATCTGGGTAACTTTGCCCATCAGTATAACGTTGACTCAAAATATACTAATTGGAAATGGTAGGGTTTTTCTTACTTTATTTTAATTTATCAAATACGCATTGTATCTTTGACTCGTTTAAAATATTGGTGGTCCAGCTGTAGATCCACAGGAGCTGCAGCGGTGAAAGAAAGAAAATATTTTATTTGGCCCAACATATTAAATTATTACAGTATACAGTTTACAATACTTGCAAATTTGTGGACCAAAATGGCATCCGCTCAGCATTGTGTCCTGCTCTGAGGTAGACCCAGAACAGGACGCTGTTATTCTGCGGATGCCACTTTTTTAACGGTGGGAACGAGAGGTGGGAATAGTCCCGTTTTGATGGGCAAAGTAACCCAGATTGACCGTACATTAATTATATTAAGTTGTACTTAAATAGTCATTAGTCTATTTATTGTATAATGTTTAAGCTATACTTTACTTGCTATTGATTTCCAACAAAGTTGGGCATTTTCTAATAAAGAAGGAATGTGATTTAGATTTAATTAAGCTACAAACGGTACATAATAACTTTATTAGTGTAATAATCTATTTATTTCTTAATTTATTCATTAATTGATTGATAGGACCATTATTTTCGGTCTTAGAGATACGGATGTTTGTACTCTTGAAAATGAATTTTGTATTAATATTGCATTGTTGGTAAAAATATTTCTTTATTAATATCTGTTAAAACGCTTTGGACTCCTTATAAAGCATGTCCACATTAGTGCTCTATCTTTTTGTATAATGTATGAAATATCAATTTGTATGAAACAATGTTTGTATAAAAGTGTTCAAGTCATTTTGAGAGATGTGAAATGAGTCATTATTATGTATCAATGATTAGAAAATGAAACAAAACAATTGTTGAAATTAAATTCAATTTAAAAAACCCAACTACGAGTTTTATTAACAGCTATGAAACTTTGTTTCAAATATTTTCAGATTACCACCAAATTTCTTTAAAAAGGGCTCTGCTAAATATGTTCATCCACACCAATGTTTATATTCTTCGGGGATCGAACCCGCTAACTCTAGTAGTAGTCCGGTTTTCTTTTAGAAGAGGTATTTAAAAATTCAAAGCAAGTTATAGATTTTTCAAAGTATAGTCAGCCTGCCAGCATACTGGCTGACAATAGTGGCTGAGTTTCTCGCGCTGCTTCTTCTCAGCACTGGCCCATTTATTGTCCCGACGCAGCGGTAGGGTTAACTGGGACGTATAAAAGTGATTTTTAAAAGCCTACTTGCAAAAATAAAATGAGTTTTTAACTCATCAATGAAAACAATCAAGATGGTTGAGAACATAATTTATCATAGACTACTTAATCCCTAGACTTTTCCCCTGAGGGTTCCTTTATTTATTTACTTTGTAGTAGTCGGGCTACCTAGACGAAGATAAACGTACCTACTACTCACTCATACCCGTTTTTAGTTATTTTTTAAATTGATCAATTTAGATTTCTTCGATGCGTCTTTTAACTTCGATATCAGTGTGACTGTTTTTTAATAAATTAATTATTGACATTTAAACATGACCTACCTAATTAGGTCATTTAAATTCTAAGAGGTGAACGTGTTTTAAATGAGTCTGATTTTTTATCAAAATCAGATTTTAACTTCATTTTTGTTAGACTCGTTATGGATTTAAACAAGCAACTTTAAAAAATACATAATACCCAGTTTGGACCCAATTCAATACAAAAATGTGATTCAGATTCGGACTAATTATTTTATTATCATTAAGGCTGACCTCACAAGAACCACTCGCGATAACAACTTAAAAAATCGACAATGGTCCTAACCTAACATATCAGTAATCAACCACCGAAATACCCTTAAAAACTTTACTTTTCCATAAACTTTACACGTATCTACTTTTTATAAAAGAATATATATATATGTTTGATAAATAATACGATAGTTTATACAATCAAACCGATGTTGATGATGATGAACTACAATTTTCCAGTCCCTGTCATTGCAAGGATAATGGGGAAGTTACCAATTTTTCCTATTAATCTTTGAAAATATAAATAAAATTAAACTTAGGTATGTGTGAAAGAATCATGAAAATATCTCTACAAATTAAAAATCTTTAAGGTAACTGTTTAACTTTAACAGGCCATTTATGGACGGATTTAAAAAAAACACTGACTTATTACTTTTATTCTGTGAAATACAGTGTTTTGAATATCACAAAACTTCTCCATTAGAGTTCACGCTGGCTTCAGATAAATATGTACAACTTGAATATTTTTTGATTTGATTTGATTTGTGACTTTAGCGAGTCGCCCGTGTTCAGGCAGCCTAATTCATTGCAAAAATACGTTGACATCGGCCAGCCCCGAATGTGGTCAGTCAAGTCTGAGCCACAAACAGATAAAGTTGGGTTTATAAATATAATAAATAAAGTTATATTCGTTTTACCACCGCGAGATTTGCTACACGCCGAAATAAAACTTTTGGAGTTATACACCGAAATCTTTAAGAGAGAATACCGTTGTTAGTGGTGACTGCGAAAATCTATAGTCAAGAAAAGTGTGTGCGAAGTGTGCGAGGTAAAAGAATGTGTTATTTACGTTTTAATTATATTTCTAAAAGAAAAAGTGTCGAAAGGATGAATTTAAGGCAAGAATCAGCCCTGACTCCCCAATTTATGCTGGGTTGCACCATCTTACTTTAACTTTGACAAACGTCAAAAATATTATATTCAATTTACTAAAACAGTTTAATGTTTTAATGTAACAAATCATTAGATTTTAATCAAAACTCACCTGTTTATAAGATAGTGTTTTTTTAAATTAAATTATGCAATTTGTCCCCGACTCCAATAAATTACAATCATTATAATTTATTGCAGGATCTGCAAGAATCAAAATGGTGAAATACATATTTGTATTGATTTTGATGCTGTTTGTCGCTGCTCAAGCTCTGGCGACAGCGGCGAAATACCAAAGGTCGGCCATCAGACATTCAAATGGCCAATCTGAATCGATTTTTGAAGAGAGTAGAGTAAGACGCCAAGTTCTTCAATCAAGGAGATGCCCTAGCGGCAAAGTGTGGCTGATCAACAGATGTGTCACGTGCAAAGAGTAAGTGAAGCAGAAAAGCGAAGCATTTTAATTTTTACTCATAACTAGCTGTCTTGGTGAACTTCGTAACGCCATATTTTTCTTATATAAGATCTGTGTTTTTTCACCGTTTAAACCTTCCCTGAACTTGCACAAATATTTCAAGACAAAAATTAACCAAATCGGTACCTACTGCCGTTCACGAGTTTTAGGAAGACTAACGAACAGCAATTCATTTTTATTTATAAGAGAAGATTTTAGGACACGAACTTAATTCTAAAGAAATAGTGGCATATCTCATCATTTCTCTATGATGTCGTAACATTAACTAAAATATTTATTTTGTTACAGGTACGAAACTAACACTGACGAAGATTGCCCATTGAAGAAATTAAATTAGCACTACACTTTATTTCGTAACAAAAAGAAAAGTGTTAGCAGCACCCACTTTATAATTTTTTAATGTTTTATATGCAAACATCATCATGCCTATGTTACTTTTAATGCGTATTACAGTTAAAATTTAATTTTAACTTTATTTTTTACACCCTGCACAAAATACAAGATATTACATTTCTTCATTAACTTGAGGAAATGATAGGGTAAAGGCCCCGTTTGTAGTCTATGTACGTTTTTTGGCATAGACATATTTTAAACTAGCTGACCCGGTAAACTTCGTCGTACCGACTATGTTCATCAGAAATAATGTAGAATTCTAAAGGTGGAATAATTTTTCAAATTGGTCCAGTAGTATCTGAGCTTATTCAATAAAAACAAACAAACAATCAAAATCTTTCCACTTTACTATAAGAGTAGGCGCACACCGTTGATTTTTAGTTGGCCGATAGTTGTGCCCGATTTTAATTTGTATGAAGAATCGGCCAAATCGAATCGGCGTAGTGTGCGCACTCCCATACATGCTTATACTGATCAACTGCCCGACTAAACTATCGGCTACGAAAAATCAACGGTGTGCGCCTACTCTTAGTGTACAAATGGACAATATTTTGAAAATCTGAACCCGTGCCTTCGTAGAGTCCTGTCAATCTGTCATTTTTTCACAGATTAAAATACCTTTATTTATAACGGTTTTGAACTGTTCGTGAAAGCTACCGCAACGCCTGGCAACGGTAGTACCGGTTGAGTGTAAGAGTGTTGAGTCACCCTTATATTATGTTTAACCTTGATGACTTTTCGGAATGAGTTTGGATTTTATGCATTTTCAATACTACTTGAATCTCAGTTTTTTTACATTGAAGTAATATTATAACTCAATGTTTTTTTATGTGAAAAATTCGGTAGCAGCTATAAAATTGCAGTTTTGGTGTCTATCTTGACAACTCACCATGCTAAACTTGAAATTGAATCTTGGCTTAAAAGCCTTGATTACCTGGACACAGAATGTCTTCTTACTTAACGAGTATAATACCTCTGTCACACACACACACACACACACACACACACACACACACACACCACACACTACATAACACACAACACATAAACTAAGTAATTTCTAATTTCTTGTCAATTATTTTAATTATATAAAATAATATTATACATTTTATTATTACATAAGATGTAATTATTTCAATTTTAATTGTAATTGTAATTTTAACTGTCAGTCTCTAATAGAGTAAGTTTTTTAAACATTGACCTCATTTTAAGCCTTGTAACTATTTTTTTTTTTGATACCACGTTTTATATTTTTATATCTTAATTTAACTACAGTAATAAATTGCCTGAATTTGTGTTCCCAGACCTCAAAGTAAAGATAATACATATTATGTAAAAACTTAAAAAGGCTACTGCGATACAAGCTATGCTTAGTGCAGAAGCCGCTAGTTATAAGAATATTTTGTATTAAGATTTATTGGCAATAAACATTTTATTATTATTATTATTTTAGTGTAATACTATTTCTATTAATATTATTATTTTGAACTTATTATTAATTTTAACATGATTATTAGTATTGACATTAAATAATGAACTGGAATTTAAATGTTATGAATTGGATTATGAAATTGTTAAGCATGCATAATTTATTTTTAGTATTTATTTTTAAATTTTAGTGATAATTTTTATTAATAACCGAATATTGTAATACCCTGTTAGGGTTCATTTGAGGATGTATACGTATGTATTAGCTTAAGACCTTCTCACCAAATGAAGCAATAAAGTATTATGAATTATTATAAGTATATAGAGACATCTATTGATAGCTATGTGGACCTATATGTCATGTGTATGGTGTCTGACTCGTTTTACTTAGAGCAGGCGCACACCGTTGATTTTTCGTCGGCCGATAGTTTAGTCGGGCAGTTGATCAGTATGGGCATGTATGGGAGTGCGCACACTACGTCAATTCGATTTGGCCGATTCTTCATACAATTTAAAATCGGGCAGAACTATCGGCCACACCGTTGATTTTTCAACGGTGTGCGCCTACATACGAGTACTACCAAAATCCACAACGTCTATCGTTATTAAGGGGGTGCAGCGCCGANAATTATTATTATTATTACTATAAAATATTCATTAAAATTATATGAAAGAAAATCTGAAGCATAATATGGGTGATATTTTACATTACTAAATCAACAATGTAACTGTAAGGTCTACCGCTTAACTGAGTCAGTGCCCGAGGTATGGGAGCGCTATAGTTCCAAAATACTGGACTGTCCTGTCGATGACATTGACAGTGGGGCGCCACCGTCAATACCGGATCGCTGGTTCAGATTTTAGCCATGTTGGAAACCATATAGTTGAACGATGGTAGCGCCCCCCTGTCATTGAGTTTGGTGGGACAGTTCAGCGTGGTTCATCTATACGTGAGGGAGTTTTTGCTGACATCAAACGTCAGCGAGACTTCAGATGTGCTTTAGATTTATAAGCTCAATAACATAAGCTAGATGACAAATTTTCAATTATTTGTCCGTCAGACTGATAATTAGAAAATATTAGACTCATATTTTTTTATTTTCTTTCATAATTAAATAATAACAATGCTACACCGAGTTGAAATGTAGTAGTAGATTTTTTACTCAAAAGTGACGTCCCGCGACATTTCAACCCAATAATACTGTAATTATTCGATTAAGAAAAAAAGTGTCCAAAATTGTTTATGGACTAAATAGAATTTCGATTTAATTACCCAGGGATGATGATCCCTATTCCACCCCTCCCGTGTCGCTGCCATACCACGGCACCAGCACCAGTCCAATTGGGATTGGATTTGGAACTTGTGGTATGGAAAATGCTGTATTTTTGTATTTTTGTTGTCGATCATATCGATGATTCATAATGGTGGTGTAACACCTGAGGCGCACCAAGTGTAAGGGCATGTTATGGAAGTGACCTGTCATCGTAGCATCGACCTTTTGTAACAAACAAGGTCATACAAGCAAGTGTGTCGAACTTAAAAATATTTTATTGTAGAGAGTTTTAATATAATTTTATTATCCGAATTTCCTAATTTTTTGCATCTTACCATTGAAAGATTTAGATTTTTTATTTCTAAAGATGGACCTCCATTTACCTCTGTTAAATTAGACAGGGTCCATAACAGGGTCCCTCTCCTCAGTGGGGGCAAACCTGATGATAATACTAATATAATGATCTTAAAAAGTATACAAAAATAGGTGTTAGTAGCCTTACGATGTCAGTTTCGGGCTGTCGAACCCCGTCCGCTGCTGGACCACAATTGAGTGGAGTGGAGTGGAGGATGAACCGAGTCCTAACCTAGCACAAATATTTAGCTTAGCTTTACGATTTACTAATTTGTGCACTAATGTTAATACTTTTTGCTAAAAAAAAATAGATAACCACGCCCACACCACACACGCTGCTTGCAACATGGCGCGTCATAACTTATCATGCAAAATTGAGTAATAATAAAATTGATAGGATATGCGGTGATTTTTCACGGCGCCGCGTAAATGTCCCTCTTCTCTGCCTCCAATGCCAGTCGGTTATCAAACCTCTATCCGAACAGACGTGCGCACGCGACTTTCGAACGCAATTGTTCATACTTTCTTGCAATTTAAGATTAAATTACCGCGAAGTGCGAGTCAAAATGGCGAAACTGATTTTCCTAATCATCTGTGTTTGGATTCTTAATGCGGCAAGTACATTCCCTACGGTTGTGGACGAGTTGAGTGAAAATAAACAAACAAAATATGACTTAAAAGAATATGGAAGTGTAAATTCTGAATATATCGAAACAGTGACTAATGAATTAAAAGGTGTGAAGATTGATCAGCAACATAGGTTTCGAAGAATTAAAAGGAGTTTAATCAACGGTGGTGGAGCGTGTCCTGAGGGCATGGTGTGGAAGCCCAGGCCTTTCTACTGCATCACTTGTGAAGAGTGAGTAATATCTATTTTTTTATCTATACTACTAATATTATAAAGCTGATGAATTTGTTTGTTTACTTGAACGCCTAATCTCAAGAACTACTGGTCTCGTTTGAAAAAATAATTTTGTGTTGGATAGCCCATTTATCGAAGAAGGCTTTATTATGTGCCATTTGGGTTGTATTGTATCATCTTTCAGCCAAAATGGACGGAGCAGTAAAGAAAATTTTTGTAAAAAACGGGATATAGGGCATAATGATAGGAGTATAGACAAGTCACAACAGTACACGACGTGTGATGCGCACCCCCGTGCCACATTCCCGCTTGAATCCATCTTTGACTCATACCATTGCATGGTTCTTATTTTTATTGAAACTTAAGAAAGGGGCCATGAATTTTTTTTTTGTTCGGGGAGACTCGGCTAACCTTCCCGCTTGAGTCCATCTTTCAGTCATAAATTCTTATTTTTGTTGAAACTTAATTAAGGGGGGAGGCTCAGCGAAATAAAGGTTGGGAAACCCTGTTGAAAGTAATAAGTACCAAAATAAAGTGCGGAGCAAAATTCTGTATCAATATCATGTGTCTACTGCTGCCACGGATTTGTTGTTTGGATTCAGTTCTCACGCACTCGTATCATTGTTTACGGTACGTCTGGGATTCAAAAGTGGTGATGAGCTTATAAGCTTTCGCGTAGAGCTTTGGCGTAAGTCTTTCAAGGTACACTTTATAAGCCTATGTACGAAAAGCCCTTACAAAGACAATTACGTCATATATGTACTTTTGTTTAGTCTCAAAACGTCTTATTTAAAAAATCTATGAGTATATTCACACTGTGTAGTGAATAAATGATTTGACTTACCGGCGTGATCTGACGTTTTATATTTTTTATAGTGTATTACTGAACAGCTACGCTAATATCTCTATCATTTAATATACATAGTAGAAACGCGATCCTTATTACGGCCGACTTGCGTTCGAAGTCTATTTAAAGACTTCCAGGTAAGTCAGGGGAGCTCATGTCCAGGTGGAGGACTCTCAGACATAGCAACGAAAGGGCAGGGAAGGTCAATGAAATGAAATAGTTTATTTAGTGCATAAGCCCTTTCCAGGGCACTTATACACGTCCCAAATATAGCTTGCTCTACCACCACTTCGGGACAACATAAGGGCTGGTGCTTAGAAGAAGTGGCGGAAGAAACTCAGTCACCTTTGTCAGCCTCTTTTTCAACCAAATACAGTAAATAACAGTTCTCTCACGCCATAACCTGCATCTCTCTTTTGACTGATCCTCATCAAGGAGAGATATTATTAAAAAATATTATTAGTTTTAACGCGCCACTGCAGGCCGATAGGTCATCAGGTTACAGATAAGGTGGATGAGTCACACCATACCGGCGCAGGCGCTGCTGGCGTCTCGGTAGCATTACATAGCAACTTATATTATTTATATTACTAGCTGTGCTTACTCTTCGTGCGCGTGAAAATAGTTTGAATTATATTTCCCGCTTATGCAACATTTTTCTATACTGCTGACTGTAGGGTGATATTACCTAAAGACTCTCTCGTTAAATGGGCTATACAACTGTTCAAATCAGACCAGTAGTTTCTGAGATTAGCACGTTCAAGCAGATATATATTAAGTATAGATAGGTCAAGCCCGTGTCTTCATCCACGTCTGTTTTGGGAAATTTCATGATCATCGTCGTAGTAAATTTAATGGTTTCCATATAGAGCGGTATATAACATCACCCTATAGCCAATAGACGCGAAACAGTAATGAAAAATATTCACGCGTAAAAAGTCGCGGGCACAGCTAGTGCGTAATAAAGATTATTCGAGGAAGATCTCGAATGGTGTTAGTTGATTTTTTGTTTATATAACAAAAAAGTGACGAGAGTATGCTAATAAGGTTCTGAGAAAGGCCCCAATACCTGCCCACGTAAATACTTTACACATGACTGTGTCACATATGATACATGAGTGATCCAATGCAGGAAGCAAGGTGTTAGGCCTGACGAAGGTTATCGATTACATTTTGTCAATCACTGATAACGGTATTCATTACTCATGGGCGCGAATGACGGTATATCATAATAATAAACACACATATTATTTGGATGCCTCTTAGCTTGCATCTTAACTAATGAAAAGTCATGATCAGGCCGAAGGTAGAAGCGAGCTTCATCTGGAGTCAATAGAAGAACTAGCTACTCGTATATCTTATCTCTCACTGCCGAAACAGAATGAAGTTAGCGTGGTTGTTATGGCGGTAGTCTTAGGTAAGATGTTAGGAGTTGCTTTTTTTAAACACCGGGAAATGCTTTGCGCTTACCCACTGGTCGATGGGGATGGCCAGTGGGTAATGTGGGACCACATAAAGTCGGGGCCTACCCACTAAAACCCGACGGTTTCCACCGAAGCCCAAAGATCATAGATCAAGCGCTACCTGCCACCAATAGGCTAGATCACAAAATTTCAATGATTTGTCCGTCAGATAGATAATTAGAAAATATTAGACTCGTATTTTTTATTTTCTTTCTTAATTAAATAATAACAGAGCTACATCGAGTTGAAAAGTCGCGTGACGTAACTTTTGAGCAGATTTTTTACTCAAAAGTTTTTCATTCTGTCTGACGGACTGAATAGAATTTCGATTTCATTACCCAGTCATCATCCCAATTGAAACGGAATAAAACATTTTGCCCCTACTGAAAAACAAACCCAGGACCTTGAAGTCTGGAAAATATTACTTATGCTGATGACAGTATACTTATTGAAGAAATGTTGTACATGATTTTCCTCAATCTACTGAGTTACAGGAAAATTACTATAAATATACTAATGATACTAAAAGATTACATGTTCGGTTAATATGATAGTAATCTGCAAATTGTACGAATAATTTAGTTAGTCTACAAAACTACAAGGTATTTCACACTCTATACTTTGAGCGATAATGTTGATGTGCTTTATCTATCCTCCTGAGACCCAGACCCCTAAAAATTGTCGGATTGTCTTGAATTTTGGAAGGCAGGCTAAGATTCATATGTACAACTAACAAAAAATGCGAAAAAAAATCTAGCCCCCCTACATACGCCAAAATGGGGGGTGTCACCAGTGACACTACGGGTTTCAAAGACATTAAAACGGGCTTGAATTAATTAATATTTTAATTACTTCAGGTATGGTAAAATAGGTGTTTTTAGTTTCATATTGATCTGCAATTGTTTAGAATCGTATAAGATTTACTTTTTATCAGCTTTTATTGAACTTGTTATAACAAACTTTAATTAACTTGCAATAAATGTGTGAATGTATGTTTGAGTAAAATCTTGGAAGCTGAATTAGAGCTACTTCCTGCCAACCGATTGAGCTGAAATTTTGCATAGACATGTAACTCAGATGAGACTTTAATATAATGAGGTCATGGAGCTGATCTGATGATGGAGACGGAAGGTAGCCATAGAAACTCTGTGACTAAACGATGTAACTCTGTCGAGTTTTGACTCATTTGATTGGTATTGACAAGTACTCTGGTCTTGGATGATATCCAGGGTCTGATCTGAGGATGGAGCATATTTTTTTTTATCATCTGTCTCATAAAAGTTGCATAACATTGACTTGACGTTACCATCAGACAATCCTAAAAAGGACCATATGTCTAGTCACGAGTGCCCAAAGTGTCACCAGTGACACTCGAATTAATTGACGAAAATACTTATTACAATAGAAACATTTTAATAGTTTTATCGCAAAATCTGAGAGATATATTACCGTAGCACACAGAAAACACAAAACAATACCAAAAAACTTGTTTTAAATAATATTTTCTTTTCTTGGAATGTGTCATGTCGGAGGTCGCGCGAATTCAAAATTTCAATTAATGTTTACAAAATCAAAAACCCTTTCGTGCGAGGCACAGCAATTTTTTGGATATGTAACATATTCCAACTTTTCACACACTTTTATTAATTTTCATAAATACCAATAAATGGCGCTGTAAAAAAAATATATACTCAAGTGTCACTAGTGACACCGGGGGTCTCAGGAGGCTATAGGAATGCTAAAAGATTTTACTATTTTCGGGAGTAATAATTTGAACAGAGGCATTTTTTATCTTGTTTCATTCACTTGATTTACGTAACTTGTTTTGAGCGATAATATTGTTTGAAGAATCAAAGATAAAAGTGCAATACCTATATGCAGATGTCAAAAGGTACATAAATGTACCTACATAATAAACTTTACTGAAGAAAGTAAAAAGTAATCTTGCAAATATTGTTCTAAAGATAGCAGAAAACTCATAGTAGAGGCGCTAATCAATTTGCATCTTATCATATTTACAGTAGAGAACAAATCAGCTTGCAACAATATTTGGTCAAGCGAAGACAGAAGTTATTAGATAAGCGTTTTGAACAACATCAAAGTACTTTCTATTATAGAAATAACAAAAGTTTTTCGCAAGTCAAACAAAACAGTTTTGACAAGGGTTCCGTGGGGGTTAGTTGATGAAAGCATGGCCAACGTGTTTTAATGCTTCTTTTAATATTTATTGGAATTTATCTGGTGTTAAATATTTTGGGTTTCCAAAGTGTAGAGAAGTGAGAAGTGATAAATATAAAAAGTAGTTATACTAATAGGATGAATTCCTTACTAGTAGTCCCCAAACTAGGTAGTTCTTTTGGGGACTTGAGTTTGGTACAAATGTGTTTGATATAGTTTACTTATTCAAATTACACAGAAAAATAAACATAATAGGTATATAACATAATATAGTTTATGGGGCTGATCAAATAAGTTGCGCGTGTGTGTGTGTGTGTGTGTGTGTGTGTGCGCGCGTGTGTGTGTCATTCTTTGAACTTCCTAAAGTAAAGTTTTGTTTGTTACAGATTTGAGAGACTCTCGGGCGAGGGCTGCTACGACGACGAGTAAAACTTACAAACTACTATTTGGGTCAACTGATTTTGGATACTCGATGTATACCAAAACGTATAATCTCTAGTCTATGCCTTGGACCGCCTATATCAAAGAATACATCACTTCACAACGATCAACGTACCAAAACTCACACAGCTAACATCTGTGAAGATGGCCAGATCGTATCCCAATTTTCCCAATCCAAAAGAGCGAATGAGTCTCTTAACTCAAAAAATAAGTTATTTTCGACTGCATCGTACGGCTGTGAGACCTGGACACTCACTGTCAAAGAAGAAACCAAGCTCCTGATGGTTGAGAGGTAAATCTGAAGGAAGATTCTGGGGCTAGTGCACATAGAAAATGGCACTTGGAGGAGAAGGAGCAAGAACTCGTTGCTGAGCCAAAGATGGTGAAAAGCTCACAGACTTCGCTGGCTCGGACACCTGGAAAGAATGGCAGAGGATCATGCAGCGAAGCAAGCGTACTTGGAAGGCCAAGTGGCCATCGACCAGTTGGTCGTCCCAGTTACCGCTGGGGAGATGAAGTTGCGAAGAACCTGCGCGATTTCCAGGTCGATAAATTATCTGGTGAGAGGTGGCACAGAATATTATAGATTCTAATATCTAATAAAAACTCACTTCGCTGTGCCATCTTAGTACCAACCAGGTCGAGTTAACTGCGTACCTGACTGGAATGCAACTCTCCCTCGCAATTGTAGGTAGTTCTTATTTAAGATTTCCTTGTCACTCGTGAACCAATTTTCGAAATTAGGAGTATACAGTATGTGTGAACTTTAAGTATTTTTAAATATTTAAAAGGATTATCGAATGTTGCGTATTTTAATTAACCGTTTCGTATTTTTAGTAATCACTAAGTAGTATTAAACTTATCTTTCTAAGAGTAGGCGCACCCCGTTGATCTTTCGTCGGCCGATAGTTTAGTCGGGCAGTTGATCAGTATGGGCAAGTATGGGAGTGCGCACACTACGGCGCCGATTCGATTTGGCCGATTCTTCATACAATTTAAAATCGGGCACAACTATCGGCCAACTAAAAATCAAACGATGCTTGCTTATGTGAAGCAGCGAATCAAATGCACAGCGTTGAATAGTGGTTCGTGTGTGACCCTGTGCGTCCACGCGCACTGTGAGACCTCATAGTAATGTTTGCGAATACGGGCGTTAGTGTTAGATAAGTAGATACTTATGTGTGAACTTATGTGTCTATGTATAGTCAGTGTGGAAGATATCGAAGCATCCAAAGATTCTCAATACTTTAACCTTAAATTAACTTAACACTTGTAATTAAATTATTTTTATTTATCATAATATGCTTAATGATTTATTTTTGCGAAGATGAAGAACACCTTGGCCTACTAATAATATTATGTTGAGTAAAAAACTAACGCAATATAACTGGTTTTATTTGTATTCAGTATCGATTTTTTTGTAACCAACAAGGTATGAAGGACTTTATATTCATTAACTTAAGTAAACCACTGACAACAGGCAGTTCATTTTCGAAGCAAAATCACTCTTAATACAATAACATAGATGCCACTGTGTTGTCGTTCGTTACATAGCATAGTAGATGTTAGGTACAATCAAAACTCATAATAGGTTAAAACAACTTTTGACTGCAAAAATCAGTCAAAAATTTGCATCCTGTGTTATCATAGTTAAATAGGAAACCTCCTAACCGAACGCAACATTTACCTCTTTGTAAACCCTATTTATTGCAAATTAATAATTTGAATATGAATTTGACGAATCAACTTTTGATATTTTTTTTGCAGTGAAAAGTGGTTTTGATTGACTGATTTTTGCAGTCAAAAGTGGTTTTGACCGATTATGAGTTTTGACTGTAACATAGATACGATTTATTATGTTCGATCTTCACCCACTACATGTACTTTTGCACATGAACTTATTTTTGTATTGGCCTGGTTGTTTTCTATTCGTAAATTAAGTAAGTACCTACTCAAGTATTCGTATTTACAAAAGGTAATATGTTTAGTATGTACTCATAGTATTATAAGCTTTATTTAGTGTGGGGCTAGATGACGCAGTGTAAAATGTCCAAGGACGTTTATTAAATGCCTATATTTATACTTATCTATTTTAAAGTATTTTTAAACATACTAGTGTCGAGTCGATCTCACTTAAATATTCATAAATGGTTTTGTATTTTTGTAAACCCCGATGCTTATTAATGAGGAAGATGAGTGTAATTATTTTATAATGTAAAAAGATCAAACATAAAATATAAAAAATGTTAGTAAAAGAATTTTTTCGATATCTCAAAAACTGAATTTTCTATGGGCATTCAAAGTTGGATGTTTTAAAAATCAACTCGCACTTGACCGTTTAGCGCGTGACGTCACACCGCCCGTTACCTCCGCCGGGATGGCATTGCTCCTTCGCGCGCTCATAGACTCGTGCAGTCATTTCGAGTTTTATAGAATTATGGAGAAAAAAATACCATGCAGATATTGTATAATAACCCTTTTATACTAATACAATGGCTAGTGCCCCAGAAAAATACTTTTAAAGCTAAGAAAAGTTGAGAAATACATAAATGGTGTAAGTTAACGAAAAGGGAGAAAGCGTTATCTACAAAAACCAGTCGATATTATTGCAAAGATCATTTTAATGCGAGTACCTACCTAAAGACAAAACACCTACCATTGTATATTTTTCATTACAATTTTTTTATAAAGTATTTTAGTGACATTTTATTTGAAACAGTTTTATCGATAACCCACAGCAATCTGACTGACAGCACTAGTACTTTTACTTTTAAACTAGATAGAACTTTTATAATCTACCTCAAATACTACAAAAGGCGTAAATACTAAATACTCAATTATTTATTGCATCCATAATAATAGGTTCACTTACCTTGCAAGTTTTAGCCCTTGGATTTCTGCAATAATAAAGGTACTTTGCATGTTTTCTGAAAGTATCCACAACCATAAGTAAATCTACTTTCGTAAGATTATTTGGTTGGCATCAGATACGGTTAATATAAATAAAAAATGTATCGAAATGAACGAAAATAAGTTTACAGAGCGCAGCTAGCACCCGCGCCGCCCGTCCGTCGTTGCCCAACGAGCGGTGTGACGTCACCGCCCGTATTCCAGGGGTGCTATCAGTTTTCACGCGTTCCCATATTGATTTGCTTATAAAATATTCAATTTTCGTGATATCAACAAATTTTTTTCACAGTTAGTCTTATTTTAGCTTAAAGTTTTTGTTAGGGCTGAAAAAGGGGAATAAATTTTGATTTACATCTTCCTCATTGAAATAAACTGAATAATGAAAAATGTAACAAAAACCTACCGAATCAATTAATATTACATTAGCTCTATCAAAAACTAAAAAAATTAAGGTTTTAGTTTGAATCGATTTTTTGCATAAAGTTAATATACAGAATGTTAGGTAAATGGGTACATGAGCCGACAATAGCCCATGTTAACATGGGCATATTAATGGTATGGCGAAGTCAATATCAAATTTCTGACTTCACCATACCATTTATATGCCCATGTTAACATGGGCTAGTGTCGGCTCATATACCCATTTACCTAACACCCTGTATAAATACTCGTACTTTTGTCTGAATGGAAAAGACATTATAGGTGATATCACCATAAGCCATGATTATCAATAAAACAATAGCATAACTTTAGTATTGTTTACAGCTGTACAAATAACTTGTAACTATTGAATTCAATTCTAGGAACATGACGTAGGTGTGTACAGATGACGGCACATAAGCTGAACACATTGCGCCTTATTTTACTTTCAATAGATGTTATTTTGCTATAAAAATTATAAGTATTATGTGTTGTTGACGTACGTATGTATTAAGTAGACAGTGACTTCTTGTATTGTTCATTTTACGTACTAATATAATTGTATTATAAACATATCAAATAAATACATTATATTCACATGACGATGATGATCATGATTAATATTATGACATATTCTTGTAATTTAATACATGTTCACGTAGAATCAGACGGATCAGTTAATGTACTTATTTGTTATTCGACAGCATTTAATCTTACCATTAAAATGTAACTAAAATGACGACGATTTTTATGGTTATAATTTACGAACTCTAAGATCCTCAGTAGCTTAAAACAACGCTCAAAACCCAACGCAATAATAAGTCGTAGTGATGCCCTGTGATTGGTCTTAATGCTGAAACTCACTTCGAAGTATTTCGCGAAGCGCACCCATCTTAAAGGGCACCTATACTAATCCTCGAAGCATGTCTTTGTTTACTAATATTAAGATTTTAAACTTTAAGGGCTGATTTTTTAATCGTCAGATAACTTTAAACTAGACAATTATTTTGGCACATTTGATAGGTAGTTTCAGTATAGGAAATATATCAAAATGACAAGTTTATTCTTCAGTACCTCTAGTAGGAAAAATTTTGTATGAAAAATTAAACAGCGCCCCCTAGGGCGGCTATAATATAGGGGGCGCTGTTTAATTTTTCATACAAAATTTTTCGATGACACTTTGAATACGCAACGAAACGAACTCGAAAGTTTTTCCTACTAGAGGTACAGTTAAAAGATATCTGACGATTGAAAAATCAGCACTAAGATGAATAAAAAGAACCAGGGCAACATACCGGAGGTGCGCTTCGAGTATTAATTTAGGTGCGCTTCATTGGGTGCGCCTCAAAATGGGTGCGTTTCGAGGAATACCTCTGAAACTTAACCAATCGAAAGCCTCAATTTGTACTTGAAATTAAATCGAGTTATGAGATCCATTCTTTAATACACACGTGACTCTAGACATTAATACCCTTTAAAACAGTACATTGTCTACAACTTCTAAATATTAAACCTAAATAATACCAAAATACCTCATTATCAGTTGGCTTAAAGAATATTTTATGAGACTGTTTTAAGATATTTATTATAATAGCATAGCACATTTTGTATTCATAAAATACATTATTGAATACTTTGAATTCATGTAAGTTATGAGATTGTTATTAAAGTTGATTGTGAATAAACGTTGTGAAAAGATATTATTATCGTTTTTATTATTTGTCATTATTATGCCTTACACTTAAAATTGAAAGTATTAATCATTAAATTAGGTAAATACGTAGTGTGCTACAACAAACATAGAATGGTACAAATTACTAAATATTAGGTACCTAAAACTCAAGGGAATCAGGATATACAGTCGAGCATTAACCTCCACCCATACAATTATTTGAATTATCATTTCAGCCACAGGACCTCCACTGCTGAACATAACCTAACCTAACCTAACCTTCCCTAATGATTTCCAAATTGGCCGGTTGGTAGCGGCCTGTATCCAGCGCCTACCCACTACCTCTATAAGGTCATCTGTCCACCTTATGGATGGAGATCCTAATTATTGGTGAATTACTTACTTTAATAATATCAATGGAGCCGATTTTAAAACTGGTTAAATGTCACGGGCCAGAACACGTAGTGTGGGCAGACTTCCCACTAGGTGATGGACTGACGATCTAGTGAAGATCGCGGGAGGTACCTGGATGCGGGCGGCGCAGGACCGGTCATTGTGAAGCCCAGCAGTGGACGTCATTTGGCTGAAACGAACGCGCGAACGAATGGGCTAAATCAGTCTTTCCCAAAGTGGGCGATAACGCCCCCTTGTGGGCGCTGCAGGCTTAAAGGGGGGCGGTAAGAGACCCAGAAAAAAAATCGGGACGTTGTGTAGAGGCTTGGGAGGCGGCTCAACTCTTGACTATAAAAATGGGGGGCGCTAAAAATAATTTATTCTCAAAGTGGGCAGTAGACTAAATAAGTTTGGGAACCGCTGGGCTAAATGTATAAATCGCTCAAAGCTATTATTTAAAAAAATCAAATCAAATATTTTTATTGCATGATGTAGGTAGGTACGGTACATAGGTACAGGTCATTGTCGGCCGTTTGGTGTAGTGGTTCAGAACGGACTACTATGCCGAGAGGTCCCGGGTTCGATTCCCGGCCGGGCAGAAATTGAAATGATGAATTTTAATTTCTGTGACGGGTCTGGGTGTGACTATGTATAATATTTATGTATTTAAAAAAAAAAAGTATATTTAAGTAGTATATCCGTTAAGCTAGCACCCATAACACAAGCATTAAGTTGCTTACTTTGGGGCTAGCTGGCGCTGTGTATAATTGTCCAAAGATTATTTTATTTATTTATTTATTCAATAAAATATTGTTCAGATACTTTATGATGTATCATCCATATCGTCATGCAACAGAATAAAAATCACCGAAGTAACATATAATAATTTGTTTCAAGATAATTCTATCATACTTTACCAACTAACAATTAACACATTCTGTACTCGTACTTATTAGGTATTGTAGTTTGTCAAGAACCGATAATAATTAACATAATTTTATTTTCAAACACGAGTGACTAATCTTTCCCACCTCACAAATCAGAACTTGGGTCATGTATCGGCAATTCCCACCACTTTAGTAAGCCTTCATCTTGCAAGCGAGGATGACGTTTTTATAATCCTGCGCGTGCGCACCTCTCCTTTCACAGTTGACAACTCGTGTGACATTGTGATTCTGACATTACTAAACTCATAAACTGGTTATAGTAATTGACAACTCGTGCTACATTGTGATTCTGAGATTTTTCTTTACACTACTAAATTGGGTGACTTTTAGAAGCATGGCCAAAATTTTGTGTTGTTTTCTTTGCATTTGTGTGTTTTCTTCGACAGCTGTACCGAGTTATATTGACTTTAACAATTTGAAAGTATACAGGGACAGTGAGCACAGTGCTAGCAATGTTAAAATAATCACAAGTGCTAAATCTCAAAATTTAGGCTCAAAAACAGTCAATACAAATGACCTAGTTGTAGATAATGGACAAGTAAAGCAACTCTACCGGCCAATAGATGTAATTAGTAAAGGGACACTTCTTGGGACACTGTCCCAGTCTCAAGAAACCAGTAGACCGAAGAGGAACACCATTCTAAGCGGAGTCTGCCCTTACGGACAAGTCCTGAAGCCCTTTCCATTCGGATGTGTAACATGTGAACAGTAAGTACTTAAAGTAATTTATTTTATGATAGGATTTTAAGAAGCAAAGCGCTTCTTTAATTAAATGTAGAGATGTGAAAAAGTTTTGTGGATAGTTTTTGATTTCACTGGTCTCTTGACCGCTAGGTCACTAGGTCAATTGTGATTCTCAGACATAAAAATAAATCTATACTTATTGCGTCAACAAAAAAATTAACAGTAAGAATGATATCAAGTTTAGTATTTATGTTGCCTATGGACTGTAGCTAAAATAGGAAATAAATTCGAATTTTAATTTCATACGTCCAAACGTCCTTCATTTGGTACTCTTTCTTATGATCCGTGAAGAAGGTTAGTTCACCCGTTTCCTTGCTCTGTTATATTCTTCAATAGCTCTGTTATAATTTTCAAAGCTCGATATTATTCAAAACTTCTGTAAAAGTTGATTGTAGCTTAACTTTGACTCAAGTTTCACGCAGTTTGTGCCCTATAGAAGAGAGATATATTATGACTTGTGCCTGAATACCAGCCTTAATTAGAAGAGGCTAGAGAATATAATTTCAAATGAGCAATAAAACACGGCGCCAGACTCGTTATGTGACTGCATTTTTGCTCCACTCACAACAGGAAAATTTTAGTACCTACATATTACCAGTTTACGCGTGCGATTTAAAAAACCCTGTTTTGTGAAATCAGAGTAAATCGAAACAAAAAGTTGTAACACACATTTTAAGGTATTTCCTCGTCTGATGCGTTTATTAGGGGAGATCGAGGAGATTTGTAACAGAGATCAAAGTCAAAGTGAAAAACTTCTATTTGTATAGACTATTTAAATAGTACTTGTTTTGTCAAATATTTTTCTCTTAAGGAGCCTCTACATGTCTCATAATCTTTTTACCCTACCAGCGCTTCAAGATCAATATTTGACAAGTGCTGAGAAGAAGCGCCGCAACAAACTCAGTCACCACATGATGATTAGTCACATAGCCGATTTCTTGGCGCCTATGACAGAAGTTAGCGAGCTGTCAATTTCAAGAAAACTGTAGTGTCGAAAGAGCAACGAATTCGCGAAATTGTTTGCACGATAAACTGTCAAAAGAATCAGAGACATTGACTTTGCTCCAACCCAAATCTGTTACAACTCTCTTCGGTCTCCCCTAAACTAGTGCCCCATCCGGGCTTCACACGGGTACAATAATCTTCCTCTTAAATCACTCTTATCTATATTGCCTATTGCTGAAAACTGCATTAAAATCCATTGCGTTATTTAAAAGATATAAGCGAACAGACAGCGAGAGCGACTTTGTGCGCGTGGCGTGGACGCACAGGGTCACACACGAACCAATCACAGAGGTCTATTCAAGGTGCATTCGATTTGCTGCTTCACTTAAGCAAGCATCGTTTGTGAATACGGGTTTAGGACGAAGTAAATATTAATCAACTTGTTAATGAGTTTTTAAGTAATTGTATTTTCTGTTACAGGTATGAAGAATGGACTGGCTTGAAATGTTCCGAATAACAGAGTTTCATAAACAAATAAGAAGAAACAGAGGACATAATGCAAGACGACGGAATAACAAAGGACAGTCAACTTGTCTGATGATAGAAATAAGTACTCTGGAATCGTTTTAGTCAAAGATGCGATTCTTTTTTTTTTTTTTTTTTTTTTTNACAACTTTAACATTTTTTACATTGCTTACATTGCATTGTTGTACATACATTTCCTTAAAGACCCGTTTAATGCTAAGGTTGTACCGACATACGCTGCAATGTAAATGTATAGTCTAATATCGACTGAACTCTAGATAATATGTATTATTTTAAATAATTATTCTCTTATCCTTAGTTAGCCTATTTTCAATGTTTTTTTATTTTTATTTAGGTAACTCCTGTTATCACCTTAATGACCATATCTTACAAAGATTTGAACATAAAGGCCATTAACTGGTATTTTCGCCAATATTGAACTTAATTTAATTCTTAAAGAAATTTCTAGTCTTCCTTTTCAGATTAGATTTCCATTTCAGATTAAACTTTCAAAATTGTTTTTCTAAGAGTTAAATTATTATTATTGTCATAACATAAGTAAGTTTTTAATTTTTTACTTGTTGTTACTAACTATACTTTTTCTATAGACGTACATAATTATTATCATGTACTACGCATATTTACCCAACTGCACCAGAAGGAGGGTTATGTTTTTAATTAATGATCTTGTTTAATTGACAGATAACGTGTCAATGTTCATTAAATGTTTTATCGCAAAAAGACAATTGGTATTACTATCCTACAAGACGTCTATCATAACAACTATGCTAGTTTTTATTGTGACTACAATGTTACTGTTATTCACATTCCTAATTTATTGTGACTGTGGATATTTTTCTTCTTAGACTCAATCGTAATATCACTATCGTCAGGTAAGGTCAGTGTTGTGGTAAAATTATTAAATCTTAGGCTGGGTTGCACTAATCTAACTTTGACTTTAACAAACGCCAAAAATCTGTCAAGCTCCATACAAAAATACCGCTTAACGTTATACTTACGGTTAAATTTAATTTAGGTGGTGCAACTCAGCCTTAGTGACCAATAAGGATATTTTTGGTGACTGTAGAAGTCATGGGAATTCCGGTTCCACCACCCCTACTTTTTCCGTGGATTCAATATCCATGTACGAACGACAGCAAATCAAACTAAAGATAGTGGAATGTTATGTCATTGTAACACAGGCGATTTTACAATGATAGTTTATTTATTGATTTAAAGACTTTATTGCACACACAACAATGTTCAGTACAAAAAGATTACTTATGGCATTAAGCCATAAGTAATTCTCTACCAGCTGACCTTGATAATGTTTAAACGGTGTCAATGACAAGATTAATAAAATCAAATCAAATTAGTTTATTGCAATTGTAGGTACATATCATACTTACATTGATGGGTCTTAAAAAAAACTAAAAAAGATTTAGTACTCGTATTGTTGCTAAGAAATAATGCTTCCTATTTAACTAACACTTAAGAGTAATAAATCGTATATTGTTACTGGCTTTATTTCTTCTAGTAGACGCGTGAGATCAGCAAGCATCCTTGTCCACTTCCACCTTCGAAATGCAGGTTTCCTTCCGCGTCGGCGCGTGCGCACCGGCAAACGGAAGGCTAAATGTAGATTAACAAACCTATGTGACTATTTTAAGCAACAATTAAAGCTCATTGTTCTTTCATTTGAAAGTTAAACTGTCATTGGACCTACAACGAAATTAATCAGAGGGTTGAGTGCGAGTTTACATCAAAAGTCGTCACTAGTGAGCGCGTCAAAAATGACATTATATGTATGACGGATTGTACAGCGCCCCTAGCGGAAATTTTCAAGAACAAACAAAAATTTTCTTACATTTTTTTTAACTCGCTGTAAACTCACACTAGGCCCTCTGTATACAACAGGATGACTTTGAAATTATGGATCGACTCCCTCCAATGCAAAGCGGATGAAAGGATAGAAAAACGCCACGAACTCACCTATTATGTATAACAGCTAGCTTAAAGTATTTTTCTATGTTTATTGAACGCCACTGAACTTTGGCCGACTAATATGGAATCATAGTTAACTTATAGGTTAAAGGGTCGCATTTGTAATGTATGTTGTATCACTAGAGTAAAAAGTTATGAGTCAAATCGTTTAAATAGCAACTACCTATGTATTACTCATCGCCATGTATTACTATACTCGTAAGTAGGTACGTAATCGATGTACGACTACCTATTATATGCGACATAACACAAGTTACCTAAATTTATTCTTGCGTCCTATAAGCCTCGGGCTACTATGCCCTCATTGTATCAATAGGTTTTCATATTGCATGAAAAAAGTGACATCTTGAAGTAACGATTACGGACCAACAGTTACATAAGCTGTTGCTTTTTTAAGGATCAGATAGAATAAGATATCCTGCTGCAGCTAGGACCAGTTGTGAAATAGACTTGATTTGGTCGCACGCGCACGTGTCAGTATCAGTAATCTATTCGTTGCAGCCAAATGACATCCACTGCTGGACAAAGGCACCCCTAAGGATTTTCATAACGACTCCTGCCTCGCTGCCCTCATACAGGTTCTTCCACTTCCCACGACCTTCACCAGATTGTCAGTCCATCTAGTGGGAAGTCTACCCACACTACATCTTTTGGCTTGTGGTTACCTCTAGTAAACCTTTCTGCCCCAGCAGCCATCTACGAACTATATGCCCCGCTCACTGCCACTTGATTTTAGAAATTCTGTGGGCTATGCCTATGACGGTCACTTTGGTTTTCCAGTAACTTGACAAGATTTTAATAAGTTCTTATCATAATTACAACACTCACTCTTGTACCTCTACAAATTGTATTTTGCATAAAGCTATGTAATTTTGTTTACCGTTTGGAAAGATGCGAGACATTCCCAACACAAGTATCTCCGATTACTTACTGGGAAGCCTCCGCACAAATATTGTATAAAACTTTTTGTCAATAACTTTTATTTCTTATTATTATTTAAAGCTCTGATCTATACTTTTATCGCTATCAACTTTAACTCTCTTTTATCGCGGGCTGTAACCGAGGTCACCACCATTTCAGGCTTTATGCGACGATAAACTTCTTTGATGCCGAGTCAGTGTGTTAAATATTAGATGCGATTGTCACTTACCGTTAATAGAGCTAGAGGTTTAACGTAGTTTGATGTGATTACACAGAGATATTATCTAGCTAGAGACTTAATCTAGTTGAAATTTAAGCTTAATTAATCAACAGCGAAGGTATGAATTTACTTTTTATCTCTTTCATGTTACAAATTTTTGAACCTTAAGTAATTTTTTTAGAAAAAAAAATACTACGGATTATGTGTATAACGAATAAGTGCTCCTATAAGATTAACTCTTTCATCTCAATGACTTGCCCTAAGATTTCATATAAGTAATACAGATTTATCATAGTTTCGACTTTTATTCGACAAGGCTACTGCCTTGTTGAAACTATGTTGAAAATATGCTAGCCTGTATTTTCTCCTGCCTAAGACTTACCTGTATCGTGTGGACAGTGTGCCGCAGCATCAGCACCAGCACAGGAGAAGCCAGGAGTACCGTCACGAGGATCGTCACGCCGATCGCGAGCGTTCGCCGAGCGTGCCACATCTCTACCCTCACTGAATCCCTGGAAAGCGAAAGATAACTTGTCTGTTAACTGCTAAAAATGTTAGGCTGGGTTGCACCATCTTTCTTTAACTTTAACAGTCGTCAAAAGTCTGTCAAACTCCATACAAAATCCACCGGTGGTGCAACTCAACCTTAGTAAGGCAAGTACTCCTTCAAACAAAACACCGATCAAGTAGAATTGGGCAAGTGTTCTCCTTCCTACTAATTATTATAAAATTTGAGATATACCTGTTAAACTCAAATTAGATAACGGAGTTCACGAGTAAGTTAGTTCACAACATGTTCCTCAAATTCTACAGCAGAACTACGTTTTGACAGCTCATAAAAAGTCGAGTCAGTTATTATATCAATCAAAATTATTGTTTAATTATCAGCTACAGGAATAAGGCTTAACTAAGTAGGATCCTGAGGCAATGGAGCGATACGAGAGTGCATGTTATTGTTTTTTACGACTTATCTTCAGATACCACAGTCATAAATGTGCTTTAGATACGTAATACTTACGTCACACACAAACCCGACCTTCATTAGTTGGGTTTTATTATTCATAGCTTTTAGCTGTACTTATATCCTAGCTACACAAGAGTTGCAGCGATGGAAACGAGAGTAGAAAAGAGTCCCGTATATCACTTTCTCACACCGCTTTACCCTTTTTACTGCCTTGTGAGTGTGACCTCCTCAATTAAGCGCTACTAAAGCCTGGTCCGTGAGCACGTAGAATTTTGTCCAATGACCCCAAGCTACCCATCCTTATCGCTCGCACGTAATTATGTTGCTGTCGTGCTCGCACACTCATTGCGGGCGCCCGTCTCACAGTCGCGATAGCAATATAATTACGTGCGAGCGATAAGGATGGGTAGCTTGGGGTCATTGGACAAAATTCTACATGCTCACGGACCAATGTTTATAAACAAATATCCTAAAGCTTCTTTCTTCAAAGCTCACCTGATGATGTCCCAGTAAGCATGCTTGACGTGCCTCAGCTTGTTCAAGCAAGCGTTGGACTGGTGCGTGTACACGTTGAGGTCGATCCCTCTCTGCGAGCGAGTGAGCTTGGGGTTACTCATCGCCCGCGCGGATTCCTCGTAGCTATAACAAATAATTATTTATTTACACACCTTATAATATCATTATAGGAATCACAATAACTAGACATTCATACATCTATACTTATAATAAATCTGTAGAGAGGTCAATTCTGTACATGAAATATATTTTAAAAATAACTATCAGGGGGTGCGTGATTAGTGATCGATACTGATGTCAAAAATGCTATCAGTAAAATTTTTGTCTGTCTGTCTGTATGTTCCTTATAGAAACAATAACTACTTGACGGATTTTAACGAAACTAGGTACAATTATTCTTCATACTCCTGGGCAGGTTATAGTATACTTAGGAGCAGAGTAGTGAAGGAAGATTTTGAGAAAACGGGAGAAGTTACTCCATTTTTTAATGACTGACTGACATATCAACGCACAGCCTAAACGGCTAAACGTAGGCACTTGAAATTTGGAAGGGACGTAGCTTAGGTACCATAAAGGTGCACTAAGAAAGGAATTCCCGAAATTCCCACGGGAACGGGAATTAGCGGGAAAATCATTTTGTATGAAAAATCTAAACCGCTTAAGTTAGACGCTTGAAATTTGGCATGCAGGTACCTTAGTAAACTTAAAGCTTAGTTACAACAGGATATTGCAATATTCCGACGGGAACGGGAGTTAGCGGGAAAAAACATTTGTATGAAAAAATCTATACCGCGTAAGATAGATGAAGGGGTAAAACGGGCTCCACGCATACCTACGTAGTCGCGGGCGGCCGCTAGTACTAAGTAAGTACGTAACGGATTATGACGATTGTATTACATTAGCCGGCTTAGGATGCACCCCACTGACCCCACGATACAATCTTATTGTTGTCAAAAATCGTGAAAATGCCTCAATAAATCGATATAGTGGCGCACATCCTGGGACAGAACAATATTTAAAGAATTAAAATCTGTAAGAAACTAAATTGTGCACGGGCGAAGTTGCGGACAAAAGTTAGTGGTTTGCCACAATTGATTTCAGTAAAACCATAGGTACTTGATTGTTGCATTGTCCAGAAATGGGGAATTATGATAAGCAATACCTCAGAATGGGTTCTATATTGGCTCACATAAAATTCTAAATCCTATTCTTTGTCTTACTACCGATTTGTGTTCATAATAATCTCTCTTCATAATTTTATTTTTCATACTTTTTTTATTCATACATTTTTATTACTACCATCGGAGCTCATAACAGTTAGTAATCATAATTTTTTTATCAATACTGTTACTACCAAGAACCATTTAAAATACATAATTTTTATTTTCAGATCTTTTTTCTTCATAACATTCATTGATCATATTGTTTTAATTAATAATGTTGTTACTAAGAACATACTTCAACTCATAATGTTGTTGTTCAGAATAATTTACTTTATAACAGACATACTCGTATCTTTAAAAAAATCATATATAATTTAATAGAGTAGATAAGCATGCAGAGCATGCAGCATGAAAGCAAGCATGCAGCATGCATTGGTATCTCCTCGTCTCCGGCGCTGCGGGATGTGCAGCCCTTCCGCCCTTGCGTAACGAGGCTCAGGCACCCACGCTTGCTTCCGCAGCTTCGGCTTTTTGGATCGCCATCGGCGCCTTCGGCGCCTCGGCGACCAGCCTCAGCCGCTCCAGCTCACCCGGGCGCCTGAGCCTCGTTACAGCGGGCGAGGGCTGCCCTCCCTCCGCGCCTCCGGTTTTTAAATTACACTCTAGGGGTAGGGCAGACAAGACTACGTGGAGTCGGTTTTGCAGCGATTCGTTTCTGTCACGTTAGTTTTGTGGCACAAAATATTGCCTGTTTTGGACCATTTCAAATTAATTAAACGTTAAAATACGATTTAATACGAATATAGACATCATGATTTTCAATAATATGGATAAATACACTTATGAGTAATAAATTTATGAAAACAAATATTAGGATACATCACATTTATGAATATTATAGTTATTTATTCGAATGATTATGAGTTTCGATCATTAGTATAGAAAAATATATGAAAACAAATATTAGTAAAAACTAAGTGTATGATTAGTGATATTATGAATATCAATGATTATGTTTTTAAATATGTAGGTTTTAAAGGATGGTGCCAGGGTCTGGACCAAGTGCTGCCCAGAATCAACCCATAGTGCATTTTGTTCCTCAGGCCAATACTAATGTGTAAACTGAAGTGCACTGAAATCTATCCCTGGAGTTAAGAGAAAAAAAGAGTTTTGTTTTGAATTATTTACATATAAAATATCATCGATGTATACGTACTTCGCATAAGATTTCGCGATTTTGGCATTAAATAACACTCGATATGTTGAACTTAACCATACTGCATCCGTACACCTTACTTTAGTGCGACTTAGACATTATTTATAAGCGATCTAGCGCTGTTGCAGTAGTTTGGTTAGTTGACAGAAATCATTATTTCCAAAATGAACCAAGAAGTTTGAGTTCTCTATCCTTGCGAAAAATCTATTTATTGGTGTATTACAATCGATTATTGAAATTATAGTAAGCTAAAACTTCTTGCTTCATTTTGGAAATAATGATTTCTGTCAACTAACCAAACTACTGCAATAGTGCTAGATCGCTTATAAAGAATGTCTAAGACTCACTAAAGTAAGGTGTATGGATGCAGTATGGTTAAGTTCAACATATCGAGTGTTATTTAATGCCAAAAACGCGAAATCTTATGCGTAGTACGTATACATCGATGATATTTTGTATGTAAATAATTCAAAACAAAACTCTTTTTTTCTCTTAACTCCAGGGATAGATTTCAGTGCGCTTCGGTTTACAAATTAGTATTGGCCTGAGGAACAAAATGCACTATGGTTTCATTCTGGGCAGCACTTGGTCCAACTTCCATACATGGATTGGCACTGTCCTTTTTTATGAAGAATGATCATTATGGTATCAAATTGTATGAGAAATATTTTCGGACCTCCAATGATAGGAATTGAAAAGTTATGTAAGAAAATGCGCTACCCTCAGAATGTTGCGGTTTTCAACTAAATGCATATTAATTTATGAATAAGGCTTCACTTATGCGTTTCTATTTCATTTCGATGATTTCATCCGAATTTCCCCGATAATCCTTGATTGGTCAGGCACGCGTCAACTTCAATGTAATATGTATATTTGTATCATACATACGAAAAATACCAATGACTCTAAGCCTTGATCACACGTACCGAGTAAACGGGCGAGACAGTAAAATGTTTACTCGGTCGAGACAGTTGGGTAAGCGAGTCACATACTCGAGCGCTCGGCCGAGCACTCGGTGTAATGTTATGTTCATAACTTCATACACACCGAGTCAACTCGGTCGAGAGCACTGTCTCGCCCGTTTTCTCGGCCTACGTGTGATCAAGGCATAACAGTAACAGTAACTTGAAATTATGAAGTAACAATTTGTGGATCACAACAATGTTCAACATCGATCTACATAAAATATGTCTAGCACTTATCTGAGTCAGTGCGTTAGTAAGCGTTACTAGTGGGTTCACCATACAATATTCTAGCGACAGCGGCCAGCCGACACCGACACCGTTGAGCTATTTGTAGCCTTATTTATGATGTTATGTTACTCAATTGTTATGCAATGTACCTAGTTGGAAACGTAACCAATTTATTATCAATGCAAAAAATAATAAAATAATTTACAACAATCTAATTTATTAAAACGTTTTAATTGTGTTAGAGCTAAGATTAGATTCCCACTTCCCACGGGACTTTTTCGGGAGGGGAATTACTTGCCGTCTGTTGCAGCACAATAACTTTCAGTCACTGGCATGAAAAAGATCCTAAAAATAAACACTAAGGCTGGGTTGCACCATCTTATTTTATCTTTGACAAACCTCAAAAATCTGTCAAACTCCATAAAAAAGCACCGGTTATCGTTATAGTTACGGTCAAAGTTAGGTGGTGCAACTCAGCCTTACAATTGAGAGATAATGGACGACTTCACATAAAACTAAACACGGTGGCTCCATGGGTAGTTAGTAATAGGAGAGATTTTGCATTTATGATGGTGTAAGTTGAAGGCGAGAGTGAATAGGCACTTACAGGGCATATTATGTAAATACACCCTTCGGCAGGTACGATTACGCTCAAATACCTGCCTTGTTATTCGTGTTAATTAAGCATTAAAAAATAAAAAAAACTTGTGGGTATTTTTAGCGCTTAAGCATTGTACGCCAAAACTAGTATCCTGTGAAATTGTGATATAAGTACTTAGTATCATGATAAGTGGTGTGATCCTATTATTATCTTGGCAAACACATTCCGCGCTATGCAGCTTAGTCTGTCAGCTTAGCTTAGCTAATCTTAGCGAAAAAGCATCATCTATACTATTCTATACTAATATTATAAATGCGAAAGTAACTCTGTCTGTCTGTCTTGCTTTCACGATGATTTGGCATATATGTAGATAGTTTGAGTCCCGGGAAAGGACATATAGGATAGTTTTTATCTCGGTTTTTGAAACCGACAAAATTCCACGCGGGCGAAGCCGCGGGCGGAATGCTAGTATATCATAAGAAAACAATAAAACTTACAAAACTATGATTTCCATGAGGGTCTTCGCTTCATCAAACAGCTCATCTGCCTCTAAATACTGAACTGCAGCCTGTAGGCGCTCCAAGGCCAGCTGATGGTGCTTCTGGAGGTGGGTGTTCAGGTCCTCGTCGAAGACTTCGTTGCTGAGGAAGATGGCCGCCACCAGGGCAAGAGACACCTCCTCCATGGACTTCAGGAGTTCGTAGGACGTTGACAAGTGTCTGGGTGGGTAAAAAAGGTCGATTGTAATGTGTTTTAGGGAAAAGCAGTGCATAAATAAAGTTTTAATCTTGGCAATAATTTTGTGATCACTTTGCATAGTAGCACACAAAAAAAATTTCGAAACGAATGCGAATCAGTCACGAATGTAACTTTGTCTACGAAGGAGTCCCTAATTAAGACTACAATGCAGCTTTTTCTGAGAAAATTTGTTTGTATCAATTATAATATCATTGGTTTGTATGCAGTTTGATGCAGTTATACCACAAAATAGTTATACCTACCTTAATTATAATAATAAAAAAATCAACACGACTAAGTGCTTGTATTAATAAAGATCAGAAAGTCTGTGTCATTTTTGTAGTTGGTTAATCTTAATATCTACAATACTGTTAAATGATCAATCTGCTAATAAAAATCTAGGTGTAAGCAAATGTAAACAACACTTCAGATTTAAAATGACTCACCGGACTTTCTCATAATTTAAATAAGTAGGTAGATGCAAATCAGGGTTATGTTGGATTTGAGTACCGGTTCTGAATCGTGATTCGTGATTCGTAAGATCCTTGCTGAGTTCGAGGCATATCCGGATTTTTGCTGACACATCTCTAAGCTTATTTACATTAATTAATTGTATTATGTATAACCAATATAAGATTAGTTCCTACCAACATAAAGTTTGATAATTATAAAGGCTCGCTTTCCGGAATAGTACGGGCATAGAATATTTAAAAAAATCATTTGCATACCTCGCTGACACATTTCTGTTTAGTTTCTCAGTAACAGATGGCGTTGGCAGAATTAGTCTAGTTCCTCACTAACAGATGGCGTTGTATAAATTTTAGTTCAGTTTATCACTAAAAGATGGCGTTAATACTATTAATTCAGCTACTCGCTAACAGATGGCGTTGTATACATTTTAGTTCAGTTTATCACTAAAAGATGGCGCTAATACTATTAATTCAGCTACTCACTGACAGATGGCGTTGTATGAATTTTAGTTCAGTTTAGCACTAAAAGATGGCGCTGATAGTGTTAATTCAGCTATTCACTGACAGATGGCGTTGTATTAATTTTAGTTCAGTTTAGCAATAATAGATGGCGTCGACAGTATTAATTCAGCTACTCGCTGATAGATGGCGGTGTATGCATTTTAGTTCAGTTTAGCACTAATAGATGTCGCTGATAGTATTATTTCAGCTACTCGCAGATAGATGGCGGTGTATTTATTTTAGTTCAGTTTGTCACCAATAGATGTCGTTCACAACATATCAACAATTTTATAGCAGTAATATTTTGTTCATACAAATAATATTTATTTTAATGGCGATACCAACAGCTCCAAAATCATTTACCAAAAGAATTTTGAAGAAGACTTACCGCCACAGCGCTGAAGTGGTAAACCTGACGTAACGGATAATGTACAGTAGGATGGTCCTGTTAAACTCCCCATAAACAGACATGCGCTTCAAACTGTCAGCTTTCTTGAGATCACTGCAACAGACAAGTACTGATAAATTTCCAACCAATGAGGGTTTTCGCGAATGAAAGATCCGCTAGATGGCGGGACGTGGATGTGGGGTCTGATTGGTGGATTTTGACATATCTGTCAATGTCATGTCAAAAATAACCAATCATGCAGCATTTGGACCTCGCGTCTACGTATTGCCATCTGGCGGATTTTTCATTCGCGATAACCCTCATTATGATAAAAATTTTAACCAAAAGACCTTTTTCAGAACACTTTTATGGCTCTTTGGCTTGCTATACCACCACTTCGTTGTTGAGTATAAGTTGTATTATGTGATTTCTTAAATTTCTAATTTAAAAAAAGGTAGGTGCTTAACTAATTACTTTCCTTTAATACTTACAGAAAAGTTGTGACGTCTTCTCTAAAGTGACTGCATGTAGGAGTAAATATGAAAATGAGTCTCTATTTGTAGTAGTTAGGTATGAAAATTTTAATTTTTTTCCTATACATATGGATTGTATACTGTACACTTCAAGGCATAAAATTCAAAATCTATCGAATGCTTGCAGCTTTTTTCATTACAAGCCAGGCTTTAAAGTAAGATGGTGTTTACAAAATATTACAAATCTGCGAAGATTTATGGAAAATTCGCGTCTCTTGAAGACTGGAAGTGACATTATCGATAAATATGATAGTTAAAAGTGTTTAAACTACCATATTATCGACTCTACATTGTATTTTTTTTAAATACAGGACAAAGCAGACGGACTTATACGTCTTCTACTAACACAAAATCACAATGATTTCATAATACTAAGGCTGAGCTGGCACGACCTAACTTTAACGGTAACTATGACGATAACCGGTGCTTTTTGTATGGAGTTTGACAGATTTTTGACGTTTGTCAAAGTTAAAGTAAGATGGTGCAACCCAGCCTAAGAATATCAGCCGATATCGTTAATTTTAATATCGTAGAATTAGCATCAGGTCAAGTGCTCTAGAATAGGTATTTTATGTTGCTCTTTCAAAGTAAAAATATATTTAATTTCATTTAAAATTACAATCTAAGAAGAAATTTAATCATAAATATTCGCATTATGAAATCTACTTACCTACCTACTTTCAAGAAACGATTCGTGATTACGACATTTTGTAATACGTATTATAAAACAATGTGATAGTGAATTTAGATTTTATGTATGGCTCGCACGACTTGCATATTGCCCCATCACGTTTTAAAAGTGAAAAAATGTGAAGATATCTTCTAAGCTTTGACCACTTTTACCTACTTTTTCAAATAAAAATCCAGTCTAAGGCACCCCAAGCATTTAGCCCCGCAATCCATCAAAAGGGATTTCTCATGTTATTCCAATGACAAAAATAATTACGCACCAAAATCGCCGAATTACGAGCCAAATTTTTGTGAGAAATATTTTAATTAATTACTTACTAAAGTGACAGTTTGTGTTCATCCCGGAGTAGAGGTAGCGTCAGCTTTTCCAGAAGCTGATCTGTCTCCAGAAAAGCCGCTTGGACTGCTGACCTTGGGGCAAACGAAGAACCTCATAATTTTTCAGATAAAGACATTTAAGACATAGTTAACATAGTGGTAAGCCCACCCACAAGGTGGACTGACGACCTCATAACGGTAGCAGGAAGGCGCTCTGGATACAGGCCGCTACCGACCGGCGACCGACCGATCTGAAAATCATTGGTAGAGGCCTCAGGTAAAGGACTATGTTCAGCAGTGGACGTCCTGTGGCTGAAATAATTATGATAAATACCTAGTTTTTCTATTCCATTCTATACATATTTTAACAACTTCTTTCTTTACAATACTGCTAAAACAAGCGCGAAGTAATCTAACATCTGATAAATTTATAGACGAATATAAAAACAAAGTAAAATATTTGTAAATACATCAGAGGTCAAACTCAAATGAACCGGTTTTCTGACAATATTTGGTTAAACTTAAACATTCAAAGGCTAACAGATGGTATAACACAAACATTGCTACCTGATTAAGTTATTTGTGTGTTTGGTTGGTAAAACGTAAAATGTAGTAGCTTTTATCCATACAAACATTTGGCAACTTGTCACTGTGTAGGTCTGGTGTACTCGTAGGCAGGGCCGCCGCAAGCGGGCGTGCAATGCGTGCACCGCACGCGGGCGGCACGCCCAGGGGGGCGGCAAATCAGGCGCTCAGAGCTTCCGAGAAGAGAAGCTCAGGGCGCTTAGAACAGCTGGGATCACGCAGCTGTTCCCGTCTGACGGAAGAGATGGTGTGTGCAATGCAGGCGGGGGCACCCCCACACTATCAGCCGCTGACCATCATCGTGGAGGGGAATCAGGAAGCGATCATATTGTCCCCTCCTCTGACCCCTCCGCCGCCGACGGAGTGAGGGCGCGTTTGGTTCGTCCTCGTGCTCTCGCTCCGAGGACTCATTTTGCAACATGACGTTTTTGCAGAAGGAGGCTATGGCCGCCCAGGCCTCATTACTGTCCAGCATTGCTTTGACTATGCTAGCCAGCACGAGGTCCCGGCCCAGCGCCTCGAGCCCACGCCGCACACACTGCGAGGGTATCGTGCGCCTCGTCCTCCGAGCCACGCGGCGGACCACCTCTCTTCTCGAGCGGGCCTCTCGACTTCTGTCGAGAATGTCAACCCATATGAGAGCCCCGTAAAGCGCAATGCTTTTCAAAATGCTGGCGTAAAGGAGCCGCCATTTGGCTCTCGAACCCCCCCACGATAAAGCATCCGCGGCCTTAAGCAGGCGCTATGACAGTATGGCAAAATGAGGGTCAAACTGACACCGGCTATCCGACTATCAGGCCCAGACAATTGCTCTGAACCTTAACTTCTATCCTGACTCCATCCACGGTAAAATAATATGGGCGTTAGGAGAAACACTCCAGTCTCCAGACGCGCGCAGGCAATTTAAGTACTGGCAGTGGTCGCCAAATTGGCCGCGTCCATACAATCCCTCAGGCTGTGACGAGTGTCACCTGCATAACTGATAACATCTACGCCCGGGAGGAGGGCGCCGCTTTGTACCCAGTCATATCCGATGTTGAGTTACCTGGACGGCCTTCCTTGCGCAGCAGGCATAGTTATCCGGCCTAGGCAGGCAAAGAGGGGCTCCCTCCACAGCTGAGTTGACACTGCGGGAATCTATCATGGATGGTAGAGCGAAAAAGGCAAACTGGTTCGGGAAGAGCGCTCGCAAAACCTTGTCTAGCAGAGCCTGCTCTTTAGTCAGTGGAGGACCAATAGGCTGTAGTTGGTTTCTAGCATAAAATCTCCCACAGTTAGTATCGTCGTCCAAACTTGCGAGCATTTCTGCCCTCGCTCGGTCTTTGGCGGCTCCGATTTCATAAAGGCAAGCCATATGACGGGTCTCGTGAACGTTTACGCCAGCTACGAGTGAACGCAGCTCAGCTAGTTCAGCCGACCACCAGTAGACAGCACGACAAGGTGTGCGGTAGCGTTATCGAGGCATGTTAACATCACACACCTCAATTAACGATTTTCTTAATTGGTTGGCCGCCATATCACCGTCCGTGACTATCGCATACGAATGCAGCCTCCTTGGCCATCTCCCGATCAAAGCGGGTAAGCGCCCATCTGGGTAAGGGAGAGGAAATTGAGCGGGTCGCTCCCGCACCCTTCATTGCTCCAGTGCGGTTAGAGCGGGAGTAGCACACGAAACGTCCACCACTAACCCTCCCTGCTATCGCACACTCGTGTGCACCGTCCCTCTACCCAAGAGGGATGGGGAGGCTACTACAATGATTTTTGTGCAAATGAAAATTTTCTACCTTGTATAACTTTTTATCAACGCGACGTACAGAATAAATAAAAATACTTAAACAATTGAAATTTTATCGTCTTTATACTTCTCAAAGACATTTTCCTCATATAGTCAACTATTGAAGCGTTAAATGTAAAAAATAATTAATGTTCGGCCCTTTAACTCAAGATGGTGACTAACGCTCTGACCTCTCGAGTTCGAAAACATATATACTTAATACAAATTAAAACATTTTACTTTCCACTTTTTGCAGGAAAAAAATACCAAAAATATGTCATAGCATGAAAAATGAGAAAACATCAATTAAATTAGCCTTTTTTTGACAAAACTCATTAAGTAGGTAGTCGTAGGGCGGCATAATCGGTTTTGCACGCGGGCGACGAAACAGCTAGCGGCGGGCCTGCTCGTAGGTCACCTGCTTCTTGCATTTTAATTGCAAGTTTTTTATGAACATAATAAGTAGGTATATATTTTAATTTTTAATTACACTTAAATTACACTTTTAAATCTACAGATTTCTAAACATTTATTATGGTCTTTATCACTTGGCAGTCAACTGTTTCGAGTGTTTAAAGATAACTTTAACATACTGCCGATTCGCATGAATCATAAGTATTTAATATTTTAGTAGGTATTAAGAATTAATCATTCTGTGGTTAACAGACGGTTTATCAGTAGGCACTAATGAGTAGATACGTAAGTTATTGACCGTAAATACCTATTATGACCTTTTTGTAGTAATTATGCTAGCGAAATAAATATTTTGTATGTTTATTTCATATTGTATGTTGTGTGTGTTGAAACAAAAAATGTATAGGTATTTTACTCACAAATCCACCACATCCTCTTTCTCCATCGAGTCCCGTGACTTTAGGAACAGATATTTCGCCACAGTGACTCTTTCTTCCTGGATGGCCTCGACTGTGTTCTCTAGAGACAGAGTCATACTAGCCTGTAACAAAAGATAGGAAAGTCAAAGATTTTTATTCAGTACCTACTTTAGATTAAGACCTTTCTAGAGCGCCTGACGTGTCCCAAATAGCTAGGAGAATCACTTCAAAATGGCTCCACTTCATCATCATCATTAGGTCATAATAGTGTCCAGTGCAGGAGCACGATACTGTCTGCTTTACTACAGGATGGAGGATTTGGTTTAACCCCCCTCGCTGGACAGACTTGTTAGGGAGGCTTGATGTTGTTCGTATATTTTGTCCTTTAGTTGACTTTTCCTAGATGTCAAAAGTGGGAGTGGCTCTAATCTATACCACAACACGGTCAAATTGCCGATTCGAGGTTGTGGTGAACCCACTCATAATATCCCAAGCGTATAGTAGTAAAAGTAATAGCTTAATTGCAGGTATGAACAGACATTTTTGTAACTTGGCGTTATCGTTATTCTGATTTGGTTCTAGGTTTCTTTTTGTTAAAAATTAACTAAACTAAAGTCTAACTTACTTTTGAGTGCAAAAACAGCGAGGAGTCCAAAGTGTGGGACAGTTGCGCCATGATGGTGCAGTTCTGTGCCACCAGGGCGGCGTGCGGCACGAAGCACAGGATCAGCATGTGGACTAGTAGTGTTCGCCGGCCTCGTCTGCGGATAAAATAAAGCAATAGATTAAGTACTAGCAAAAAACAAAGCAGCAGGTCTTCCAATAAATCTATACGATGACAAATCAAGCTCTACATTCTGGCATCATAATGTTATTAGGGCTATTTTACAAATAAAGTGTACGATGTTCTATCGACTACACCAGTGGTTCCCAAAGTTGTCTGGACTACGACTCATCTAATACAAGTTCCCAAACTCGGGACCCACCTATAGGAAATTTCTCCCGCTGCCCAGCGGTTGGATGGGTAGTGTAGACAAACCTCCTTTTTAGTTGTTTATGGTTTTGTCTATTTATTTTACTTTTTTTACTTTTGTCTTTTGGTTGCATTACAATGGCGTAACAAGATTGCTGTGTTTTAATTTCTATTCAAATTTTACATAAGTTTTGCCCTTTCTTTAACATCTGGCGACCGTGACCGTCGTGTGTCGTTCTACAGGCAGGGCCCACTCAATGTTCGCTCATTTAACTCGATATTCAACTCAATAGTTTGTGAAACCCTGGCCCTGGACTACACAATGAAATCCTACCTACTATCTATGTCTTGAAAAACTGCCATTTCAAAAATTCTTTTACGTGCTTCATTAGTGCTAGAGTTCATGACTAGTCATATAGTTTGTATGGAACGGTTACTATAAAAACATGAATAAAGAAATAGAGATTCAGACGTCAGTCCCATAAAGAAAAATTTGTATTTCAGTAGCAGGGCTAGTATTCCCAAGTCTGTTCCCACCGCTGTATCTCTTATAGTACAGACAGGATCTACAGCTTGACCGCCACTAAAAACTTAAGCAGTAAATGCTAACTTTGATTTCGTGAAGTCTATGTTCAAAGTTGCCATGCTCCGTAAGGAACGACAAGCATACTTACTTTTTCAAAGTTGTTTTGTTTTACGCATAACAAGGCGGGTATTTGACCACAATCGCACCTGATTTTAAGTGGGATGTAGTTAGTCTAGTCTAGTTAACTAATAAAGTTAAGTGGAATAACCAGGCCAGGTGACAAGGTGGCCATCTTAATAAAATAATGATACATTGATGACCTATTATAGTAATTACTTTGTTGACCGCTCATATGCGCACGCGTTCGTATGAATATGATTCAGCGCGCAGCGAAAACCACAGAGTTAATTAGGTAGATACAATTATTATTTCTAGCATATCATTTTATTGAAAAGTGACATCTATTACAACTCAACAAGATGCTTTATTTAGCTTGACCATCAGGCCATCAAGCATATTACCTACCTTCAGAAATCTACTTATCAACTGATCACAATATATACATATTTTTGGAATTTTGTGGGGCCCGCGCTGTGGTTTTTAATAAATAAGACCAATTATTACTTATAATGATGATCTAGTAGTCAGTCTTAATCATACCAGGATAACAAGCAGGGGAAAAAATTAATAGGTATTCTTCATTAAAATCTAGGTCAGGTTTGCGACTAGATATTACTGTATTGTCGTAGTTATTTATTTCTACAGATGACCTCATTTAGTTTGGTGAACAACCAATGACTCTTATTTACGGACGAGGCGAAGAAGATCGGGAGACCTGGAGCGAGATCAAGCAAGAAGCTCAAGACCGAACGAGATGGAGGACTGTTGTGGACGCCCTTTGCCCCATCTAGGGGACATAGGACGTTAAGTCAAGTAAGTCAATGACTCTTATTAAATTCATAGATTTATCTGAAGGATAAACATTTAAAATCTAACCAGTGAAGAAGAGTTGAGTTTTCTTGGGAGAAAGCTTCACTGTCTTGGAACTAGGGTTTCTGATTTCTCGACTTATTTTTTTTCTCGAGTTTCGAGAATTCTCGAGGCCAAAGTCTCGAGTTTTCTCGGGTCTCGAGTCTTTTAATGAAAACTGCTGAAATCGGTTGAAATTTAATTAAAACACGGGGTTTTTTTAATCTAATATACCTACTTTTATGCACAACAATCAATATTAGAATTTAGTACCACTTATTTTGGTAAGGAAACAAACAAAAAATAAAATCTTCTTTCATATTTAATATTTACTAATAATCATAGCAAAAGTCATTAAGTCACGTTTACTTTAAGAATAAATAACAATAAAAATCTGGAGCTACAAATGAATCACTTGTTTTCTAAAGAACACAAGTCCAAATAGCAAAATTACGATAAATAGTTTTTTTTTTATGAACAAAAAAAAACTTTAATAAATTTTTAAATTTGTCACAGATAACGACTTGAATAAACTTTACGAGGAGGCACGAGTACCTAACCTAACGTCTGTTAGGTAAGGTAACTGTCTAGTTAACACATTTTTCAGTCTTTAAATCAGTCAGAGTAAAACATACAAATATCATACTCGTTGGTGAACATTATTACTTAGTTTCGATTGAGATCATTACTTGCAAATCAAATCAATTTAAAAAAGGAAAGACTAGACCAGTCCAAAAGCAACGTTGACCTATTAAATAATTAAAAACTTACTTTTGTCTAAGAAAATAGGCTTTCAAGAATATTAAAGCTTCAAAATCGAAACTCGAGAATTCTCGAGCTTCGGTAATTTATTTCTCGTCTCGAATGAAGCCAAATTTCTCGAGTTTTCTCGAGTTCGAGAAAGCTCGAGCAGAAACCCTACTTGGAACCCGCATCAAATCGAAAGAATTTAAAAACAGACCATCCAAAATGGTTCAAGAAAACCCGTGCCCTCGACTGGCATAGTAAGTCCGGTATACGAACTGGTCCATCATCATTTCAGCCACAGGACGTCCATTTCTGAACATAGACCTTCCCCAAAGATCATCCGGTTTGTAGCAGCCTGCATCCAGCGCCTTCCTGCTACCTATGGGAGGTCCTCAAGGAGTCACAAGATGGACACCTTGTGGGTACGTGGCCTTCACTCTAGAACCTTGCTGACTCATGATGTGCTAGTCTAGCCAGCTGTAAAAATGATGACGATGATGATGATGATGATTTAACCGATTTAACCGCCTCTGTGGTCTAGTGCTTCAGACGCAGAGGTCCCCGGTTCGATTCCCAGTGGGGGCAGATTTTTCTGTTCGGTTTGGTTGGTGGTAGGGCTTGTTCTAAGTCCGCCTGGCCACTGTACTGTACCACCATCTTACCTAAGTCTGTCGCCATAACAACAATGTTAACAGCATTGTTGTGTTCCGGCAGTTAGAGGTAAGATAGCCAGTTCCTCTGTGGTTGAGGATTCCGGGTGAAGCTCGCTTCCACCTTCGGCCTGATCATCACTTACCATCAGGTGATGAGATACAAGCCAAGAGCTTCCTCGTTGTGGATAAAAAAATATGAGACTCACTTGGTGGCCGGGTTGACGTGGAGGCAGCCGACCCGGACTGACACCATCTGAGGGTCGGGCCGGTCGGAGGGCGTGGTGCAGCGGGATGAGCAGCCGTCCACCTTCAGGTGTGACGTCATACTGCAACAAAACCGTATATTAAATTAAAAAAAACATACATTCACTTATTCTCTGCCTAAACACGAACTTCGACAATAGGCAGCTTTTTCTCAAAGAATATAGGGTAAACTCCCAGTTATTGGACAAAACACCCCTTGAACGTCCTTAATGAATATTACCTACTTCAAATGCAAATTGCAACTTATCACCTTTTTATCTCCATCAGTCGCAATATCTTAGTTGTTGTAATAGAAATTATTCTTTCAATTCAATAAATATTCTATAACTTAACCAATAACTCAACGATATGCCCTTTACGTATCTAATAATAACTGGAAGTCCATCGATGGCGAGGTTTGAACCAGGGATCTTATGGATATCCGTAACCGTAACCGAAACTTTCGGATATCCGAAATAAAAAAATATCCGTTTGATCCTAGTTTGAACCCACGTTCCTGGATTCGAATCAATCGAATCCAGTCCGAGATTTGTAATTTTGCATGATAACATTTTTTTTAGTGTAGTATTGATCGCTTGACTAGCATGCAATACAATACTTAAGACAAGTATTTCGACGATGAAACGTTTTTCAAGCATATTAAGTCTCTTACAATAATCTAAATAACCTTCAGATTACACATTAAACAACTAAATGATACTACAGGGTTTTTCCTATTGCTGTAAAAAACCTTAAAAATGACATAAACTTAACCAAGGTTGAAAAACTTCACACCTCAGTATGATACTTAATAATATCACATTATGTGATGAGTCTTGCTACTGAGTAATAAACCTGATCTCAAGACCTGTCTTGAGTGCGGTGTTTAAGTCCGGGAATTTTGCCATTTTTAGTTCTGAATCTGATTCATATTGGATTATCTGTGATATTGGTAAAGCAATCGGACAGTACATTTATTGAAAATACTTAAGTATCAATACTTAACAATGAGTAGGTAGATTCTGCCCACGCCACGTACAAATAGCACCTAGCGCCATTAAAGATAAATTCAGCAGACTTTTTTACATAAATATATTTCTAGAAAAAAAAAGACATCCCACTTATCTAAATAATCTGTGTAATAACTTAAAAAAAAAAACTAAAAAAAAACATAACCCTCCTTTTGGTTAAAATATAAATAGCGCCTCGATATTCGCGATGGAGTTTGTTCAAGCTTACAATAACCTTTTTTAGAAAAAAAAAACTCGAAAACTCAAAACGAATATCATAGCAATGGACTTTGAACAATGTCGAGGCTAAGTAAGTCAAGGCCACTGGAGTGAATGACCGGTGATGCCGCAAGAGAGGATAACTCACCCGATGCCTATTAATACACATGTGACGTCACCAATATACGTATATCTATGTTGTTCTTATTTTCACACATATGTCCATCGGCCCATTAGCTCAGTTGGTTAGAGCGTCGTGCTAATAACGCGAAGGTCGCGGGTTCGATCCCCTCATGGGCCACTGTTCCTTTTTGCTTTTTTCGAACAATTTTTTTTCAATAGTTTTAAAATAAACAGTAATATTATTATTGTTTTATACTAAATATTAGTACTAAAATTAAATAAATAATGTTTTTTTTATATGACAGGAGGCAAACGAGCGAACAAACAAATGTTAAAAATATCAATTAATTTTTGATTCTAATCAATTCAAAAACAGATTATTTAATAAAAAAAAAATGCGATATTTTTTTTTATTTAAACCATTTATTTTTTGTTTTTGTATTTCATTTTGGCATTTTCGTTCGTAGTAGCGACATCTAGGAATCATTTAAACAACTATTTATCACTAGAGAAAAGCAACGTTCAAAACCCTAGCAGTGCTTATTGTTGTAATTCATTTATAATAATCCACAATAGATGGCGTTGCTCAGGTACGTCAAATAATTTTTGTACTGAATTTTATCTATCTATTATATAAAAGAAAGTCGTGTTAGTTACTCCACTTATAACTCAAGAACGGCTGAACTGATTTAGCTGAAAATTGTCAGGGAGGTAGTTTAGAGCCAGGAGAAGGACATAGGATACTTTTTATCCCGTTATGTATTGCCATTAAGGCGGAACAAAGTTCGCCGGGTCAGCTAGTCTTATATATGTCACCGGAAAATAACAAGACTCGTAAGTTGATCAATTTTCTAGGTAGTTGATCAACTCTCGGAAAATAATAAACGGCAGTTGAAATGTACTATTTAACGCATTGAATTTTAGCTAATTGGTCAACTTACGGTACCTAGCCATAATTTAATAATTAACTATATTGCTACAAGTAAAATCATCCACAAATGGACCAATCGTTGCCCAGTGTACTATTTGACGGTACACTATTATCCGTCACTTAATACACTTTTCTCTGATTGGTCGACAGCATTAAATTATAAGCATTTAGCAAGTGTTTATTCATAGAGTTACAAACACTTAGATATGTTGTTTTCATATATATATTTTAGAGATAGGGATATTAAAGTTCGTCTATGCTATACAGGGTGTTAGGTAAATGGGTATATGAGTCGACACTAGCCCACGTTAACAGGGCATATAAATGGTATGGTGAAGTCAGAAATTTGATATCATCATTTTAAATTTTTTAATTTTCATACAAAATAAATTTTATAAAATCCGGTTTGTATGAAAATTAAAATGATTAAAATGAAGATTCAACTACCTAGAAAATTGATCAACTTACGAGTCTTGTTATTTTCCGGTGACATATTATATAAAAGAAAGTCGTGTTAGTTACTCCACTTATAACTCAAGAACGGCTGAACCGATTTAGCTGAAAATTGTCAGGGAGGTAGTTTAGAGCCAGGAGAAGGACATAGGATACTTTTTATCCCGTTATTTATTGCCATTAAGGCGGAACAAAGTTCGCCGGGTCAGCTAGTTTTCTTATAAAAATCGATGTAAGTATTTTCGGGCTAAAAATCGACTATATTACATCTCTCGAATCTAGTGTAATAAATATGTCATAGTCAAAGGTCGATATGCAGTCTCTTCGCGGAATGACTGGTTTATCCTAGGTTTGACCAAGGCCTTCAGGCAAACCCCGAAGTGATTTCTGATTTCGGCCTTTGACTAAGTCAAACCTAGAAGTGCCTAAAATGTTCAGTCAAACGTCGAAACTAAAATAATCTGCTTCGGGCTTTGCCTAGTCAATCCTAGAAACGACTGGCAGACTCGGTCAGAAGTAAACAGCAAATAGAAAACCGGCCAAGTGCGAGTCGGATTCGCTTACGAAGGGTTCCGTGCGACTCTGTTCTTGTATGGGAGCCCCCCTTTTAATATTTCTTTTATTTTAATTTTATGATTTATTTTTAAAGTAGATAATATGTGAATATTTCAAGGGTTCACCTGTTTACGTTTTAATTTAAATTCGAGCAAAAAACTGCAAAAAGTTTGCTGTATAGGAGCCTCCCTTAAATATTTATGTATTTTATTGATTTATTTATTTTTAAAGTGAATAAAAAACTAAATCTTTTGAAAATGATTCATGAGATACGAGCCTGGTGACAGACAAAATTTAGCGAAGTCATAGTAATAGGGTCCCGTTTTAACTCTTTATCCTTTAAGCCTTAATAAAGGACCTTCTGTTACCTTCAAATTTAAGGTAACAGAACCCTAAAAATTAGTAATTTCAAGATCGGTCTAGAAACACTGACAAACAACCTCAGTAAATAGTTTTAGTTTTTCGTACCTTCACCTAAAGAACCGACCGTAACGCCTTTGCAATAAATTCGAGATCAGAATAAAGTATAGTTTAGTTTAAAGTCTTAATTGAGGTTTGACTAGTCAAACCCCGATTTCATTAAATTGAGTTTCGACGTTTGCCTAACCAAATTAGTTACTCCTAGGTTTGACTGACATTCTTTAGTCAAAGGCCGAAATGTTTGGGCTTTGACTAAGACTTCTAGTCAGACCTGAGGATTGACTAGTCAAACCTAGGTGTGCCGGAACTTCGAGGTTTGACTATAACAAATACATTGCAATACATTGTACTACATTGTACTACATTGTACTAATAATATAAATAAATCACAGGCGTTACTCATTATTTCTTTTAAAACTAAGGCAAACTTAACTCTAAACAAAATAAAAATATGGGGGGGGGGGGGGGGGATCGCCCCGGGTGCCAACCCATGCTACGCCGCCACTGCGGGGCCCTCGTGCTATAGGGGCCCTCAGGGCCGGATCAATGTACCGTTTATGTATACAGAGCAGACAACTCCCTAAGAGGGTCTGCTAATAAAAATACTAATTTTGCAATGACTTTATTTTTAGTTGAAAGGACCCCCAAATTTTGATACAGGACCCATCTAAGACATGCTACGCCATCGGTTCAAGGTAATCTTGTAAGTAAGTACGCTACTTGTAACTTTGTAAGGAAAGGGCGCGGCGTAACTTAAGGGTTCCCCAAAGGCTTTTGCAATTCTGCTATTCGCGCCAAATTCGGCCATGACCGTCAGAAAATTGTCAAATGCGTGAGTGTGAGAATATTTTTGTTTCTTTCTGTTTTTGGCAAACAGCTTGAATGCTGCATGATGTGTCCATAAAAAATTAAAGTGGTAAACATAATATGTATTTGTGATTACGTAATAAGTAGGTACAGCATTTTTGGCACAATTAGTTTTGTTGCTAGTAATTTGTAAATAATTATAAATATCATTGGACATTTTACACTGCGCTTGTAGTCCCAAACTAAGCAAAGCTTGTACTATGGCATGGGTACTAGACAACGGATATAAACATACTTAAAAAAATACTTTTTTTTTGTAAATACATACTTATTATAACTACATAGAAAACACCCAGTCCAATATGTTCATGCACACAAATGTTTGTACTGTGCGGGAATCGAACCCGCTACCTCCGGACCCTCCGGAATAGTTGTCCGTTTCGAACCACTACAAATAAATAAATAATTCTATTCTGCAGTCTTACAGACATTACTTATCGTTTGGTGTTCTGCAGGAACGCAGCTTAGGTTTTGATGGCTGCTACGCGACGCTACACTACACTAGTGCGCTACGCTGCTCTTCGCAATGCTACAAATAGTGTAGCTGAGTTTTCAGTAACTTTTTAGAAGAGTTGCAAATAACTATACTGTATTTTAAGGAAGTAAATTTTTCGTAAGTAGACAGCATGTTAATGTATCTTGATGTTTTTTTGGTGGCTTTGGTTGGTTAATTTTTTTTTGTTTCAGCTGAAGTAAGGAACTGTTCTATTAAACAATACTTTGTTATATTGTTGGTATTCATGTTCTGCTCGTTGACCTCAGATATGACACAATGCTTAATCTTATCCCTTCTTCAAGGCTCTCGCCCTTTCTCGTCATATTTCAATTACAGGCTTACTATAAATGTATTTACCTTCACTACCCCGGTTTAAGAGGGTAATCAATCATTTTATTTGACCTATTTTCCAAGGCTCGTTGGAGCTGGATTATTGTATTACTTGACAATTGAGCTGATAAAAAATATTAGCAAAGAAGGGTAAAAAAAAGTTCATAGGACGTTCCTATAAAATAAGTGACACAAGCACGCGCGAGTTCCCTTACGTTAGAGAAGTCCCAAAATTTGTAAAACACTTTTTAAACTAGGTACTTCAACAAAAAGATTAAAAATGTATTAAACCATAAAATTATGGTAAGTACACAGTACTTACAGAATTACCTACTGAATACTTATTTTCAACTTTCAGCACTATATAAACAAAAGTTGGATTCAGTGGTTTATTCCACTGTTGAAACTAAGTTTTTAGTACAGAAAACTGAAAAACTCGAATCAAACTGTCTTGGAATGAAGTTGTAACATGATGTTTTTTAGCCGTTCTTTTCCCCACAGATGATGTGCTGGTATCTACATTTCTTTTAAATTGCACTTATTTCCTGTTATTTTCCTCAATTTCTTCCTCATCTCTTGACTAACTATAAAGATCTCCTGACGTTCTTTATGGCGTTGTTTGGGAGACGTAATGTAGTGGTCTTAGGGTAAGACAGACAGATACAGCCGTTTAAATCGACATTGTTTGCCAAACATGGGGAATGCCCAGTAGGACTAAATTAGGGGCCGGCAACCTCGCGAGTACTCAAGGCGGGATGACAACTCGATAGAACGACTGGTCGTCCAAGGAAAAGTCGAAGGAACCCGATCGCGTGGCAGGTCACCAATGCACTGGACCGACCAAGTGAAATCAGCAGTGGGAGACGGCGTATGTGACTGCACCAGACAGTCTGCCAATAGAGAGAGAGATGACGGGAGATCGTGCGGAGAGTTGTATCCGCCTCTACAACCGATGTGAACAACGCCTCAACATGACCACGACCGCTCTGCCAAGAGCGTAACGAATAAGAAGAAGAACGAATGAGTTTTTAGTGACTTTTTAAAGCTTGGGAGTTTTCAGAAATTGATACTTGAAGCTCTTACGTCTCAAAAGGTTGCCGAGCCCTGGTCTAGATATCCTTACGATTTTCATTACAGAAGGTCTGCAGATAAAACAGAATATAAATTTACTTTTTTTTCCTTACATTGAACTGAAATTCTTATACATTTTTTTTAAATGTCTTCCATACTAATGTTTAGTAATTTCAGTTAATTATTATAATTGTGGGTCTTAACCTTTTCAGTCACAGATTGTGAAAACTAAATTTAAGGGGTGGTTAGCAATTGGTATTCAACGACCTCTATAGTTTCAGGAAGCACAGCTGGATTCAGGCAGCGCTGTTTTTGGTAATCCTTAGGGATTGCCTATGTTCAGCTTTGGACGTCTTTCTTTAAGTTGAAAAGGAAAGCAAAGAAGGAATTAAAAAACCCATTATCTTCTATACTTATAATAAATCTGTAGAGAGGTCAATTCTGTACATGAAATATATTTTCAAAATAACTATCAGGGGGTGATTAGTGATCGATACTGATGCCAAAAATGCAATCAGTAAAATTTTTGTCTGTCTGTCTGTCTGTCTGTCTGTCTGTCTGTCTGTCTGTCTGTATGTTCCTTATAGAAACAAAAACTACTCGACGGATTTTAACGAAACTTGGTACAATTATTCTTCATACTCCTGGGCAGGTTATAGGATACTTCAGAATTCCCACGGGAACGGGAATAAGCGAGAAAATCCTTTTGTATGAACAATCTAAACCGCTTAAGTTAGACGCTTGAAATTTGACATGCAGGTACCTTAGTAAGCTTAGAGCTTAGTCACAACAGGATATTGCTAAATTCCCACGGGAACGGGAGTTAGCGGGAAAAAACATTTGTATGAAAAAATCTAAACCGCGTAAGATAGATGAAGTGGGTAAAACGGGATCCACGCGTACGAAGTCGCGGGCGGCCGCTAGTACCTAAATAAAGTTGACAAGTTCCTAATACCGCTACAAAACCTATAAGATAAGCTGCTTATCTTTCTGAAACAACGTCTAAAGTAAATTCAAGTTATTAAGTTTGCTGAAATAAAAGGGTCTGTTAGAAGACCCGGTTTTCAAAGATAGGATCATAATTGATTCTTGCTATCTTCGCTTGAAAATCGTTTATCTCAAGATTGACTTATAATGGACATTTGAATGAGAATTTGCGAATACCTATTGTCTACATAGAAAAACATACTGATCGATCGAGTATGAGCAATGAGTATCAATTTACGGCAATTGCTCAATTCAATCTTAAACAAATGTACTTATAATTAATTTCATAAGGGAGACAGGTCTCTAGACCAATTAAAATTAGGATCTATGACAGCTTCATTATTCCCTTTCGCTGTCGTTTTGCCCTAGCGGAAATAGAAGTTCCCAACGCAAAGACGCCGGAATACAGCTGTAGGTATTCACAGATTTCGATACTATGTAAGGGTGTTTTGTTTGAATGTAAAAAGCATTTTCTTTTTCCTATCTACCTACATTTATAAGCGTCTTATATTATCTACAAAAGCAATTCAACGCAGGAAAAGTTGCGAAAAGCTGTTATAAAAATAAAAGACCCGAAATAACCAAAACAGTATTTTCGGGTTGTTTCTCTATAAACCCTTCAATAGAACAGTAACAAGGTTCTTAACCTATTTTGTATTTTATTCACCTTATCTTAACGTTCAAAATCACAAAAAAAATATTTATAAGTGTTGAATGGGGTAATTCTCGTCTTCACTTCACTGATTGCAGCTTCCATAGTCAATTACCCAAGTAATTCAATGCAGACTGCAGTGTGTTCACTGTGAGACCTTCGTACAAAACGTGAGAGAATCTTATGACGTCATGGGACACACTTGGAACTCCGGCGACCTTGCTCTTGATCTTTATTTCGTATGGCTTCTACGATAAAAATATATTTTATGAAATCTATGTTCTTCCAATTGAATAATATTATAATCTTATACGTAGTAAATCTACTAATAAGAAATGTAAAAGTAGCTTTGTCAGTCTGTTCTTTATGTTGTAATGCCTAAAGCCTTAAACCAATTTTGATAAATTTTGGGTTAAGAGATAGGTATTTGACCGAAGGATGTACAGAGGCTGTGTTTTATCGCATAATAACGTGAAGGAACGAAATTGGGGATGAACGCATGTGAGGGAAAACTATTAATCTTCATTTCATGGATATAAAGGTTAATATGAAGTAGGTGTTTTATGTTGGTAAGCAATAAAAGTGTTTTTGCGCAAGCAATCCCCTATTTGGTAAGCCAACGTTGAGGCGGGCAAAGCCACGGCCGGGAGCTAGTATCATTTAGGAAGATTATTATTCTTTCAGATGCTTACGAATTTACACTTCCATTCTATGTGAGTTTGTATCGCACATGCGAGATGACATAGCTACATAAATATTTATTGTGTCTGCGACAAGAGGATAGTAAATAACTCGGTATCAACTGGAGACTCACACGACACTTTGTTAGACGGCAAGAGGTTCCTAAACAAACGCTCTCCTTTTACATTAAAATGTGCAAATTTAAACAGGTCTCGTTCCTTAGAACCAACTTGAATTTGACCAACCAATTCCATCCATCTTACCTTCGAAAATTCGTTGAAACTGTCGAACTGTTTTTTAGATTATCCCAAATACATCCAACTGGTGTAAGCACTAATACCGATTACTGCACATCGGTCACAGAACTGTACGTTTCATCCGCAACATCAAAACACACACACTATTCATCACTGAAAATTAATACATCCCAACGTCCGTATTGAAGGGAGTAAAACAATTATTTTAGAAGCATATTTCACTAGTCATTCAGTTCAATAATCCTTCTTCCCCAATATAAATGGGCTCGCGTAATATTCTGTACGGCGGGAGAGAAAACATGACGTGCGCCTGCCGCAAACGCTCGAGCAAAACTGTTGAATTAATGAACGTAGCCCAGAACAGAGCGGCAGGGGCGGGCGTGCGGATAGGCCTAACTTCGTTTGGGCAAATTATTGTAGCAATTTGTCCACTGTTTAAAAATTCAATCTCGAGGTCAAGAATCGCTATTAACTTGAGGTTTTCCTTATGCTCTACGGCGCGAAACATCGAGCTTCTTCTTGATTAGTTGGTGCGACATGTTCTATAAAATAAGATAAGTACGAATATTTAGTATTTGTTGCAGATATTGAGTGGTATTGACTTTGGAAAATAACTTTCATAAATCAGAAGACAGATGTTGGGCCAAGTTTTCATATTACGAAATATTATATCTTTATTTCTAGCAGTCTCATGTGACTGCACGTAGTAGGTATTACATTGGACTGAATCGATTTACTCTCAACATCAAATATTCGCCCTATCCGTCGAATAAAATTTCTTTTTTCTAGACCACTTTGAAATTCAGCGACAGTACCTACCTACCTACAAATTTTTGTTAGGTACAAAATCATAAAAGTACCTAGGTACAAGTCGTACAAGTACACAGTTAGTACAAAGTACACAGTTGGAGCTTAATGTGCTGTCATACATAGGACCATATGTACTTAACTCCTGCACAATTTATATTTTACTTAAAATTAAAGTAGGTAATTTTATGGAACATAACTCCAGAATTACCTGCTTAGTTAGGATTTTCGTGTCCAATTATAGTTTACGAGCGAAGTATGAAATATGACACGTAAAGATATTGTATAACCTACAGCTACAGCACATGATATCTAAATTATTTTTGGTAATGCTTTACTATAACTGTCTTTATTCCTATGTATCTACTTTAGCACTTTACTATATCTCTACTCACTGTTGCAAGGGACATTTATAAGAATTTATAGGCGAATAGATAGCGCAATGAATCGCCTTGTCTCGAAGGGTTCGATTCATTCATGGTCTAGTCAATCTACTCGTAGAGGCATATTTTATAGAGTGGATTGCTGTGTATGTAATACTGATTACTGAAGTTTGTACATTGGTATCTTACATAAAAATAACTTTGGACATAATCAGATAAATCATAGTTATAGAATAAATCATAAAAAATCTTAAAGGCAATAATTTGGATATTCAATAACCGTCTGTATCAGCCTTATATACCACACTTTAAATAATGCCAAACCTGTATAGGGGAAGAAGGGGGTCTAAAGTGAGCACTACGAGACTATTCCCACCTCTCGTTCCCACCCCCACCGCTGAACTCCTGTGAAGCCAGGATCTACAGCTTGACCGCCAATAAAAACCTAACCAGTGAAGGTCAAGTTTGTTCCGGGGGGAAAGAAAACTGACATTGGACACTAAGGGGATCTAAAGTGGGCACTAGTTAAAAAGCGAAAACCTAAGTCTAAATTTTTGCTTAAGTATAAACTCAAGCTGTTTTGCGTCCCATTTGCACTTCCCTAACCCGCCGCCGTATTAAAACATTCTTACGTCTACATAATGATAAGTATTTCCAATTTTCATGGTAGCCATCTGCCACACAAAACTTGATCCATTACTCGTATTATTACGAACTAAATTCGGAGTAATTAACTATGTGAGGCAACCGTATTCCTTCAGTGATGGGTAATTAATCTATATATATAAAAATGAAACCCGTTTCGCGTTGTCACGGCATCACGTGTGAACGGCTGAACCGATTTCGATAATTCTTTTTTTTAAATGTTTGTGGAAGTCCAAGGATGGTTCTTACGGAAAAAAATATTAAGAAAATCTCTACGCTAAGGCGGTACGAAGTTCGCCGGGTCAGCTAGTTAACAATAATAATGAAAGCTCCTCCTTCATTAAATCCAAAGCGTTTAATACATAGTAGGTATGTAGGCTATTTTCATGTCCCAAATAAAGTTTGCCCTCACCACTTCGGAACAACATATTATCTGCTGATTTGCTGAGAAATAACGGAAGAAACTTGGTAACGTTTGTCAGCAGATACAGAATTTAAACGCTACAATATTGGCTGTCGTATCAAGAATTCAGGAGAGGACAGTTGTTTGAGATAAAATGAGGAAGGTGGTGTTTGGCGAAATCAGAAACCATCAGCATTTTCAATCGTTGCTAGATAATAATTTGTTATGAATAAGGCCTTTGTTAATACAGTCAACAATGACTTAATTATTATTATTTGATCAAAGATACAAACGCACTTTCATTGCTTTATTATTCAACATAAATAAACCTCAATTTGTATTCACTTGGGAGCGAAGCGGACCAGTTCCTTTCAAAGGGAACTCGCCCAAAGTTGTCGAAGCGTTTCGTATTGATAAGACAACTTTCAGAGTTCACGAATCGCTGTTTTGTCCGGGCAGATCGTCCCCACAGATAAAACTAGATGAATTACGTCAACTTTCTTGCTATGGTTGAAATAAGCTGTTGTTGTTCTTAAAAAAAGTTTTCTTGTTGTGTTAGAAATCTTTTGAAAGTGAAGTTATTAGGTCTTTCAAAGATTAGATAAATTCGTAACGAAATTGTGCAGACAGAGAACTAAAGTCATCAATTTGCGGGTGGGTCATCACATCACTGTCGAAGATGTGATGACCACTGGGCTTGACGAATTAACCAAGCACTGGGATATACTACAGGTTAATTCAAATGCATTCTATTCTACTTGTCATTCTAGCTATTCAATAGCTAAATGCTGTGCACAATAAAGTGCACAATATTGTCTATTAATAAAGCAATATATGGTGGCCAGTGAGTTTTTAGAGAGTTAAATCATTTCGCTAATTGAAGACGTCAAAATAGTTATTGTATGAAATGGGATTGGTCAATTATAATTAAAATCCAATAGCCTGTCGTAATCGGTAGTATCCAGTAGGTACCTATAGTGTTTTCCAACATCCGTCAGTAGAGAAGAACGCGACTCGGCGTGCTTAATATAAGACTCCCTGCAGCCTCGGTGAAGCCATGACTTGCGAAAATTTGCTGGCAAAAGCTGGTTACAAATCTAAGTATACTTACTTCAATATTTACATTTCCATTGTGCATAAAGATACACCTATAAGCATTTTGCCGTTTATGTCAAAAATCCTTGAGAAAGCTGTTTACAGNATATCTAATTATCTACCTCCAAACGGGGGTTTGGGTTGGGGGTACGCGCGAGCGCGGGAGCGGAGTGGACGTGTTCTCGTCTGTCCTCAGTGTAAAAATGTTTTAACGTTTAATATACGCAAGATACCTAACGTAATTACCATCAGTGAAAAGCCAAGTGAAAGACCTAAAAAACTGTGCTTGAACATTACGTTAAAGTGCGTAGAATTGGGATTTGTGAGGCAAAATACAAAGTGTTTTTGTGCTGTATAACGATACTGTGCGTTTTATTGTTGAACTTGTCGGGTAGATCGTTAATTATTGGACTCGCACAGCGCTTTGTGCGGTTCACTGACCGTTTGACGTTCTATGCGTATCCTAGTGACTATTTTCGTCAGCCAGTTACGGCGTAGCGTAGCGTCGTGGTACGAACACGGGACTTAAACGGCGCGGTGCGCAGCTCAGAGTGCGTGTGGGTTCAAATCACACGTGAACTAAATTTTTTGTATTTTTTTTTTTATTATTATTTATTTTAATCACACAAAATATACACAATGTCGACCAGGAAAGTTATCTGTGGTGGTTGTCGGCGAAATGTGGAGGACGGGAAATATCTGAGGTGTCTTGGCTGCAGCGAGATGTATGACCTGCCTTGCGCCGGTTTTACTGATAAAACCTTCAAAAAAATATCTTCAAACAAGAAGGATAATATTATGGAGACATGGAGATGCGTTGCCTGTACAAGTAAACAACCTAAGAAAGACAATACTAATACTCCCGTACGCGGTTTAAGCGATGGCATCACACTGCACCGAGGGGGCGCTGCGAGGGGCCCCATAAACCTAGACGTCTCTGAGTCCGATAATCTGAATAACACCGCACTCAATCAGACCATGGAAATGTCGGACCCAGACAGAATCCTGTTGGAGCTGCGGGCTTTCAGAGACGAAATGCGAGAGGAGATACGGGCTAATCGAACTCAAATTGAACGGTTGACGGATAAAATGTCAGTGCTGAGCGACAGAGTTTCCGAGTGCGAAGCTCGTATTGAGCGGTTGCAGAACCGCATGGACACGTTGGAACATAGCAACGATAAGAGCTCACAGTCTGACAATTCGGCGCTGGCATCCATCGAACAATTGAGGGCGGAACTTAATGATCGCGACCAGGATTTATTAATAAACGACGTAGAAATCTCATGCATACCCGAGGAGAAAGGAGAAAGTCTGCCACACATCGTAACAACTTTAGCCAGCAAACTTGGCGTCAGTATAGCCCAGCAGGACTTGGTCAGCGTTGAGCGCGTCGGCCGAGTGCAGGAGTTGGTGGCGGGCGCCGCGGCGTCCCGCCCGCGACACATCGTCGTGCGGCTGGCGCGCCGAGCCGTGCGCGACCAGCTGCTGCAGGCTGCGCGAGTGCGCCGCGGCGCTACTACCGAGGGCACGGGGCTACCGGAACCATCACGTCGGTTTTATATCAACGAGAGGCTCACCAAAGTTAACAGACAGCTCTTCCGGCGTGCGCGTGAACTGGGTGGTCGTTTGGGTTGGCGTTTTGTATGGACGAGGGAGGGTCGTATATACGCCCGCCGGCATCACGATAGGGACAGTCCCCGTCTTCGCGTGCGTACGGAATCTGATCTTGCTCGGGTTTTTGGTCCTGACGCTGTTAGCCCAATTGCTGTTTAAATTTTACTGTATAGAATCTCAGACACCAAGCATGTATGACGAAATAGGGACAGTGTTGCCATTTAATATCACTGTAGCAACTATTATTATTGTCAACACGAACACGCAACCTTACTGCGGGCTAACATGTATGTGCGGTGTTTTAAAAAAATTTAAATACTTATTTATTGTTTTCCTGTTATTTTCATTGTTTATAATTGTTTTGAGGTGGTTTTTTGTGCATTTTTTATTTGCTAGAATCGTATCATACCTCTGTATTGTTCACATTTTTTATTTGAACAACATTAAAAATTACCGCATGCGCTTTACTTCTAATGCTACTGCTAGTATAAATCTTTATCAAATGTTAGTGTCAACTGTTATTTTAAGATTAAATAGTAATTATTGTGATTACAATACCACGAAAATCGCTTATTCCAAATGTGTAGTCCATGAGTGTGTCGCGGCGATGAATCATGTAACTTTTAGGAAATTATCAAATTTTACTTCTAGGTTTATTATTTTTATTATACACTTTATTTTGAAATTTACATTGCTTATTATTTTAATTATTGATGGAATTATTTATTATATTATACATATTATTTTAAATAATTACTTTAATTTTGATATACAAATGAATTATAAGATGAAATGGCATCTATTATCCCATTTATTCTATTTTTATGAGTACACACAATTTTATTTTACTGCAAAAAAGAATGGCGAATAGAACTAAATTCCTAAAGTTAGCTCTGTACAATGCGGGATCTTTGAACACGGGTCATGACGATTTTCTTATTGCGATGAATCGCTTCAATGCTGACATAGTAGCCATTAACGAAACTTGGCTGCCGGCTGGTCAGGAGGCGCGGGCGCCTGTTGTACCAGGGTTCCGTTTGCGTAACGCTCCACGACCTCAAAGTATGCGCGGAGGTAGGGGTGGCGGTGTTGGTTTTTATGTCAGGCGAGATATGCGGGTACGATTTCTCAGGCACCCTGATGCAGCCGTGGAGCAGTTATGGCTTTCTACCCGGACCAACGGTTATCACGTTATAATAGGAACAGCATATAGGCCTCAGTGGATGAATGTTGACCTGTTCTTTGACGCATCAACACAATCAATCTTTAGTTTTTCTGACTGCGACTACGTTGTTTTGCTCGGAGACTTTAATGTCAACTTGCTTGACACGACTGGTAGTAGTGTTTTAAAATTGAATCAGTTCTTGCGCTCCTTGGACCTTCAACAAGTGGTCAGCGAACCAACACATTTTTCGACAAATTCTAACACCCTGATAGATTTGGTATGTACCAACTGTGGCGTTCGGGATGTCACGGTTTCTAATATTACTGGATCTCTTGGTCATGCAATGATAAATGTTAAGCTTTCACTAAAGAGACCTAAGCCTTTACCCAGGTGCATTACTTATAGACCCATCAAAATGATAAATCCCTTGGAGTTTGAGAAGGACTTATCTGTTCTTGATTGGGAATCTATTTCGGGGCTCCCTTCGATTGAGCACATGGTGGAGAGATTTAACGTGTTTTTATTATCTCTTTTCGATAAACATGCACCAGTGATCTCTGCTAGGGCTCGGCCGGAGCGATCGCTGCCGTGGATTACTGATACAATCAAGTTAATGATTGATCTGCGAAATGATGCACATGATGTATTCCGTAAAACAAAATCGGAGGTACACAAAAAATATTACAAGGATCTTAAGGACACTGTCACAACTAGTATAAAAAATGAAAAACGAGCATACTTCAATCACTATATAAATTCTAATGCAAGTAATGGCAAGGCGTTGTGGCGGAATCTAAAGGAGAAAATACTAGTCGATCCCGGTAAGCTTGACTGTCTTCCCGACCGCTTTAATGATCCTAATGAAATTAATAATCATTTTTTGAAGGTGCCGGGATCTGAAGTAATCACTATATCTAAGCTTACATACTTTGAATATCATCGTTATGACACAGTAAAATCGCCCTTTAAACTTCATCCTGTGTCTGAAAGGGACGTCGCTAACTATGTCCTGGCGCTGAAATCAAACGCCCTAGGGTGTGATGGTATCTCCAGAGATATGGTTTTGCTAACCCTTCCTAGAACGCTGTCCATTATAACAGACATAGTCAATAAGTCTATTCTCACTGCCGCTGTGCCTTCCCTGTGGAAAAACGCGTCAGTAACACCACTACCAAAAGTTGACTCGCCGAGTGAACTTAAAGATCTAAGACCAATAAGCATTTTGCCGTTTATGTCAAAAATCCTTGAGAAAGCTGTTTACAGCCAATTAATAAAATACGTGGAAGGTAACGGCATACTACCGCCGCTGCAGTCGGGCTTTCGCCGGGGTCGCGGTACAGTCACGGCGTTATTAGACGTCACTGACAACATTATTGCTGAGCAGGACGCCGGAAAAGGGACTGTGCTTGCTCTACTTGATTTTTCTCGAGCGTTCGACTGTCTCCATGTCCCCTTGCTTCTCTCAAAATTGTCATATTATGGTTTTGATCACCATTCCATCAAGTGGTTCGAGAGTTATCTTAGTGGTCGGAGTCAGTTAGTCAAACTCAGCAGAGACGATGGCTCTGTCTTGCTGTCGAGGCCCAGGCCTGTCACGCGTGGCGTCCCACAGGGATCCATACTAGGGCCGTTATTATTTATTTTATACAGTGCTGATCTTCCCCAGGTGATCAAACATTGTAAGTATCACTGCTACGCTGATGATGTCCAGTTGTACATTTCAGGTTCTCCTGACGACATGTCTAAAGCACTAGCGGCGATAACTGAAGACCTGGACAGTATTGCTGCCTGGTCGTCGGGTAATGCCCTCGTTCTCAATCCCACTAAGTCAAAGTTTATGGTATTGGGCACAAAAAAACAAATTGAACGAATAAATAATGGTAATCCAACTGTAAACATTCTTGGCAAAGCTATAGATAGAGTTGACGAGGCTAGGAACCTGGGTGTCATGTTTGACAGTCAGTTGCGCTTTGAGGGACACATCTTGGGCTTGGTGAGAAGTTGTTTCTACCGATTAAGGGTTTTATACAAGATACGAAACTACTTATCTGAGAGGGTCCGTTTGACTTTGTGTGAGTCGCTAATACTATCGAGGCTCAATTATGGTGATCTGGTTTACGGGCCGCGTCTGACGTGCAGAACCCAGGGGATGATACAGAGGGTTCAGAATGCATGCTGTCGCTTCTGCTATAATATTCCGCCACGTACTCATGTGTCGCCATACTTAAATGTCGCTTCAATGTTAAATATGGAGTCAAGAAGAATTATGCATCTTGCGGTTTTAATGTTTGACCTCATGAAGTTCAGGAACCCCGAGTATCTGTATGCCAAGCTTAACCTTCCCTCTAATCGTATTGGTCGTGGGCCCGACGATGCCAGGTCAGCGCGAGCTCCACTAGCGACTCACATACACCGCACTGTGGCCTTAGAGGGCAGTTTTCGGTACCAGGCGACTAAATGCTGGAACAACATTCCGCCTCCAATAAGGCTCACTCATTCCAAACACAAGTTTAGAACTTATATGAAGTCCACATTACTGAGCTTTCAACAGCTGGGTATACGCAGTAATAGTCGCCTGGGCGAACATGTTCCCTTGCATGCGTCGGGCACGCATACCTGCTGACATTTATGATTATTATTATTTTTACTAGCGGCCGCCCGCAACTTCGTACGCGTGGACCATGATTTGCCCCCGTTAGATATTGTGTTGATAGATGGTGTTTCACGGCATGAATATTTACGAATGTCAAAAACAGTGGTTTGCCAAGCGCTGTAGATTTTAACCAATGACGATAGATAGCGCTTTTTAGACGTCTTATTTATTTGTCACATAATACCGTCATAAATTGTGGCCTGTGTGTTGATCTGGTTTGTAAACAATACTACTGTGGAGTTTCAGTGGAATCCGTTCGGTGGTTTTTGCGTGGAGGAGTAAAGAACACCCAGACATCAAAACTTTCGCCTTTATAATATAATATTAGTATGATATTGATTGGTATTTCCCCTAGTCGTTTTTTAAACATTTTTACTGATAGCGGATGGTGGGAGGGTTCATTTCGTTTTCGTGCGCTTCGCGGATTCCCTAGCAAGAGCTGAAAATCAGTGTTCTGCCCTTTTCAGGGCAGTGTTTACATTGAGCTCTTTGCTTTTTGCATCGCTGCGACACACATCATGCAGGAAGTATTCTTCCACTTGTTACTGCTTTTGTTTGTTTTATGCATGCTTATATAACTAGTATTCTACTGTATTCTATTCTTTTCTTATTATTGTTATGCTGCAACTTTACTCTTTATGTGTGTTAAGTGTATGCAAATAAATGATTTATCTATCTATCTATCTATAAAAATAAAGAAAAGACAAGAGACCGAGAAAGTTCGGCGAGCGAAACCAGTACTATAGGTAGACGCTCAAGTTACAAATAATATCTCTCCAGCCGTAGACTTATTTGCCCTAGCAAAGGAAAGTGGCACGAGGCAAATAAAATAATGATATAGTTCAAAGTGGTTCAATTCACTGAGTATAGTAGAGTAGGTAGGTAGGGCGTGTACTTACCCCAAAATTATTTATCATTAGCATCAATGAATATTCATACTGAATTCAATAATAGCATTCACGCGGCGCGAACATAAACAAAACATAAACAATTTAAAATAAACTTGCATAGAATAATTAGGGAATAAAGTTGCCTGAAATAATAACAGAACTCGCTGTGTATTAATTTATTTAGTAAATAAAGTGAGACGCCTAAATATTAATTATTTAAGCCATGCAAAAACTTTTGATGAATGAGTTGTTTAGTTTAGAAAGTTTTTAAAACTCATTGGTTATTATTATTAAAAGTTGAGTTTAAGCCTAGGCGCAGTCTTTTTGTCGGCCGATAGATGGGTTGAACTGTTAATCATAACATGGTTATTACACCGATTTGGTATCGTCCGATTCTTCATACAAATTAAAATTAAAATTGGGCCTCAACTATCGGCCAACTAAAAGTCTGTGGTCTGCGCCTAGGCTAAAAAGGTGTTTCATCATCATCATCATCATTTCAGCCATAGGACGTCCACTGCTGAACATAGGCCACCCCCAATGCTTTCCATGTTGATCGATTGGTAGCGGCCTGCGTCCAGCGCGAAAAAGGTCTTTGACATGTCCCAACTTTTTTCACGTTAACCGTATCACTGCTTTACGACAATATTGAGAGCCTGGTGTGCTGTGATAAAGAAAAATAGCCAGATTATGCAAAACATAAGCTGTGTTTCTATTCCGATTCTATTTGCATAGACAATCTGTCGACCCTATGCATTTGCCAATTATATCTAGACATCAAGTTTAACATTACAGTTATATTGAAACTTGCGCCGAAGACATAAAATTGGAAATCCAGTGAGGAAATCGTTATTTTGTGGTAGCTTAATATGCAGTCGCTGTACATTATACAGGAATAATTGATGAGCAGTTTTTTTATGCATGTTAAGGCAGGTATTTGACCGCAATCGCACCTGGTGGTACATATCTGCCCTGTAAGTGCCTATTCACTCTCGCCTTGAAAATTGGCGTCTAGTCTAACCTTTTTTAGAAGAAGCAATCAGCAGATCGTGTCAAAGGATCATACATCTTCAGAACATCAAAATCTTCAGCTCAAGCCCGTCCAGCTGTAACGGCGTTTATGGATTTTGTTTTTCTCTAAATTTTATTGCCTCTATAAACGAGGCTAACCGAAATATCCCGAAGAAAAACGACGTAAGCCCGTAGCCCGGATATACCCCGGGAGAAGCCGGGAGGCCCTTCCTAATAATCTCAAAGGGGGCAACAACGCCCCCATGTGGGTGCAGAAGGCTTTTAAGGGGGCACGAGAAGGTGAAGAGAAAATTATGGGACATTAAGCCGATTGGAGACAATTCCCAATCTTGCAGAGAAGTCAAGTCAGAGCAGCATTCCGTTAGCTCAATTAAAAAACTAATTCTAGGCTAGGCTTATGCAGTATTATTGTAATTGATATTTTATTACACCGCAAAGGTACGACATGTTGATACCTTTTTAAATGCTGACTTAACACCTTATGTACACATGTTTGAACAAATAAATGTATCTTTATTTTTATCTAGGTATGTACACTTCCAGCAGTGGACGTCATTTGGCTGAAACGAACGAACGAACGATGTACACTTTGTTTTCATATAATATTTAATTTGAGATACTTATTTCTAAACAAAAGATACTCTTTACAAAATTAGACAAAATTGCTCAAACACTAATAATAAAATTGAAAACTAGAAAGTTTTCCTTCCGTCTCAGTCAAAAGATGCTGTAAATAAAAAGTTTGAGAATGTAAGTAAACGTTTGCCCTTTTAAGACAAAATGCCTCAAATTTTTCCTAGTTTTCTTAAGTAAGCAAAGGGCGTTAAGAGCATTTATCAAACAAAATTTTAACATACAGCCTACTGCCCGTAGCTATACCCACGTGGATTTCGGTCTGTGACAAAAAAAATATTGATTTAGGTAATAACGACTAGAGATGNCGCGGGAAGAGCCTGGATGCGGGCAGCGCAGGACCGTTCATTGTGGAAAACCTTGGGGGAAGCCTTTGTCCAGCAGTGGACGTCATTTGGCTGAAACGACGAGCGAGTTCTTGCATTTAGTTATCTTTCGTACCTTGTAGTTAATGAGGTCGTAAGACTTATTTACCTGGCCATTGTAGCCATTTTCCACTGATGATTGTGGGCGATTACAGTTTTATATCAGAGATTCAAATCCTCCGAAACGCAACCAAATAGATCTGCAAGTTATTTAAATATTAGCTCAACATAAGACGTCGAGACACTACTATGGAAATCTTGAGCATTCCGTCAATGTCACACAAATCGTTTTGTTAGTCTGGAAAATAAACGTATTCGCAACTCGTTCGCTCACATGTATAATAAAGGTGAATAAACTGAGAAAGTCAGTCGGTCGTAATACTTTTTTATTGTCTTGCGTCTGACAAACATTTTAATGTTCTTATTCAATTATAACTGGATATTTTTCCAGCAAATTATGTCTAGACTGACGAACCGCAATTTATCGCATCTTCAACTTTCTCACAAACTCCACGACTTGTGATTTAACATGGACTTTACTCTAGTACAATGGACAGCACACCAGACTACATAATTATTTATTGTTACAAAATAAGAACTCATGGTACTTAGTTTTATATGGGATCGTTTGTGAGTTTTTTTTTTCTTAGCTTTCGCCTTTTTGGTTTACATTTAGCCACACCAGAGTAAAGCTGTAGTTAAAACATTCAAGCTAGTCTATATTATCTCTTATCTAAGGGACTACACTAGCGTGTCGAACGCTCGAACCTGCTCACCGTTGTGTTACTTGGCCGAAAAAAAACGTTGCGTTGGCGCCGCGCGGACCCAACGTCGCGCGGTCATGACAATGACGTTCGGAAAACATACTAGTTTTCCTCACACTAGTGAGGGAGACCTTATGCTGTTTCGAACTTGTATTTCTTCTATTTTGTGTGGTATGCAATAAAGAGTCTATCTAATCCTCCAGATACATGGCCATCGGTGGCTACGTCGGCGCCGCTACCGTGGGTGCGGCTTCCTGGTGGTTCATGTACTCGCCCTTCGGCCCGCAGATGACCTACTGGCAGCTCACTCACCACTTGCAGTGCCTGAGCGGCGGCGATGAGTTCAAGGTAAGGAAGACAGCAGTGGACAGCAGTTCTGATTAATTTCGCTGCGGGTCCAATGACAACTTTCCCCGGGACAAACTTAACCTTCACTGGTTGGGTTTTTATTGGCGGTCAAGCTGTAGCTGTATAAGTAAGAACAAAAGAGCCAGATTAAGGCAATTTGTTTTGATATACTTCAAATTACTTGGAAATATTTGAATCTCAGATTCTATAATCTGTTGATACTGAGTTATACGTTGAGACGTCTTCATTTTTTAGCTCGCTTATAACAATGCTAACGCTACTCTACGCTTTATACGGTGCTACAGGCAGCGTCAATAGAAATAGCGTAGACAAAAAGTTCGTAACACGTCTTTGTTGCAATTGGACTAAGGTTGTGTTATCAACTTTTCGGCCACTTTAGGTGTCACGAATTACTCGACGTTGACTGCAATACGTTTTACTGAGCGTCACTATAATGCAGTGCGCACGCTCATACAGTTATAAAGCGGATTATAAGAGTCGTTTAACATTTTATACTTGTGACATCTCCAGGGTATCGACTGCAAGATCTTCACGGACCCCCACCCCATGACGATGGCGCTATCAGTACTGGTCACCATCGAGATGCTGAACGCCATGAACAGCTTGTCGGAGAACCAGTCGCTGGTCACCATGCCGCCCTGGTCCAACCTGTGGCTCGTCGGCTCCATGGCGCTGTCCTTCACACTCCACTTCGTCATTCTTTACGTCGAGGTTCTCTCGGTAAGTCGCCGTGGAATATAGAATAACAAGTTGTAATGTTTTAGTATGGGCAAGGAAGTGTTTTAATGTGTTAAGGGACAATTTTTTTTATGATAAAAGTAGTTGTTAAATTACACATGTTGAGTTTGTATACTGTTAAAATTTGCCAGTTGCCTTTTGAAGTTTAAGAGTAGGCGCACACCGTTGATTTTTCGTCGGCCGATAGTTTAGTCGGGCAGTTGATCAGTATGGGCATGTATGGGAATGCGCACACTACGCCGATTCGATTTGGCCGATTCTACATACAAATTAAAATCGGGCACAACTATCGGCCAACTAAAAATCAACGGTGTGCGCCTACTCTAATACATCATCAACAAGTGACTGAGAAAACATTTAACAGTTAGAAAATAGACGCCCACTTTAATTCACATCTAAGAAAGATATAAAGATTTATCCAATGCATTTGAGTAGGATTCTGTAACAAAATTTTTTTCAGACTTGTGGATTCACTTTAACAGTTATGCTCGAGTTAATCCAACTAATTTTAAATACATATTTTCGTCTATTATCAGATTACCGAGAGTCTGTCTACTCTTGAACGTAACTTATTGATAGTTTTCTTTTTCAAGTCTTTTTCTTTTGTGGTTTAAAATTTACAAATGTCTAATGCTGGAGTTTCCCCGCGCCTCAGGCCGTGTTCCAGGTGACGCCGCTGTCGGTGGACGAGTGGATGACGGTGATGAAGTTCTCGATACCCGTGGTGCTGCTCGACGAAGTGCTCAAGTTCGTCGCGCGCAAGATCTCCGATGGTGAGAAGAGATCTCAGCTACTGCACTGGCTCGACGGCATGCAGTGGATCGTGCTCATGTGGGCCGTGTTCTTTGCGGTCATCGGCTCCGGAGTGCTATAGGCCGACCCCCCGTGGCCCCCACGGCACTAACCGCACGCGTGTGACCCCCACCCCCGCCCGAGACAATAATATTCGGAGCTCATTATCTTTAATCATTCTACTTTTTTTACCTTACATTCACTACGAGGCGGCTGTGAACACCTCCGTTAGTGCTAACTCGGAACACCAAAAATAGGCTAGTTTCCTAAAAAAAGTTTTTTAGTCCGTCATGTTTAATGTCACAAAATATTGGACACGTATATTTTTATTTGTCAATCTAACAAATAATTACATAGTTATGGTGCGTTGAAGTTCCGCACGACGTCACAACGTGCGGCACTTTTATGCACGCATTGACGTCACGGGCCTCTTCTTATGAACTTTGGCGCGCTTTATCTCTTTAAATTTTCATTAGTTTGAAAAAGTGAAAAATACGTGTAGAGTATTTTTTGATAAGTTAACTGACGGACTAATTAAAACTCTTGCTTTTTGACCCAGGAAACATCCCTATTGGGTTACTGATAAATAAAAGGGTATTATATTATGTAAGTTCCACCCGGCCGCCGACTTTAGTCCGGCCGGCGCCGCCCCGGCGGCCGTAGCTTACTTGTGAAGATGCGACGTTAGTGCTTAGTGTAATTTATTGTAAGTATATCGTTAGGAAAGTGGTTACGATTATTTTGCTCGACGAAATTTTCTTTAGGAAGAATATGAAGCTCCGCTCTGTCCTTTCTCTCGACCGCTTGTTAACATTCCTTGAAGCATTTTGATTTTTAGTTATTTCAGCCTGTGTTCTATGATGACGCATTTGAGTTTCTGTTCCTAACCTAACAGTATGTTTTTTCTTGTGCTAAAATTAACACCTATTAGCAATAATGTTTGTCATTTCATGCATTCTTTACTTTCCATATAGAATGGGTTAGGCGACTTATTAGAAAACGTTAGCGTTTTGCATTGGTTAATTGAAGCAGATTAGTGTCCAGTGTTGTTTTATTTGTAAAAGGAGTTGCAAGTTCATATTTTATAAAGAAATATAGTCAATGTATGTATGTCAGGATGTGTCGAACATACACAGAGATGTTGATTCGTTTCTCGTGTGGACGCACATCGCTTGGTTCTTGTATTTGGAATCTGATGATGTAATTTAAGTTTTCCTCGGTCCGAGGATATGCTATCAATAGTTATATTGATGAGACATAATATTACAATAAGGTAAATAAATTCAAGATAGGCCATTTTTGTTATGGTACAAGATTCATACTTGTATGTTATTAATATTAAAATAGGTAATATATTTGCATGTGTATATTGCATGTTTACGATTTTAAGAGTGCAGTTTGTTTTGGTTTGATGACGTTACGATTTTTTACTTAATGTGTTAATTCTGATGATATAACGTGTAAACACAGTGTAAGACCGTCAAACACAAATAGCCCACACTATACACTGCACAACAGAGGGCATGCTCAAACCCTTGTTACTTTCCCCGACCTTCTCCAACTGTTATGAATATGAATAACTTATTTAAAATGTACAGTCGTTTATACATATTTTACATTAATTAAAAATATCGAGAATAAAACCTCTACTTGTTTTCTTGCAACTTTCCTTACTAGAATAACAACACCCCACACCACACCGACCCCGTGTTTGCACATCGACGACCATCAAGTGACAATAACGTGTGTTTTATGTTTCCTGCTAACACATGAACTAATGAACATTAACAAAAAAGTTTTGCAAGCTTTAAAACGCTATTGCTGTGTGAAACAGCTAGTCGCTATTTAAATTTATTGAACAAAAATATTCCTTCTAAATTCTAATAAATCATTATTATGTATTCACCTTGTTCAGAGAAAGTCACAAAAATTGGTTTTAGTAGAAATGCAAGTGAATTGCAAAACTTTGCGCCCCCTCCTGCACTCCCCTCGAAGCAGGGGCCTCCCGCATGCACTAACGTGGTGTTGTCTGCCCCCAGCCCAGCCGACGTGGAAGATGTAAGCGCCGGGACACCGTCGCAGCGGCACTGCACGCACACATATTCCATGAACTCATTGTTTGTTGTGATCCCGCAGTGAAACTACACATTAAGTAAACGACACGGTTGTGATCTCCATAATCTCGTAAGTTCGGACGGCATCTCCCGCTCGCCCGAACGCAACACTAACGCTCTCGTTGTTTTACAGCGAACGAGGTGGTCATTGACAAGTGGTAAACGCCACCGAGTCAAAGTTCCTCATCCGCTACTCTCTGCTACTTCTACCGCTCTCGCCCCGATGTTATAACCGATTGGCTTTTAGTTGGTAATTCGCGCCAGAGCCCGCTGGCGCGGCGAGACGCCACCTGCACCCGCGCCACCAGCCAGAGAGGACTTTGTTGTTCATAATGTGTATATACTACAGTATGCTTAGGAGGTTTAATCATTGTTAAATTACATTGTTCTAATTAAAGACTACATGGTGCCCGTCGACAGAAGCAGTGCGATAGACGATGTGTACTTAAGTTGACAGCACTCCTATATTTAATTTATTGTTATATTTTTATTCTCTTTTTAATCTAGTTTGCTTATATAGAGCCGAGTCTGTTTCTATTAGTGCTGACGCCTCGACGAGCAATATGGTGTCTGTAAGGGAAGGATAAACATAACTGTCCAGTGTTTGGGACGTAATCGAGTCCAAAAATTTAAACATACCTGTACATTTTAATGTATTATTGTTTTGTACAATAAATCGTTATAAAACGACAGTTGTTTGATTTTGTTTTCTTATTATTTCATAGGTTTGTACAGTCAGGAGAAAGAGCATTCAATATTTCCCGCGAAATAGAAGCTTAACAACAACTGGGGGGAACTAGGAGTTAGAGGAGGATATAACACCAAATTGACTATTCTACTTTTTTCTAATTCCTAAAATTCGTAGGTAGCTTGATTCCTTAGTTTATGCCTTGGACGAATAAACCAAGGTTTATGCCTAACTTGCTATCTAGCCAGCCAGGCTGTCATATGTTTTAATTTTATAGTACACTAGCTTTTGCGTTAAAGAGTAACAAACGTCCAGACATCCAAACTTTCGCATTTATAATATTAGTAGGACATCTAGTATTTTTTGATAGTAAAATAACAATAGGTGGAAGGAATCCTAATGAGTTTTCCTCTGTGGCTCAACAACTGAACACTCGCTCGCCAAGCGAAGCGCTATATAGATCCGTGGGTTCGACTCCCATCTGTGTGCTAGCTAACCACTGGTGCTAACTTATTAAGCATTAACCGTACAGTTAAATTCTAAAGTTATATCTTAAATAAATAAAATTAAATGGTTATTATTTTAAATTAACTTTGCATTAATACTTTCACAAAATCCAATTTCCAGAGAAGGAGAGGTGATCATTCTCCTTGTCGAATGCTATGCCTCCCGTTTTGTTGGAATATATTTTGGAGCAATTTTAGAGCAACAAAACAATAAATATTTTGGATAATTCTCTACCAAGAGTACCAAGACATGAAATCTCTCTAATCAGGGACACAGGGTCAGGGTTATTAAATTAAATGACTAATTGATATTATGCATGTGAGGAATCGAGAACATTTTGATAAAAATGTAAACATCACTAGCTGTCAATGTCACAGTCACTGTCAAATTGTCAAACATGTGTTTCTAGACGCGAGATTTGTATTGTGAAAATTGAATTGAAAATAGCAACGGATACGTTACGAATTATTAACAAATCGTTTGTACATCTGGAAATGGAATTAATGTATTAAAATTTCCCTTTATTATGGAAGCTTCAAAGTCAGTAGTTATTTCATTTATGTAAATACTAAAATAGCTAGTTCTAGTGATCGACTATATTCAATACAAGCTATTATTCTTGCAGAGCAGATGCTGAATTACCGTGTAAAATGGCACATTTAGACATAATGGAAGTGGACGAATCGAACATTGATTCCTTTGAAGAAAAACCTCAAACAAACGAAGTAACTTCACGGGTATTGAGGAAAAGAAAATCGCTTATGCCCGAAATTAATAGGTCAAGCAACCGCCGGGTGAGCATGAAACCTCGCAAACATATGACTGAAAACGCTAACCCGAAACAAATTGAGGCATTGTACCTCAACAAGAAAGTTAAAGCTGTGTCACAAACATTAGAGACTATCTATGAAGAGCCTAAGACTGACAACAACTTATCTGAGACCTTCATTGGAGGACGAAAAGTGAAGAGACTGCTTACATTCCAGTTAGGTAATCAGTACACTAAAGAAAAGATCAAGAAACGCAGAGCCAAAATCAAGAAACTACTTGGTAACAAATCATTTTTAAATAGAAAGAAAATACCTATGCAAGTTTTTCTTAAAACAATTGAATGCCTTGAGTTAGATGAAACTGTACAAAGTGATGCAAAGATACTGAGTAATGATAAACCAGTTTGATAATTTAGTTTTGTTACCTAAGGTACTATTTTGATTTCTTACAAACTTGAAAGCTGTGAAATAAAATCATTTGATAAGTATTAAATTATCATTTGCAAAATTTCTTTTTATTCATTAATTTGTCTAGTACAGTACATAGTATGTTTAGTAATCTAAATGTTACATGACATGAAATTTTCTACTTAATTTAATATGGATTTCTACAGATAAAACTAACACTTAGCAAAATCACACATCTTCTAGCTATGAGATATAAAAGAACACAAGAAGAACAAACAAAGTTGATGGAATGTTTTATTGCCAATAATAAATAATAATTTATGATTCTGAATCGATTACACACGAAGTAGATGATTTGGGACAGTTATCGTATTCTCTGTACATCCCAGCTGTGGTATCACTGTCGGCCATGTTGATACACACACAGCGGGGCTTCTCTTCTCCCGGGGTGTACAGCTGGCGAGGCACCCCGGTCCAAGTCCGGTTAATTCCACCACTGTAACGTTAATTTTAGTTAAAACATGTAGAACCCTAAGGCTGGGTTGCACCATCTTACTTTAACTTTGACAAACGTCAAAAATCTGTCTAACTCCATACAAAAACCATTGGTTATCGTTAAAGTTATGGTCAAAGTTAGGTGGTGCAACCCAGCCTTAAGCTTATGCATTTTAATCTTAAATTTAATAAATATACCTGGAAGTGGTACACCAAACTTTAGACCCATTCTCAGCACTCCAAGATATGTTACATGGAGGATATTTGATATTTCTCTGCTTTTCTATTTCCTTCTGAACTTTACAGTTATCTACTTTTTCAATGAATAGTTTGTTATATTCAGTTGGATAGCCTTCTTTATCAAAGTATGTACCAATAACGAATCCTGAAAGCAAATAATTATAAGACATTACCATTACATTGCTTATTTACCGGTTAAAAAGGTCTAAGATTTATGATAAATAAGTTTTTAAAATGTTCATTAAAATAATAAATAGTTTGGGTAAGTGAAATATTGTAGTATACCTACGTACCAACATGTTTATATTTTTCCTTAAAAGTCTTTATCCAATTCAATAGTACCAGAAGCTCATCACATGTGAGGTCTAAAACATGATCTTTCTCTGGCCCTTCATCTTTAAAATCACCTGTTATAAATGCTCTTGAGCCATCTTTACCTTAAACAATATAATTAAATATTATATATTTTATTAACGCACTTACTAAATATAATAAACATTATTAACTTACCCACAAAATAATGATATGAAGATCCTTTTCCATAATGTTTAGTTGCTTCACTTACATCAAATATATATCCTACTAGTGCTAAATAAAGTTCACGTTGATCTTGCCCATTGTATAGAGCTAAATCCTCTGGAGTGAGTAAGTCATAAGATCCATTGTTACGAATTGTAACATTTTTTTTCCTGAGGTATCCATCTAATTTATCCTTAACTAGAATTCCAGTAAGTACTACACATAGGGATATGACAAGGTTAACAAGTCTTGACATTCTATTATCTTTTAAGAAATACTGTATACAATTTTACTCGTTCAGATTATAGATTTTTCAATTTTCAGAACTACATAAATCTAGGTTTTTCAACTTTCTACAGATCATTGACCAAAATTATATTTCACCGGCTGTCAAACTTGATATTTGACGTAAAGTAGTTTCAAAATTATTGCGTTTTGTTATCCGTAAGAATGAAACGGTAAAATATCTTATCATAAGTTGTCATATGTACTTTTTTGGGGTTATTTTTCAAGAATTGTAAACAAACTAAGAAAGTTTATTTTGTATGGTAATTTAAATTATACTACTTTAAAAAATATGAAGAAAAGTATTCGATATTTATCGCAATTCCCTCCAAAGAGAAGGGTTGCTGTAACAGGACTTGGTATTGTTAGTCCACTGGGGACAGGTACAGAATTGGTTTGGCAAAATCTTTTAAAAGGTGGTTGTGGCATCGTCCCGCTACAAGGTGAACAATATTCTAAATTACCATGCAAAATTGCGGGAGTAGTTCCTGAGAATGACACAAAGATAAAAGAAGCACTGTCGAAATCAAATTTGAAATCGATGGCTCCAGCGACGTGTTTAGCTCTTGTGGCTACTGCAGAGGCTTTAGCCGATGCTAAGTGGACCCCGAACACTGAAGAAGAAAAAGAGATGACTGGTGTTGCTCTTGGCATGGGAATGATTGATTTAAAAGATGTATGCGATACCAATGATGCATTAAAACTAGGCTATAACAAGGTAAGCCCATTTTTTGTCCCAAGGATACTGCCAAATATGGCTGCGGGTCATATAAGCATCAAGTATGGCTTTAGAGGACCTAATCATTCAGTGTCCACTGCATGTGCAACAGGGGCACACTCAATAGGGGATGCATTTAGATTTATAAGAAATGGTGATGCAGATGTGATGTTGTGTGGAGGTGCCGAGTCATGCATAAGCCCTCTAGCAATAGCAGGATTTTGTAGACTTAGAGCTTTGAGTACTTCTTTCAATGATACACCTACAAAAGCCTCAAGACCTTTTGATAAAAGACGAGATGGATTTGTAATGGGTGAAGGAGCAGCCGTGTTAGTTTTAGAAGAATATGAACATGCACTGAAAAGAAATGCTAAAATGTATGCTGAAATATTAGGCTATGGGTTATCAGGTGATGCATCTCACATCACTACTCCAAGAGAGGATGGCACTGGAGCTATTTTGTCTATGAGCAGAGCATTAAAAGATAGCAACCTAGAAAGGAATCAAATCTCATACATCAATGCCCATGCCACATCCACACCTATTGGAGATGGTATAGAGTCAACCGCTATAAAAAAACTGTTCCAGGAGCATACTTCCAATATCTCAATATCTTCCACGAAAGGTGCTCATGGGCATCTGTTAGGTGCTGCAGGCAATTTGGAAACTATATTCACTATTTTGGCATGTCATCATGGAATCTTGCCCCCAACACTTAATTTGGAAGAACCAGTAGATAACCTCAATTATGTAGCTAACACACCACAAACCTGGGAATCTGATAGAAGAATTGCATTGAAAAACTCTTTTGGTTTTGGGGGTACAAATGCTACACTTTGTATTGCTGGAATGTGAATTTATCTGTGATGTATTTTTTTTGTTAATAGTTTGAAAGTTTATAAACTATCTGTTGCAACAATATTGTTTTATTTTAGGTCTTTGAGAAATTGATGTGGAATAAAACACATTATCACTGTATTATAGTATATTTAAAACTGAGTTACAAATGTTTTTGATTTCAATAACAATGGCAAAATAGCCAAGGTAACTCCCATCCTCGTTCCTTTTGAAGCTTCTTAACGAGCAATAATTAATTCATCATGTACCACATAATATTGAATCACATAAGCACAAATTGAAAATAAAATAATTTGATCAAAAAATGCTACTTTAAATATCTCATTACTAAGCTTTCTAACAATTTAAATAGTAAATATTCTTTTAAATGCTGGGTTTTATCCAGTCAAATTCTTCATTGAAACAGTTGGAATTCTTCAAACTTGCACTTGTTTTAGCCTTAAAATTATTTTTCATTCATATTTTATAAACATGATTTAACAAAGATTTCTGTACCACCGATATTGAGTGTAAGTTATAATATCATCTACAATATCTGTATTACCTACAAGCACCCATTGTCTTCCTCATCTTGGAACAGTGATCAATTCTGGAACTTGATAATGTGGACATATTTTCACAAACAAGTGTTGTAAAGTATGTGATCTACAATCAAAATGTCCTATTGCACTATGTGTAACTCAAAAGGGTAATTAAATTAAAAATACAACAACTAATTTAATTGCAGTCTGGTGCTGACGAAACAAACAACTGACATAATATTGCAACTATTTTATTTTCCAGTCTACTATTTTAGCAAAAAAATACAGACCTACAGGAAATAGTATCACATTGAATATGGAATATATTTTCATGTTAACATTTCAACTTAAACATCTTATTCAAGGAACATTTTGATGTAGTTATAAGTTAGACAACAAACTATTCTATTTACTGAAAGCTATTTATTCTTGAAATGGGTCATCCTATTGGGTCCTAGAATCGGATTAAACTGACGGGCAACTTCTCAGATATCTGTAACTACAATGTAACCTAAATAAAAACATGCAGAATGTGGTTTCTTTGCTGTTCAAAACCGTTAACCGTACCAGAGGATTGACTTAATTGGATTGTTCATCAAAATACATTACAGAACAGTTCTACAGACCTTGAAGCAGTTATATGTTTATGTCATTTTGGAGGAAAATGACTTTGAATATTGAATATAGTGCAGTTGAAGTGTCTCAGAGACTGGGAGCTAGGCTTGATCGTCCTGCGCGCGCGGCGGATTCACGCACAGCTGAGCAAACTTCTGCCGGAGGTTCTGCCGAAGTTCTTGTCTTTTCTCTGTTATGTTCCTACGGGATTTGAATTCTAAAACCTCTTCTATAGGAATATAACTGGTGTCTTGCTCATCGTCCGAGGAACACGTGTCCTGGAAAAAAAACATATTTATAATACAATTCAAGCCCAATATTATTTTAGTTCTTACAGAAAGATACATACCATTAACATTTCCTGTAGAGAAAGCGTAAAGCCAGCGCAAGAACCCTTTTCGTTTTTGGAGTCTAAACAGTCACCTCTCTCGTGATTGCAAAATCCTTCGGAACACGCAACCTCGGACCCTTCGGGTGAGCTCATGAGTGACGAGGAGCCAGACATGGTTTCGCAGCAGCCGCCATTGTTCCCTGAAGAATAGCCACAGTCTTGAGAGTGATCGTTGGGCGATAGGTTTCCGTTTTTGTTCCTTTTCTTGGCGGTCTTTTTTGGTGAGCGGCGTTGGACAGAGTCGTCGTGACACGACTGGCAGCTGTCTCCGTCTCCACTGGCTTCGTAGCACTGGTTGTAATCTCGCGGCGAAAGCAGGTCAGTAGGTGTATCTCTTTCTTCTAGCAAACATTCTTCACATTGGCACTTTTCTTCTGGTTCTTCAGAATCAACCTCCTGCAAAATGAAAATGTATAGTAGATTTGTCACAGATAAAGGAACTTACAATAACAATACAATCAATTTCTATTCTAGAAATTAATGGGTTTCCTATCTAACTAACCTTGCATTTGCTCTCAACAGCCTGCCTTTCCTTCTTCTTGCGCCTTTTGAGTTTCTTCTGTTCCTTTCGCTGCTGCCTAGTCAGTTCTTCTTGGGTAATTTCATCATACAGTAGCTGTAGTTTAGAGACCCCGCTCTTTTGTTCCACAGCAGTTTCGAACTTGCGGTACAGTGCCTCAATGGCGACTGCTGCGAGAGTTTGACATGTTCCTTCTTCCTCGCGAAGTCGCAGAGAAATGCGTTGGAGTCGCTCATAAATGCATATTCCAAGACATATAAGCACCTAAAAAATTTAAAATGAAATTATGTTTAATATACAATGTGCAAATTCATGAAGTGATATTACTTTGATTTCAATAAACACTGGGAAGCTCTTAGGAAACCCCGCATCTCATCACTAATAACAAAATTGTTATAATAAAGTTCTCAATTATAGTGATAATTTAATATTATAAACATAGTAATTAAGCTCATTAGAATATTATTATCAAAACAAAAGTTATAGGTTACTTACTTCTTCTTGTGCAATTTCAAGTGTCTTTGCATGCCTTTCACGGTGGTTTCCAAGAAGCTCTGGCTCTGCCCGAGCTATGAGGTGCGCGATATAATCGGTTTTCGCCTGTAAATGCAAGTGTTTGTCTAGCAGACATCTCTTTATGCCACCGTATAGTGCTCCAACATAACCCTTTTCTTTTTGCGGCTCTTTTTCTTCAACCAACAGTTGATATGCTCGTAGGACCTGAAGGAAAAAATATTATAGTGAGAAATCATATCAGAAAATATTACTTATTTGCTCGTAGTCTTGGAAATGATTGCAAATGAACACAGCAAAAAAAAAAATTTTGCCACATGTCAACGCTTGCAAAAATGTAGATTTAGTCTAACTAGAATTATTCTTGAAGGTGATGTGAAGTGAACAGATAAACTGTAGCCAACGAAATACAATTACTAATAGTGAAGTCTTATAAATTAGAAAAAACAACACTAAAGTATACTTAGGCGGAGGCCTTTGTCCTGCAGTGGACGTCATTTGACTGAAACAAACGAAAGTATACTTGTCACTCACCTTAGTTTTGCAATCAGTACAGAAGCGGTGTTTCCTCAGGTAGTTGTGTAAGGTGTCGTGTAGGGTGTTGAAGTGCACAAGGGTGACGTGATCCCGCGCGGAGGCGCGCATCGCGTCCCAGGCGGCGCGCCACGCGGCCCGGCCGCCCCAGCCCCAGGCGCCCCAGCCCCAGCTACAGGCCGCGCCCGCCGCCGCGCCCGCTGCCGCCGCCGCGCCCCATCCACGCGCCGTGCCTGCCTCCAGAGAGTGCAGCGTGCACCGCTGGGACTTCTTCCACCTCGGCTGACTTAGGATCAAACACTCTATGCCCGTGCTGAAACATTCATGTAGGAAAATTCCGTTTAATGAGGGCTGTCGTTTTTATACTTAACAGTTGGCACCCCTGGCGATTGATAGGACCTTACTCTACAGTGGCGCCATCTTGATGAGTGCAAATGCGATAGTCCTACCATTTTCGCGCTCACCAGTTGGTGCCACTGACTTCGCACTAGCAAGTGATAGGACCTTACTCTACAGTGGCGCTAACTGGTGAGCGCTAAAACGATAGCCCTCATTCCCACGGTATTTATTTGTACAAGATAAAAAATAATAAAATTATTTATAACAATCGTCTGTTCGCGTCCGTCTACACGTCGTATGTCACACTCACACTTCCTTCTCTTTCACACATCTTTACATTTCAAGAGACTACTTATGTATTGTCCGATTGATTGTAAGTGAAAATTATTAGAGATGAAACGGATAGTTGTTTGGCCGGATACCGGATACCGGATATCCGGCCAGCTGCTAGGCCGGATAGCCGGATATCCGGCGGCCGGATAGTTGGCCCATTGTCTCGTTGCATGTCGTGACGAGTTTAGCGCCGCACAGGTGCTTCGAACGCGATCAGTGGGTCTATTTGTAGACTAGACTTGTCACACTTTTCGAAAATCGAATCAGTTCGAATAGAATGTCAGATTTTGCCACTTGTCTAGGGGGTAGATCAATTCGGGCGATTTCGGTTGCCATCGTGAGTGTGTAATTAAATAGCGAAAATTAAATTAGTTTACTTGCTGCGTAATCTGACTGAACTGCATCATGACATCAGTAGGCCGAGTGTGAGTCTATATCAAACTCGCTCACTAGTGAGCGCGTTTAAAAAATGTATGAAAATTTTACTTTTCGAACGTTTCCCGCTAGGGGCGCTGTACAATCCGTCATACATTAAATGTCAATTTTTGTTTTTTGAAAACTCACACTCAGCCCTCTGACCATCAGTGAAAAAAAGATCGCCTATTTTATTTGGCAATATTTCGCCTTAACAGATATTTATGTAGGTATTCGTCATTAAAGTGTATTCACTATCACACTAATAGCCCAGAAAAAGAAATTACTTTTTTTAAAGGCCTTAATATGCCTTTTTGTAACTTTTTGGACTTTAAATAAAAGCTGTCATTATTATAAGCCATTTTATTGACGTTTACCTCTAAGATTAATGTATTCCATTTTATTAATAGGAAATTGTCGTAGTTTTTTAATATCCGGTATCCGGCCGGATAGTGAGTTACTATCCGGTATCCGGCCGGATAGTAAATTTAGGCCGGATATCCGGCCTACCGGATAGTTACCGGATATCCGTTTCATCTCTAATAATTATCTCAATCCAATAAAGGATATGCCTGTTGCTTTCCAATCCAATCTTCAGAATCTGATTGGATATTGAATGAATAACCACTCATCATGAATAATTCATTTTCTCGTCCAAGCTTATTGCCCGTCATCGAGTCGATTGTTCTATATTATACCAACATACCTGTGACCGTTTAACAAAGTGGCAAGTGATTGTGGATGTATAATTTTGTCCTCTCTGATGGTCATCAATTCATCTGGTGTTAGAACTAATGGGTCTAGCGTTGGGTGCCCTGATTTGCATAACTGATAGAAAAGCCGTTCCACACTGAAATAAAACCAAACATTATACATCAGAATTATAAATATATGATATTTGGAGTGTATGTGCATGTGTCAATGCTTTCATAAACAAACATGATGATAATAAAGTTACAGAGATTTAATACAGACCAAATTTTTCCAAGTAGATTAGGTACATGTTAAAACTAATTAATCTAACTATATCTCACAGTAGCTGATAAGTATCACAATATGTATTTATTGGTAATATAGCTTTATACTAGCATTCAATCCAATTGTTTTTCTTCAGGTAAAAATTTGAGACTAAGTAACTGTTATAACATAATAGAATTATTACCATATTGAATATTGAACTATGAAGTAGATGATTTTAAGTTAGGTATTGACCTCTAATAATTGAAAAGATCATACCAATCAAAAACAGTCTTCTGTATGATCGGGGAAGATTATAACCTATTATGAATACATTAACCACCAACATACCTTCTTCGACAGCCAACACAAGGAATGCTTTGATTCAGTACATTAAAAATATCGGAGGCGTCTACTCTGAGCGCAGCCTTTAGTTCGTCAGTGGAGAGAACTCTATATTTGCGCATGAACTCTTCGTATTCGCGGCCTTTCACTTGGGGATTGTCACAAATAAGCCCCATTGTGTTTAAATCCATAATCATCTGCAAAAAAGTAAAAAAATATTACAACAAAGGAGTAAATTAACAAAAATAAGGTCATGCAGAAAACGTCATTAGATTCTCAAGAAATCAATGAAGCTACAATGATCAAAATCAGGTTCAACGTAAGATTGCGGATATATTGATACGAACGTTATCTCTTGCAACAAAAACAGTTCATTTGCGAAAACCTCAACGACATTTTTTATTATTTCTATCAATGAATAATCTACGTTTGTGGTAATGTCAAAGTACAGAATCAGTTACTTACTGTAAGGTTTTCATAGATAGTTAACGGTAATTGTCGTCTTTTAATCACGGGTTCTTTTTCGCTATTATATATGTCAACCAATTTCGCCATTTTTATGATTAATCACATAAAATCGCCGACAAAATACACAAATATTAACAAAATGACGGCCAAATTCTCAAGGAATACACGTCGTGTTGCGTCTGACACAAAATGAGTGTTGCCATAAATCACATACAAAAATAACTACCATTCAATTTCTACTAAAGCACAGATAATAAAAATCATTAATAGTTTTCGAGAATACCAATCAAGATTTTAAATTGGGTGACAGTTCTTTAACAAAACGTTAAAATAAACTGAATTGAGATCAAAACATGGTTGAATTGTAAATTTTTTCTCATTGAATTTCATTGTGCAATAAAAAGAAACTTTGCTAATTACACAGATTTCAAAAATCTAATTGAAAATGTCTAAAATATTTACACCTACTAACCAAATACGTTTGACGAATGTTGCTATAGTAAGGTTGAAAAAAGGTGGTAAAAGGTTTGAAATAGCTTGTTACAGGAATAAAGTGTTATCCTGGAGGAATAAATTGTAAGTTTACTACTAAATATAGATAGTGTACAATATTATTACATGTTTTATGTACCCTATTCATAATTACTCATATTTAATTATTTTCTGTTCTTGAACCTTATTGTCTTTATTTACTCTACAATGTCTTTAAATTTCAGGGAAAAGGACATAGATGAAGTTTTGCAAACTCATACCGTATTCACAAATGTTTCCAAGGGACAAGTGGCAAAAAAAGAGGATTTGGTGAAAATATTTGGTAAAGATGACCAAACTGAAATTTGTAAAGAAATATTAGAGAAGGGGGAGTTACAAGTTTCAGATAAAGAGCGCCACTCCCAAATTGATTCATTGTTCAAAGATATTGCAACAACAGTTGCTGATAAATGTGTGAATCCAGAAACCAAAAGACCTTATCCTGTTTCCATCATTGAGAAAGCTATGAAGGATATTCACTTTTCTGTAAATGTTAACAGAAATGCTAAACAACAAGCTCTTGATGTTATACAGTTACTGAAAAAAGAAATTCCCCTTGAGAGGGCTCAAATGAGAGTCAGGATTATTCTAACTGGAAAAGATGCCCGAAAGACCAAAGAAAAAGTGGTCAAACTTTCCACAAGTGTGGAAGAAGAGAACTGGGACTCAGGCACAGCAAATATTATTTGTTTGATTGATCCAGGCAACTTCAGGACACTGGACGATATGATACGAACAGAGACTAAAGGGACTGGACAATTTGAATTGATGAATCTAAAAGAGATGGTGGAAGGAGAACAAGCTCTGTGAAATATGTTAGTATACCAATGTCTGTTGTATCAATTGTATTTTATCCATAACGTGAAACGTATAATATTATAGGTGTCTCTTTAAAATAAAAACAAATTTTTAATATTTGCCAAGTCATGTGTTTAATTTAAATTTCCCTCCTCATGACGAAAAAAAAAAGTTTATCTGTAGGCCAAGGAATAGTGAAACGTAAGCATAAAACTTTACCGGTTGTTACCGATACACATCACTAGTCGACGCAAACTGAGCTACATGGCCCACAAAAACAAAACTTTTAATCTCAATTTTCATAATTATACTAGAAAATGCGAACAAATTAATTATATTGGTGTGAATAAAGTTTTTGTTTCAGTACATTTAGAAAACTTCATAAACGTTTTTTGTGAAACGGAACACTGAAGTGAATGTACTCATCAAAATGACAAATTAAAAAAAAGTTTTATTTTTCTTATATTGGTACGAGATTTTATTGATTGTTTTCTTTCGTAAAAGATTTTCGGCCAGACGGCGACTGAAATTGCAAGTTACTGTGATATATTTATTTTCAATAATTAACTATTCTTATCAACAAATTAAATGAGCAGGGATATCGAGTTATGTCTATAAGTAATGGAAGGTACAGAACTGGGTGGCGACCAGCAATTCTGTTTGAGATGGAACAATTTTCAAGCGAATATAACTTCTCAATTCGAGGCACTGCGCGATGATGAGGACTTCGTGGACGTCACCCTGGCATGCGAAGGTCACAGGCTGGAGGCCCACAAAGTGGTTCTCTCAGCGTGTAGTCCTTATTTCAAGGAATTATTCAAAGTAAGTGTATCTTTCACTCCCCACACTTTGATGTGTCACCATTACAATGACTCTAGTGAAAGTTGTTATGTATAAAACACTTGATCTACTTACAAATGCCATGTCTCGCGTTCCGGTTAAGTACTCGTGATTTCATTTATTTGTACCTACTTTAAAATTCTGTTTTACAATTTCTAATTAACTCATTATCATTTCTTCTATAGATTATATGTATGTCTTGAGCAGAGATATTGGATTCCTTCTGTGTGACCATTACATTCCTTACTAATGAATATGTCTCAAGTCAATACCCAATTAATTAATGGATTCCCAATATTTTACTCGATTATTTGATATTGCTGGAACATGAGACTCTTGTGGCCAACACACACAAATCTGAATATTAATTGATGGACATTTTCACCTCATTTTACCAGAATATATTTTTAGTAATTGGACAGGCGAGTATCACAAGATGAAAGTAACATACATAATGCAATCCAAGCCATGATGTTGTAGCAATAATGACTGAAATCCAACAATCACGGCACACTATGATTTAATTCATCCTCTTACTGATGATTTTAAATTCAATGACTGCAAGACAGGATAAAAATATGTATAAATAGGACTAGATATATCTAGTTTTGTTATAATACTACACTTTCATCTCATTATGCATTTACGGTTCTTTGTGAAAGCTCCATTAAAAGCCTTATTTGTGATGATGTATTAATGTTCACAACATGTGAAGTGTTGGAATTCACTTTGAGTGAAATGCTCTGGAATGTAAGACATATTTTTTTTATTAGGAAATGCTTCTTGCTTCTTTATCCAATACTAGGTATAAGGAACAGAATCCTGTAGATATTGAGTGTATTTCAGCCAAATACAAAGTTGTAATATTCCATTCAATTTGCGTAACTTACATATTTTTAGAGATCATAATGCATAAGAAATTGCAATTGGTGGTAATTAGCTTAATCACTGTGACCATTGTTCAAATCAACTGTCCCATTGGTTTTTAATATTCAAGGCAATTTAAATTACAAATGATTATGAATAGAAACTAAATGTGGTTGTGATGTCCATTTATTTTTGAATGTGTCATGAATTCTATTAATTATAGCACTTTCTTTGTAGAATTTTACTTATTATTTGGACTTTGAGCCAAAAAGTCATCAGTAATCTAATTTGGTGATTGATTATGATAAATCATTGTCTTTAAAACACAAAAACCATGCCCTAAAGACAAAAACAATATTGCAATTGTGGTTACTTGTTTGTACAATCACCACCAATTACTAATGTTAACATGGCATAGCTGACAGCATACAAAATAGAAGTTATAAACACCATTATGCATTCTGGCAATTTGAAATAGATATAATAGATTTTTTGAGCTAGATAGAAACTTAACCAGATCTTAATGTAATTAATTAACTATGTTATTAGTTCAATAGAATACTGATTCAAACTTGTTAGTCAAGTTTTTGATGGTTTCCTGGGAAATTTAATTAATTTAGAATTTGTGTTAATCACTCCAAACTGCATGGGATGTAATAAAATATCCTTATGTAGTATGAAAAATGAAAATATATTTCAAGACTTAGTTGTAAAAAAGACTATGGTAAATTAATATTCACATACTCTTTAGAAAATGTATGATGTATGTTTTTCACATACTAATTTGACTTCATGTTACAACAAGGATTTACATTTTCTTATAGTGAAGGTCACACAAAAACATGGCAAAATATTCCTTAAAATATTTTAAAATGTGTTAGTTGATGTAAATGATATTAGTAGACAAAGGATTTTTTTCGCCATAATATTTTTATTGTCAATACAATGGTGTTTTACATTTCTATGGAATAATCAAAATAGTTGTTACAGATTGTGTTTTGTTAAAATTACCAATCTTAAATGGAGAATTAATTTCTAATTTGAAATTTTGAATTCAGAAAAGAACAAGTGGGAAAATATTATTTTCGCACTTGTTTTGTCTTTAATTAATTAAGGATAATCTTTGTCTAATAGTTTTCAATATTGTTTTGTTAAAATTACCAATCATGATATTGTGGAAAATTAATTATTCAAATCAGAAATTTTGAATTCAGAACCGAACTCTGTACTTGTGGGAAATTATTTTCGCACTTGTTTCGTCTAATAACCTGGACTGTCTAACTTGGTCGGGCTATAAGAGTGACCATAGAGTTACAAGTAGAGTAGTGACGTGTGCATATAAGTGCTCTTAAACATAATAAACACGAAAACTTCGTATCTTAGAAACTCACGGTGCAGTCCTTCGTCAAAGTTGCACCCATTTTTCGATAATTAAAGATGACAGACGACATTGAGGTTGATCATTTTATATTCGACGTCGACAACACATCATGATACAATGCTGAGTCGAGGCACGTGGCGATATCACATTGGATTTATGTGTAAGACCGTTATGAAGAAAACACTTTTTTGACTCTTCGGATCATCGAATCTCAGAAATGCTGACTCTTATTAGAAAGTGTATAGATAATTTTGATAGATAATTGTATGGTCTTAAACCTTGTCATACATATTTTTGTGATAAAACTTACCGTTTAGCTGAAAATCTCAAAAACTCGTATTTTTTAAGTTTGACCTTGAATTTTTTTTTTAGCACATGTCGGATCGATGGGGACTTTTTACAGTTAATTCATAATGGTGCTCCGAACATTCGTACCAATTTTCAGCTGTATGCGAATTAATGCAGGGTTCATGTCTAATTTGACTGGACTATATAGTTATAGATCGTTTCATCCACGAAGACGCGCCCCACCATTCTTCCGCTAATGTTTGAGTGTTATCGGTGAACTCTAAAATCTATGAGTGCACGCGCGCACTACAATAATGAAGCTCGGGATTGCTTGGATCAAATTCCGCACTCCGCGCTTCCCTCGACTAAAAATTAGTGGGGCGCGTCTTCGTGGATGACGCGCCGACGGACTAATTCCAACTCTTGCTTTATTACCCAGGAAACATGCCTATTCTTTGTAAGGTCCATGTTCTAAACGCCCCGTTTTTTTCCAGAACAATCCATGTCCTCACCCCATAATATTCATGCGCGACTGCGAGGTGTCGCACGTACGCGCGCTCCTCCAGTTCATGTACGTGGGGCAGGTCAACATCGCGCAGGCGCAACTCTCGGCTTTCCTGCGCACCGCCGACGCGCTGCAGATCCGCGGCCTCACAGACTGTTCGCAACACAACGACAAAGTAAGTCCAAAATCATCACTGAATTCAATTTGTTGTGTGTTTGTACATTACATTAATGCTAAATTATCCTCACTAGTTCTCCTAGTATGCATACAAACTCCTTAATCGTCTTAATAGTCAACTTCTGCTCATGATCTCGCCTAATAAAATTCTTAATTCTCGTCTCATTAAGTACCTAACTTAGATTTTGAGAGAAAGCTTCAAATTAATATTCTTATGATTCAGTTTGTTATGAGTTCTAAGACAGTTATCTCTGCAACTACTCAACCTTCACTGGAAATTCATTGGCGACCAATTAGATTCTGTGCTAGAGGAATGCCAGTTCCAGTTGTAGGAATCAGTGAAACCACTGGGTTTTAGCAATACCGCTTACTATAGCAAAATTTTATTGCGGAGTTGGACAACGGGAATAAGCGAGTGATTATTTTTGAATAAATGTGTCATAGTCATCTGCTGTCGTCACCTGTTACCCACAGTCAGTTATTTGATTACTAAAATCCCATAGTATTTTTTTGTATCAACATATCGGCAGTCGGTCATTATCAAAAGATAGTTATCGCCAGTAAGCTTACTCGTGCTAGGGATACCACGTGGTTATTAACAAAGTTCACCATGACTACGATTATAAATGTTTTTATAACCCTAAGTACTAATCTTTAGTCAAGGTCCAGAACCTGCGTAGTTTTATATCACAAGTTAATTATCGAAAGAAAGTCTAGTTAGTTAAACTGCGCTGTAGACTGAGGTGCGTGGCGTCACTGGCTGTTTACAACGCCACGATAAAAGTAAATCCCGAACTACTAAGTACTGTAGATATTTTGTATGTGTTCGCTTAAAATTCGTAATTAACTCTTCATCATCATCAGCATTTCAGCCACAGGACGTCCACTGCTGAACATATGCCTCCCCCAATGATTTCCACATTGCCCGGTTGGTAGCGGCAGCGGCCTGCGCCTTCCTGCTACCTTTATGAGGTCGTCGGTCCACCTTGTGGGTGGACGTCCCACGTTTACTCTTAGGAATGGAATAAACTATCACCAGCCCATCATTAGCCTATTATAACTATTAAACTAGGTAAAGCCGCCATCTTATGTCCTTTTACTCGACTCTGGTGGAGACTTTAAGCTTAAAATTTTTACACGATTCTCCCAACTCTTTTAGTGAAGAATATAATAATAATATAATAAAGAAACACTGATAATAATAATGCATTTAATAATATATTAAAGATATAATATTTATTTATATTTAATATGACGTCAGTCAGCGTATTTCTTTTTGAAGTCAAGTATCTAAATAATTAATGATTTCAAAGCAATTAAAAAACTAATTTTACAAATAATTTATTGAATATGTGCGCGCGTTTCAGACAATATCGGATGCCGATTTAATAACGTTACACATGTCGCTCAAATCGCTTCGAACTAATCGTCAAATATACATTATGCAGTGACAGCGAACAAGATGGGTATACAGGGTGTTTGGCGCNAATAACGACTCTTTTTTTAAACAATTTATTATGTTAAGAAAAAATTAATTTCATATCGCTAACACGTCAAAAGATAGCTTACCTATATTTGTTACGTTACCTTGTCCAGGTCCCATTTTTATCTGCATGCATGTTTTTACCAAAAATAATCCAAATCGGATCAACAGTGTAAACGTGAAAACGTAACACACAAACAGAGCTAATTTCATATTATACGTTTCAACGTTAGTTGGCAATTATGCAAAACTTAATTTTATGATAATTCGAGAGAAGGGAAGCGGACATTCATGCTAAAAGAGCAATGAATTATAATTATATTACACAATGATTTATTACTAATATGTCTTAAAAAGAAGTAACATAATGAAAAGCCGCCCTTAATTCTTCGTATTCTAGCTAACGCATAGGAAATACCCTGATATTAACGCCCGTATTCACAACCGATGCTTGTTTAAGTGAAGCAGCAAATCGAACGCACAGCGTTGAATAGAGTTCTGTGATTGGTTCGTGTCACCCTGTGCGTCCACGCGCATTGTGAGACCTCATAGTAATCTTTGTGAATACGGGTGTATGATTAATACATAAGAATGTAGCTACGGCGTCTACGAACGCGCTACGCCGTAGCTCCGTAGTCGTCTACGGATTCCTGTAGCAGGTAAATACAGCTCTGGAATAAAGTTCAGAGGTGGAATTGTGTAAAGCAATCGTAATCATTTGACAGTTCATAACGTACGATTAAATTAAACAAAGTAATAAAACAGTTAAACAAAGCGTTTGACAGAATAATCGTACGATATGAACTGTCAAATGATAACGATTGCTTTACACAATTCCACCTCAGGTCCCAAAGTAAATAAAAACGGTATTTTGTAGGCGTTCATGTTTTTGATCAAACATTTATCCAAACTATAAGCAAATACTGGTTCCGAATCGTTTATGCTTTCAATTTGGTAGCCTGATGTTTACTTAGGTATGTTTATTTTATTCGTAATAAATAAAATACGTAAGTAATCTACATAAAATAACATCACTGGCTGTTATTCTACCTACAGTTTCATGTGAACCCAACAATCACTACTACCTACCCTTTCAGACAGTTAAGCTGAAATCCATAGCTACAGGATTTTTCAGGACAACAACATTTGAATTCAAAACACACAAATTTGAACTCTGTATCTTTGTGAAGTAAGTTCTATTTAGGTAGTCTTTTAGGTGTTATTTAGGAGCCAATTCGGTCATTTGTTTTTCGCGTATTTGGAGTACCTATTAGTAAAATACACATAGACTGTGAACTTAGGTAAAATACTACTCGTATTTGCACTTTTCATACTTTTTGTGGCTACACAGATATTCATTGTATAATAATTCTGAATAGCATCAACGGTAGGTACGGTTCTAATTTTGTATAAGCACCTTGTATGTACCTAAATCTACTAATCTTGTCTTCGCCCGCGTGGATTTTAGTGAAAATTGAAAGTTGAAATAGTATTTAAATATTGTTCAAAATAGCTTATGAGAGTGTTTTGATACTACTATAAAGTTAAAGATATTAAATTGAATTAACTCAAAGTTTTAAAAGCCGCATCACAATCTCGAGTCATCATCATCATCAGTTCATTTAGTCTCCACTGCAGGAGTGCGGCCTTCTCTAATTTACAAGGCAAATCCTCCTCCATCCTCCTTGGTTGAGGATTCCGGGTGAAGCTCGCTTCCACCTTCGGCCTGATCATCACTTACCATCAGGTGAGATACAGGCGAAGCTTCCTCGTTGTGGATAATAAAAAATGGAGGATTTGGTCTACACGCGTTGTCCAGACGGGCTGGGCTCCGATCTAATATCTACGACCTACAAGTATCTATCTACGAGTATAAAAGGTACTATCCGTCCGCTTTAAGTTAGCCGCTGGCGATATGATGTCACTCGAAGGGAAGCGTCTATAACTAACAAACTAAAGGACAATGACCAAAAATGGTCCAAATGTCCACCACTAATGAGACCTATATTGGCTTATAGTCCATTAAATAGAGATTAACTTTCAGTACGGGACGAAAAAAAATAAGCTGTCAGTAAAAAGTTATGACTGTTTCAAACGTTGTAGTAGTTTACGCGCTAATCTCAGGAACTACTGGTTCGATTTGAAAAATTATTTTTGTTATGGATAGCCCATTTATCAAAGATGGTTTTAGGATAAATAACATCACCCTACAAAACCAATAGGGGCGGAGCAGTAAAGACAAATGTTGTAAAAATGGGAAATATTATTCAAACTATTTTTACGCGTACAAAGTCGTAGGCACAGCTAGTATAATATTTAATAAAATTCATCTATAACCCCGCGCCACATGCACCATGACACAACATGCGTAGATTAGTCCAAAATATGCAATGGATAGAATGATATCAAGAACATTTTTCGGATGAAAAGGTAAAAAACATGACTTTTCATTCAGTCATAACTTTTTACTGACAGCATATTTTTGATTGCGGTTTGGTTATAATGAATCAGTATTTAGTAGACTATTTTACTACTGTTGTGATTAATTATTTATCAAGTAATTTTATTTTTATTTTTACTGGAAACTAAGAATATACATAATTTTATTGCACATTGTAATATTGATTTTTGTATTTTATTTTAAACCGGATGTAGCATAAGTACCGTAGTAATATTCTCAACGGAAATTGTATTTAATAACGGAAGTGACTTATTAATATTTTTTCGGAAATCACATAAATTATTAGAATTATATTAATTGTAAGACTCATTTTTATTGCATGGTAGAAATATTGTAGAATTAATCTCGCCGGAAATTGTACTTAATTATTTTCTTAAACGGAAGTGGCTTGTTAATATTTTTACCGGAAGTCTCAATACTTTGAATAACTTGTATTAGAGGCCGGTCGATCTATTCTCATAAATAAAACACTGGATACTCATCTTTCACATTATATTGCCTTATTTTAGATACAATTCATCACTTAGCACAAAAGCGCGCGGAGTCGTCTCCGCGCGTCCCTCTATTCTGACGTTTGATGCTAGCGTGACATTGACGTATTGTCAATGTCACTATGACAGCATCTCATCGGCCACAACGATACCGTTATTTTAACGTTTTAGATTTTTCATAATTAACAGTTCGGCCATCCTACATTTCCTTCGCCCTCGAAGGTCTACTCTACTCATAGTACACTTGACGCCTCGTATTGGGATCCAGCTGTGCACCTTGCTAAGTCCACTCTGCCATCTCCACCACCATTCGCACCACACGCTGGCCGTGAATGCGCTCATAGGCGCCCACAACGTGCCCTGGCTCACGCGCGCCCTGCTGCTCCACCACGCGCGGCCCCTGCTGGACTCCTGCAGCGCCGACCGCGCCGCGCACCACGCAGCGCTCGCCGCGCTGGCGCCGCTCGTGACGCGCCGACTCGCCCGGCTGCACCGCCTGCCCGCGCACTCGCTGGCGCGCGAGCCGTTGCCGCTGCTGGCGCTGGCCGCGCTGCGGCTGCCCGAAGCGTGCGCGCTGACCGCGCTGCTGCCCGAAGCGTGCGCGCTGACCGCGCTGCTGCCCGAAGCGTGCGCGCTGACCGCGCAGCTGCCCGAAGCGTGCGCGCTGNGGCACACGATGCGCCAAACACCCTGTATAATTGTCATAGCAGGACAAACTGCAGTTAACAGTTCTAGCTGGACTATTTTTATTATTAAGTTATGTATCATAATGGATATATCAACTGGTATATTTTTGTAGAATCAATTGCCTTATTGCACGCCGATACATCATGCCCTTTCTTTGCAGAAAGTCAATCGTAAATCTCCTCCTTCCCAACTACGTAATTTGCTCAGCGCCAAGCCGTCACATTCTACCTCCTCCTCCAAAGCCGCAAGCCAAAACGTCGAGACCACCCCCGTCGAGGAAGACAAGAGCGCGCGCCGCTCGACGAGAAATTCTCCCGATGTTGCCAGAAATAATCTCAACGAAGAAGCTCCATTTCAAACTTCTAGTCAAATGAGGCCTAATAATGATGACTATAGCGAAACGTGCAACTACCCTTCTCTGAGGGTGAAAACTGATCTCGAAGCGCCAGAAGTGAAAAATGAGGAGAGCGATATTCTTATGGATCCCGGCGACGGGGACAGGGCCGACAAGTGTCAAGAGTTTAATGCATCAGATCTTTTGGAACCAAAAATGGAAGTCATGGAACAAGAAGCTAGTGACGAGGAGCGTTCCAGCTTTCCGCCGATGTACTATGAAAATAACGCATTAGCGAACCCCTTCGCAGCTCTGCAAGGTGAGACTTGTTTCTGTGTCCATCGTAAACTCAGCGTTCAGACGTTCGATACGAGACTTGATCAATGTTTCCTCTCCAGGTAACGTGGATCTCATGAGCGGCATCGGCACGGAGCTCCGGGACGACAACGCGGAAGGTGAATATACTTTATTTTTCTCACATATCACGTCATTTCACACGCACACGTCGACTCGGACAGCCGCGCCCCCGGCGAACCTTTAACATTACTATCGGTCGTAGAAGAGAGCGCGCGCGGTCTCGTACATAAATGGTGGCTAGGCGCGCGGGTGTCGTGGCGACGAGCCCGCTCGGCCTCCGCAGTGCCGCCGCCCGCATCCCGCATATGGCACGGAAACGGCGCCCGGCTCCCGGCGAGCGTCCGACCCGATTCGGCTGCTGCGGACGAGCATTTTCTGGGACACTTTCGGGTGCAGAAAATGCGCAGCCGCAGCGCGAGCGTCCGTCAGACGCGTTTCGGTGCGATAGCGCGTGGGGCGGGCGGCACGCGGCGGGCGCGGCGGGCAGTGCGATCGTGGTGTTGTTGGCAGCGGGCGGAACGAGCGCGGCCGCGGCGGGCGCGGGCGGCGGCGTGCAGTGCGCGCTGTGCGGGCGGCGGTACAGCAACGCGAGCAACCTGCGCCAGCACGTGCGGCTCATCCACGAGGCGCAGCCGGTGGCGTGCGCCACGTGCGGCCGCAGCTTCAAGACGCCGCTGTACCTGCGCCGCCACACGCTCGCGCAGCACCCCGCGCGCGCCCGCAAGCCGCCGCCGCCGCTCCCCGCGCTGCGGCCCGCCCAGCGCTTCCCGCAGTAGCCACCCTGCCCGGCGCGGGCGGCCGACGACATGCGGCTTATGACGTTCAAACGAAGACTGTCAATAAATATTATCTAGTCTGTGATCGGAGTGTCGCCGGGGGCCCGTTTGCCGTCACACCTCTCCGCTTATTGCGTGCCTTTCGATAAATATACCGAGTGCCAGATATTTATTATATGTCGCTTAACTTTAACGAGGTCCCTTTGCCGATAGTCTGATGATATGATGAATAGTTGTTGTACACTGTAAATAGAGCAGTTTTATTAGATTTCATATATCAGTTATCTGTGACACGTCTCGATTGGAGACACTGCTCTTGCAGCTTTTACTGTTAATATACATATAGGAAATATAGTTAATAGATACGACATAAACAGATCTAAGCAAACGCATGTTCCTAAACTTAGTAAGAACAAAGGATTCTTATGCCATGTCGTGGAAGCGTGGTACAAAGGGAAACAATATTATAAGACAATAACATGGCACGGAAAATACATGTTTTAGTCACAATAATGAGAATCACATTGCTTAGTCACGCCCTGCATAGGGTTTTCGTCGCATGACTAATCGAACCTCGTTAAAGGGAAGACAAGCTACCTTCCTTTTTGACAATAGACTGATCGTTGTTAAGCATTTGTTGCGACCGGTGCTGATTTTACATAACATAGGTTATTTACTGGTTACATAGTATAATACAGATTACAGACATACATATACACGAACCCACACGTTGGGCGCCGTCCGCCGCGCTCGCCGACGATCTGTATTTTCATAGTAGAGTGTAATTTTTTTACCGCAGAGCGGCGGAAGGCGTCAAACGACACCATTTTATTTGTCGAACGCGCGAACTTATGTAACTCTAGATACATAAATTCGTGAAGGAACCACAATAGTGATATTTTTATACACAATAGTTTTATCTTTACACAATGTTATATTGTTGAGTGATTGGACGGCTCCCGGTAAATTAGTTTGTACAAAAACTCAGATGTAATGATTGAATATTAAATGTCTTCAAAGTCGTATATTTAATAATAATTAATTAATGATACATAATATTAGTTGTTTAAACGTGATTTCACCGCGAGTTATATGAGGCGAAAGTTGCCTTTGTTGCCCACGTGAGACCCAGTGTCGCTGCAACGATAATGGATCGCAGGCGAACTGTTTCGTACTTTTTAAATATTTACTGTACGCTTTATACATTTATTTCTGTGGTTAGATATCCGCTGAACCCTCTTTTGAATAATTTACAAAATGATTGCCATAGGAGAAAGCACATCTAGTCATTTTAAAATAAAACAAACGGAGAAGACACGTCATTGAAAGTATGATTAGGGTTGTGAATTACAATATTAGTTTATCATTTGAAAATTAATTATAAAACTGTCTGAATAAAGTGTGATCTCAAGTGTGTATCCGTGATCTCTAAAACTACGCATTTATTTTGATCTGTGTTAGTCTTAAAATTATGGTTGGAAGTTGATTGCAATAATTATTATTACTCTTAAAATAATCGCTTACTTATACGTACCTATTAGTAATTGTAATTTGAAAAAAGCACTTTGGACTTTCCTTAAACTAATTTAGTCCCATTGATTAGTTAAGATGCAGCTTTCATTATCTTAATATTTAAAAGGAACTGTATAGGCAAAATATCTTGACACTTTCTGAATTTAAAGTAAGCAATTTATGAAATTAGAAATTTTATCATTATAATAGACAGAAATGGAATGTTTATGAAATTATAATAATATATGAAATCACATTAAAAAACCATAAAACAGGTTTCTTTTACATATACATACATAATTGTTCCATTATGAAGTTGTACGTTATCTACAGTGGTTTATGTTTGTTATAAGTCCCATATATTCTTAGCCGTTACTACGTGATATCCACCCATCCATCCTACTTGTTGCGTTTATGTTATAAACTGGACTAATTAATATGTTAAGCCTGTAAAATATACTACTTACACTTAATTTTTATTAGCTTTTTTTGTACAACATCGTACGGAATGACAATATCCTGCTGATTTATCAAGCTATTAATTTTAAAAACCAAGTGTCCATAAATATACTTTGATTGTAATATTTTATTCTTTAGTGCGATATTGATTTGAGCTGAAATTTAGAATTTCAATGTATGTACATAAATCAGTGTAATTTTTTTACTAAATAAAATAAAGTATTACGAGAAATTTCGATTTTCAGTTCAGTACTTAATTTTTTGTTTCTTCTTTTATAATTTTTATTTTAGCGATGATAATATGAAATTAATAGTCACTAATAAATGGCCTTTAGACGTGATAAATATTAACAAGCATTTTGCTGGTTGAGTGCCGTTCGTTACCTCTTTTTTTCTCAAACAATGTAGTGTGAGTCGTGATTGAAGTGATCATAATGCGATTTGAGAAATAACATCTTTCTTCCTACTCAAGAAATACCAGCATCTTAAACCATATCCAACTTTAGGCACACACATTCTATCTTTGTAGGAATACAAATTACTATTGGACCATAGGCTAATTATTTATTGCAGTTTTAACTTCAAAAACTTGCAGCATTTATTTTATTACTAACTATATGACGAAGCAATTTTTATAGCTTATCATGATGCAATTTTTATAGCTTATGAACTGAGTTAGTAAAACGAAATAAGAAAATTCCATAATACGACAATTCCAATCACTCGTACACGGTGACTTCGATAGGTTTATACCTTTAACATTATCTATTTATGATATTTAGAACACAGATTTAAATTAGAGATTTTGTGATAATTATAGCTAAGATCATGAACTCTGGGCCAAACTGAGAATAGATATTACAAGTCACATGATACATTTCAGTGTTTCGTGAAAACAATTAACGTTACATTATAATAACAATGATAGTGGTGTTGGTGTTATCAAGGTGTCTTTTTCTTAATTTATTTTACGGCAGTAATGCTTATTGGCCAGGGAGATATTCAGTTAAGTTTGGTAACTTAGCTGTTACAGCTTCAACTTCTTCAATTAATTCCAACTGGATGCATCTCTGGTTTGAGCTTGTTGTTTATTAACACGGTTTTGTTGTGTATTGTACATCGTAGTAGGGCGATGGGACGGACGCCGCACGCGACCCGTGCCCGACGCGGTGTGGCTCGAACAACATCGACGCGCGCTGCCCTTCGTGCTCAAGAGAGAGAACGAGCGAGAAGTTGCAGCACCAAGGCTGGTAAGTTCATATCAACCTAAATACCACCCTGTATACACATTTATAGGGCTCAAAGTTCCCCCATAGTGGAATTCGTCGCGAAACTGACCCAGCTTTAAAACATTTTGAGAAAGATTTCACAACAGTCGTGGACCACTATCTTTATTTGATACTTATTTTACAAACGACCGAATTCTTTTAATTGCTCGGTGAAAGTCTTTATTCTCAGACAGCCATCAACTAGATCTTATATGTCAATTAATTCCTCAAACAATTTATATTTTAAACGATGTGTTTAGTTGTCTGATTATAGAATACCACATTCGGCGTGCGTTTTTTTTGTCATGTCGTATTTTAAGGTTTGATTAATGATAGTGTCGTGTGTGATAACAATTGCCATGGCAGTAATAATGATAAGGTACACAAAGACAATGGTTGCGACATTTTTAACGAACGATATCATGAGGTTTTATCACATAAGACGGGAGATACGGTGCCTACGTTCCACGCGCTAGCAGAGGAATATCAGAGGAAATTCGTCATTATCATATAATAATAAATAAACAATGTTTAAAATAACGTGCTAATAGCACATTTCAACTTTTTATTTTTAGTTAGGTTTGGTTTAAGCCTAATGTATTTTTCACTAATATGAAATCTTGCGTAGCCGTAGTGTCTGCGCGCGCTTTCGCGTGCCCATTGAGGAGTGACTACGGTATTTATGTCTATTAAAGTTTTATAGAGACACGAGACGTGTTCATCACTTTATCTTCGTCGATATGATTGTCAATAAATTAAAACTATTTGAAACCTGATGGTAAACGAAAAGCGCTTTAAGTATGTGCTTTTTTCTTTGATGAATACAAAAGACAGGGCAAAGCTTAGCTTAATTTAGTAAAATGTATACTCGTAGTTCAACAAAATTCCATCATTGTCAATAATCTTAACGTTTAAATCTGTTATAATTGTCATTGTGCACCCACTTAAATGTAGTATCAGGCTACATAATCAGATATACGGACCACCGCCGTATCACAGTTGCTATGAGCTACAGTGAATGAATCGAACAAATCATACAATATCTTAGCCCTAACATGTCTTTCGCCAGGCCTTATCGCAAACATTACGGTTTATCGTTCGAATATGTACTTCAATTACGTAGTATATAATGGGGAACCAATTTGCCTTTAGGTCTTCCATAAATCGTTTTTGATAAAGGGGCACTCTGGCTCTAATCATGTCCACATACTCTCTAATTTAATACGTGGATTTTGTTTGAGTTATCATACTGCAAATCTAGCCATACTCATGAAAATGCCTTGAAGAACCACGATTGGCTGTGTGTGTAGCGTAGTATAAAGGAAGGTACACATTGGGAAAATTAGCGTAGTAAAGGATGATGATAATGGACGCCTCAGCAATGTTTTTTCCAATATAAATTAGTCGCAGTGAATCCATACCACAAAATACAGGTTCCAAAAGCGCCCCTTGTGAGTACCATCCTTAACCCGAAATCGATAAAGCGATCTAACGAATCGGAACAATAACAGTGCACGATGATGAATGTGGAAAAGGCATTCGAATACTAAGTTACTTAATGCATGTGCTAACTCGTAAACATCGATATTAAACTGTTTTTATATTAGCTCACAAATACAACTTTTCAAAGCAAGTCTTGCACTTATCTAAAAACAAAGAGTATAATAATATTCATTATTATTGCAGTCGATCACTAATAATTTAATTCTTGATATTTTCTCAACACATTTTTCAAACTTGTTTTTATCGACTATTATACATTTTAATTATGTGTTTCATCGTCTAATATTGCTTCAATTATATTATTATACTTAATTGAAAATATTTATTTTATGAAGAGCTGGCTTAATGACTTCATTAATTTATTTTTGAAATGTCCCATGACTCTTAACAAGTTACAATCTAATCTTCAATTTATCACTTCATATCTATGTTACTTATTAGCCCTGTCGAATAGTCTCCCATAATATATTTACTTAAATGTTTTTTCTGTTAAATAATTTAAAACCGAATAAATAAAATCGGATACTGCCTACTTACGTTTGTTAAATATTTATATTTGATATGTCAATAAAGTGAGTTAATTATGATATCCGCTTCAAAGAAGTCCTTCGTATTAGTTTTTCATTTTTTGCATGTTTTAAGGCGATTACCGAAGCGAAAGTTCTGCCACCTTCATGTTTCTTTTTGCTGTGAATTATTTACACAATAATTGAATATATTGTATTGTTGAATTTTTTACTGTCTGTTATGCTATTTTTAATCACCTTTTTAAATATATTGTTCACTTAATGTAGTTGTAGAATGAAAACATCTAAATAAAAGTGCAAATAGTAATAAAAAATATTGTACCGAGGTTCTTAAACAACCGACTTGTTTCAATTCATTCAACCATTCAACACTTTTGTTCAAAACTATTTGAAGGAGGATTAATGTATGCAGTAATTATTCACGAAGTAATAATATCGTTTCGGCGTTTTCAAACCGATACCTCAAGTTTTTCATTGGTTTCGATCATTATGCTACACAAACAAAAGATTCTCCGCACCAGCCATTCCTAGTTTGAATTAATCATAAACATCTATAGTCTGGTCCGTGAGCACGTAGAATTTTGTCCAATGACCCCAAGCTACCCATCCTTATCGCTCGCGCGTAATTATGTTACTATCGCGCTCGCACACTCACTGCGGGTGCCAGTCGCACAGTCGCGACAGCAATATAATTACGCGCGAGCGATAAGGATGGGTAGCTAGGGGTCATTGGACAAAATTCTACGTGCTCACGGACCCGGCTTTAAAACTAAACATGCCACCACCTGGTCCAATCATTCACCCCAAAAAATATCGGTCCGCAGATAAAGCTGGGCGAGGGAGTGGAAATCCGGGAAGAATTGCTCCGCGGCGTCAAGTGGGGCGACTATCGGAAGGTGACGCGGGGGCTGGCGGCGGCGCTTTTTTCCCCCATAGAGCTGGCCACGTGCTCCGTCACGGGACAGCGCTGGTCCCGCGCGGGGCAGGAGTCCCGGCCCACCAAGCCGCCTCTCGACCGCCGCAGAGTCCACGCCCTCATATCCTACGTCTCCCGACACTTCCCGGACGTAGAAGTCAGCAGGATCAAGCAGGTGCTAGCGTACAAGTGCAAGGAGAACTGCGCCGCTCTAAGGATGCGAACCGCCAGGTGACATATTTGTTGATTCAAACACCTACGCTTGCGCATGCTCCGACATGCCTCAATTATTTGACACCTCATAGAACAACGCGCTGAGCGAATTCACTTAACATCGCTAGGATTTCATGCTCATCGTCACCAATTTAAAAAGCATGATCGTAATGAAACTCCAAACGTGATTCATGACTGGACACGTGTTTTCTGCAATTTCACCAGTTTTAGTTAACTCCACCTGCATCTATCACCACCTGACCATTAACCAAGTTTTGATATAGCGATTTATTATAATATAATAGTTTCGTTTATAAAACAATCCGATGCAATTATTTTCAAATGCTTTTACTATTTATAGAGTACGATTAATTTCGCGTTCAAAATAATGCTACCTGTTGTAGTGTAAACGTCGGTAATTTACGTAAAAGTAAATGTGTTTTGTTTAGTTAACTGTGCAAATGACGAAACAATGCACGCCATAAAGTTAATGTGGTTTCAAACTTGACCTATGCTCGCTCATATCTGTTGCTTAATTTAGTAATCAACGGTTAATTTTATTGTTTTTATTGTTTTAGCTTTGTTTGGTTACACACGGCACACGTAGCTAACTAAATCAAAACGAATATTTGAAATGGTCACAACCTTTGGACCATGGTTGGCTCATCAATTGAATTTGTCATGGAACCATTAACGAACTAGATAAGGAAACTGCACGTTACCCTAATTCGTTTATTGCTTTATGGATGTGGCTTTTAACTTATGACTTGAGATAAATTTTGTACCGCGATGTATGAATATGGCTATTATGATGTCGTCATCCATGGCAGAACGGGACGAAAAGAATACATTGATAGCGTTTGACCTTTACTCGCCAGTCTCAACACAACAATTAAACGTATAGACAGACCGCCTGATTCTGAGGTTTTAATCATCTTAAATTTTTTTTATATAATTTTACCCTAACATGTACTTATTATCCTAATAATAAAAAACATTGGTATTGATAAATATCTAACCTAACAGTTTCTTCCGACCTGAATGTCGTGACCCCATCTTAGTCACTTTTAGTTAGCTCACCCTATAATACTCATTGTCAATGCTTCTTATACTCGTAATGCACAATGGATGCACATTTTAGCATACGGGACTATTCCCACCTCTCGTTCCCACCACTGCAACTCCTGTGTAGCCAGGATCTACAGCTTGACCGCCACAAAAACCCAACCAATGAAGGTCAAGTTTGTCCCGGGGGAAAGTTAAACTGTCATTGGACCCGCAACGAAATTAATCAGAAGAACATAGGAGGAGTTCGAAATTTTAGCATGTTAGAAACCGGACCTTGGCATAGAATTAGAATTCTACCACTCGGTTAACTTCTGTCCTGGCATGACAGATTGGCCTGAGCAGATGCTCAGAATCATGGTTAACATTTATCAGTTTGTATAAAAGTACTAATGACATAAGTCTGGGACAGTAATCAGAGTTCACGATTAAAGCCCTTTTCCCAGTATAATAAAGAAGTCGAGAGTAATACAGAATCTGCCCATTCTGTTGGATTTCGCTAAGCAATAAAGTGAATAGACTTTCCAGATTACGGCAACCCACGACACAAAAACATAAGCGTTTATCTCTCGAGGCATGCTCTTATTTTTAGATATTTAATTATTGTGATTGACGGAAATATTTTGTTTAAAAATACCCTTTTGTCATAAAACCTCGTACATTTGACGCGAATGCTGTGCATTCTTCGTTAATTTATTTCTCCACTGTCATTATCTTGGTGATAATATCACTAGTTCCTGATAAAAAGCTCAGGAAAATCTTAATGATGAGTGAAAGTCCAAAGGTAAACTGGTTGGGAATGCTTTAGTGCATTAAGTTCGCCTGATGTACAAATTCATTTTAGCGGTATCCTTCCGTTTGGCCAAATTACTTTTCGCCAAATTTCACTTCGCAAACAACTTATCGCCAAAGTTTCATTTCCCAAATAAACTTTTAGCAACTGTACTTTTCGCAACTAATTCATTTGGTCAAATTAACATTTGGCCAAATTTTACTTGGCAAATGTTTATATAGCAAATGTTTTATTTTGCCAAATGTTATATCCCAAATAATTTGCTTGGTCAAATTGACACTTCACATACTTACGAGTACCCACCGTTACCCACAAATCAAAGCATAAGGCACATGGTCATGGTTTTCACAATAATTTTATGTAAAACAGAGAGATTGCAGAAAATAGTATGGTTGCAAAAAGTAGGTATTGTAGAAAGTAGAAGGTTAGGTTAGGTTAGGTTAGAACAGTGACCCTTAATGCGCGAAGGCGAGCGAAGCGTGCCGCGGCATCGGCCGCCGAGCGCTAGAATCATCTCTATTGTTAATGAATCATTTGGAAATTTCGATAAAAAGAATGAAATATGAAAATTTATTTAGAAAAAAGAAGAGGGACAGCCACAGTAGGTAACACAGGGTCGTTCAGGAGAGTGCAAGGAAGAGGTGCACCAACCACAGTTAAGGAACGGCTGGGACGCACAAGGATAGGCGCATCAAGCTCGTAAGCCTTGATAGGGTTACACTGGTTAAGGTGGCCCTTTTCAAGACTTGGAAGCCTGTGGGTAACAAGCCATTGGACGTGGAGAGGGTCATTAATTATACGTATATTTTCTACTTTTCCGAACTTTAGTCCGGGAACGGTTTGTCCAAAACATTTGAATTTGGTCTTATTCAATGCAGGATTAAGTGACCTTCAACCGTCATGAAGACCACTTTTCGATAGGGTAAGTCCTTTACGCGGTATAACCGGAAAACCGAAAAAACGCCCCTTTCGGGGGCCCCCACCACTTAAGCACAACTCTGTCGAAGTCGAAAATAAATAAATAATAAATAAATAACTGGCCTATTGAGTTACCGTTTTAAAGTTCAAGACACATTCAAAATCTTGCATACTTTTTGCTGTCCCTTGTTACTGACCGAGTGGCTACTACTGGCCAGTAACAAAGGACAGCAAAAAGTGTCAAAAGAGCCAAGTTAATACTTGTAAAATCACAAAATGCTTTCGATAAATATGTTTTTTTTACGTCTTGACAAAACTTTATTAGACAACTTATTTGCAATTCATTTGTTTACGTTTGAGAAATAAAACTAGTCTACATCAGATGGGTTAAGGTCGACCTTTATTACGGATCCCGTACTTTTACTGATACGGTTTGAGAAAGAACAACAAATAACTGCATTTCTTGTTTTTATGACAGTTAAAGTCCATTTTATGATGATGTTGTTTTCGAGCACTACAATCGTGCGTGCAGTCACCTGACCTATGAGTCTGGGATGGACAGTTGTTTTTATCCTATGACATTAGGAAAACATGGTGATAATACTGTTATTGTTGAGTTATTGGTAAATATTGACAGGGTTTTGTTTCCCAGTGAATACACCAATAAAAAGATAGATAAGAGATAAATGCTTACCTTAATTGTTGAATGAGAACGAATAGACAAAGAGTATGATTTGAAAACTGTAGGTCAGGGGATCGGTAACCGGCTTGCAAGCCGCATTTTACATCTCTTTAGTTCCTTATTTTGTTATGCACACTTAAACATCAAAAATTTACAAAAAACTAAAATTTTACTGCACCGGAAAATTACGGATTTTTTAAACCCATTCTAAAAGGTTGCCGCGTTTAGATCAGTAACTTATAGCGTGTAAAATCGATTTGATGCGACAGAAAAATCGTGAATCAGAAAAGCGTAGGTAAAAGCGATGGTGAAAGGCACGGTCCGCGCACCGCGCCACTCGAGGCAGTAATTCAATTTGAAGTAGGCTGTCGAATTGTTTCAGCGAGTCCACCAACTATCTGCTGAGCGCGGCAGCTAGGCCGCCGCCCTGCGACGACGCGCCGGGCGGCAGCGCGCGACCGCCCTATCCTAATTTGTGAGTACCCTCATTTACATATTGATCACGATAGCTCAAAACTGGTAGTGACTGGAGTGGGATAGCCGCTTAGTTAAAAAAAGTACCTCATAAACTTTGTGGAGACAGAACTATGTTGTATTTTACTTATGTCTAATGTTGATATTAGCCTCTTTATCCACGATTTATCCTACAGAGATGGATATTTGGTAAATAAATATCTAATTACTCCCAAAGTCCCAAAGCAATCATTGCTAGATAACAGATAAACAGGCATAAATAGATTCATAAGAGTATATGTACAAAAATGTCCATGTATCTGTGTTTAGTGCTGGTCCTTAGTTAAAATAGAATAGATAGAAATAAAGATACAATTTGAAAAATTAAATTCGTAACAAAAACTTAAGGACTCCCATTATTTTGAATGAGCCTTCTATATTATTGTATATTTTCACATAAGCATGATACTGATAATATTGAAACTGAGATCATGACTTTGTAAATCTACGGCGCTATTTTTATGGTAATGAATTCTTGAATAGGCAATGGAATAGTTTTCCATAGTATGATCCTAAAGGTCACCCCGGTCAAGGGGCGAGCCTAACACAATAACTGACAATGGTACATTTATCGCGAACGTGCTATCTTGGCGCTGCGAACTTTGTACCAACATAAAAAAAAATAACTTCCCAATTCGACATGACTGCTTTCTTGTTACTTTTTTGTAAAAGGAAGAAATCTATTGTCTTCTGATCGCGGAAACGTTTGTGTAAATATAAAACCGATCGGGCATTTGTTTCAAGTTAAGAATTTTGTTTCATCAAGCGTCAGAAAAAGCGGATCGATTTATTTTATGAGTTAGAACTGTAAAAAAATGGAAATTTAGATTACTTTGGCCCGTTTTATAAAACAATACGAATCTGAATCACGTTTCTGATGCATTGAGACCGAATTAGTGCAGTAAATAGTAAAAATACACGTATTTGCGCTGGTAGGGAAAAAAAAGAATGCGACATCTAAAGGCTCCGTAAGAGCATTTGACGATTTGCAATAACTAATTCGATTAGTCTATGCAAATAAAGATAATTTTGATTTTGATTTTCATGTAATAATATGGCAGGTTTTCCATAAAGCGTAGGTCCATTATTAGAATGAGGGCTATCGTTTTTATACTTAACAGTTGGCACCCCTGGCGCTTGACAGGACCTTACTCTACAGTGGCGCCATCTTGATGAGTGCAAATGCGATAGTCCTCCTATCACTTTAGCGCTCACCAGTTGGTGCCACTGTCTTCGCTACTAGTAAGTGACAGGACCTTACTCTACAGTGGCGGTAACTGGTGAGCGCTAAAACGATAGCCCTCATTGCAAGTAATGTTGTGTTTGTTTTTGGCAGTGAATCGTCGAAGGGCTCTGGGCCGCTGGGCGCGGGCGGGGGTGCGGGCGGGGGCGGGGCGGCGGCGGGCGAGTTCGGGCGCGCGGGCGACGAGCCCGAGGGCGCCGCGCAGTGATGCCGCGTGCGCGCCGCACGTCTTTTGCATATCAATTTCATAATCTTGTTATTTTTTACCAAAAATAAAAGAAAATCGAACGATACTCATCGAGCGCCTCGTCGGCGCCGCGGACGCCGCCTACCATCGTGGATCGACGTTCGGCGGCCGCGGCGACCGCCGTCGGCGGCGAGTCGCACGTGTAAAATATTCATATTTATTTAGGTGATATTTTTCTATTGGCTACTGATAAGATTTTATCTCGTTATGTATCCGCCGGCCGCGCCGGGGTGCATTGTCGTACGTAAGGAGGTGTCGTGCCCGAAGCTCTAGCAATAATTTATCAGGTTCCTAAGACATGTTTTGTAGTTAGGTTCTATTTGCACGAATTTTTCGCGAACACTGCCGCTTGTTTTCTAAATTTTTTTTTCGAGGATATTAGTCGTTTAGTCGCTTACTTTATTTTATAAAAATGAGTCATTTTCAGAGTTACGTTAAAATTTGTATATGAGGCATTTAAGTGCTGTACGAGGGACCGTTGCAATTGCAAAGTAAATATATCAAAATGGCATAATTTTTAGGACTAACATAGAGATATTATAGTCATTTCGTTTTATAGGTGTAAATGATAAAGAATTTATTTTGGAGTGTCAGGTTTGGATATTGTAAAGTCTTTGGAGAGCTGTGATCATGAGGGATATAATATAAAGCAGTCATATTTTTAAAATATACAATTAAGAGTTATTACGTAATATTATCGAGTGTACAGAATACCGCGCGAGTCGCGGGCGCGCCGGCGGCGAGCGGGCGAACATCGCGCGCACGTATTTATCATATCAAAAAAAGCAATAACTATTATTTGATAAAAAGAATACTATTTTTAATTTTTAAATACTATTTTAAAGTTGTTAATGATGTAGTTAGTAAATTTAAAAAAATATCTTGGATGTCCACAGTCATTTATATTGTTCTTTTGAACGTAAACTGAAATCCTCATAATAATTATGTCTCACATTATACGTCATATCATTTAACTTAGTTTTTTGACGTTTCGATGATATCGTACATTTTGTACAATAACGTATTTTATAGATCCGGTCGTTTAGCCGTTTGAAACGTGCATGCATATCGCAGATATAATATGTATTCGTATTAGATCCTGTTGACCGGGGTAGTGAAGCAGACACAATCAACACGAGAACGACAATCCAGCTGCCTGCGGGCCGAGCACCTGCCCGCAGCGGCCCGCATTGGTGTACCTATCATAAGTTACAGTTACCAGAGTTAGGGTATTTTAGTAGTCACGCAGTACTACGTAGTAAATCTTACTAACTTGAACTATTTTGCGATGCCAATCGAAGGTCTTAATGCTCAATTTTGCCAAATTTTACTTGCCGAAAACGCGTCTTGTCTATTATTTTGTGTTTTATCTGTAGTGCAGCCGTTCCCGACTCTCAGGTCTCTTTTAGATTATTTGAATACGATGGGAATGGTCATGGTTGCTCAATAGGGTGTGTAACATGGTGGGTTTATGTGAAATAATTTTACCTAAATTGGAATTTTGGCCCAATCAAAGTTATATCATTAGGAAAATAAATTGAAAATTTAATTATAAATTAGGAAGAATAAATTGAGAGTTTAAAGAATTTGCAAGTATAAATACTTATGTGACGAATGCTCGAGATGCAATATGTTAATTTAGTGCCAAATGATATAAGTTAACTCGTAGCAATATATTGTATCCTAATGCTCTTGTGTAATTTCTCACGTAGTGTTAATGACCTATGAGGTTTCAAAGGTTTCTTTTACAAGACTATATAATAATATATTTATACAGGGAAAGTGTTAGGTAATGTATTGTTGTTCGGATCTAAGAGTGTTGTTGAGGTAAAATACTCATTGTGGCGGGGTGTAAAAATAAACGTACCTTCCGACTCTCCCGAGTGATCGCTCCGCGTGCCCCGTCCAAGACGGGCGGCGCGCGGCCTTTTCTATCCTAGTCTAGTGTTTTGATATGTATATTAGAGGAATTTAAAATTCGTCGCATTCGAACCGCAGTTAACCCGTCACGCGCCGGCGAAGGCCGCGCGTCGCGTAGCCTCTACCGTTATTTTTACACTCTGTACTGTATATAGCACTGAATGAGCAAAGGAACAAGAGAATTTATTTACTCAAATAAGTTTTTTAATTATTTACTATTAATAATTTTTTACTAAATTTTAATATACATTATTTTGCATTTTATGATTGTAATGGCAGCTGTCCATATACAGTGTGACTATTGAGTCGGTCTTACTTGATTAGGGTTTCATAAATAAATTGTAAAACGATACATCGAACATGACACATTGGGCACAAATATTTTTAACTAAAAATGCTTTAGTTTCTTTCGCTTGCTAATATAATGAATGAAGATAGTCAAAAACGTAACCGTATTGTTCCTGACCTAGTGTCTGTTAAATAGAGTTAAGTGGAACCCTAAAGTGATTTTTCACTGAGCAGATATCTGTAACTTGTATATATTGAGAACAACATCGATGCCACTGTGCGGAGCGTGCACAGCGTTGTGCCAAAATTACGTACTAGTCTTTAAAACAAATGTTGTTATCATTTTTCAGATTTTATTTAGTCCAGAATGTGTTTGTTCCTGTGCTGTGAAAAATAACATTTTCTAACAAATCAACACGCGGCGAGCGCACGATGTGGTTGTATTGTTATGTTTTGGTAGTCATTGTGGATCTGTTGACAAATCAAATAATTTGATGTAATATTAATAGAATTGGATTCGACCACATTGTGTTAAGTGTAGAGTTAACCTTTACCTAGTAGAACAAATTATTGTATAAAACTACGATTTAATAATCGCCATAAATGACGACACTTGTAAATGGATTTACCTTGCAAGTTTTGCCCGTTGTCTGTAGTTTTATATCATGATCTATATAAGTTGCCTTGGAGGTGGCGTAGATTTTAGAAATTATTGACAAAATTAAAGGCATATAATGCATTTGATTAGAATGCCATTTCCCTGGCTTTGAAAAATGGGATTATGATGGATTGACAAAATGTATTTCCTTTAAAAGTTCCTTCATATAATTCTCTTACTTTGTTGTTTCTTGGCAACTAACGTATTGTTATATTTTATTTTATACTTGGTGGCATTTATTTACTTTAGAAGTTTTATTTTTGGGATGGAAAGAAGAGAAGAGGGGGAAAGAGATGGGAAGGAAAGTCACAGGTAAAGCCCTAGGCAGATCTGTGTACTTATGAAAGTGGCCTTAAATAAACATTGTTTTCAATTTTCTTTTATTTTTACACTTAAAAGTGTATTTTTCCAAATAATTGATCTACGCCGTCTACACCGCGACAGTACGCAGGTACTTTGTGTCATTGAATGAGTCAATCTAATAATTATGTAACTAGAGTTATGAAAGTTGTGTTGATTTGTTGTTATATTTAAATAGTATTTATAAAATGCACATTATAATTTAGCTTTGAGCTCGTGCAATATTATTCCAAATTGTTTATATAAAATCTGTTATAATTATTTCTAAATTGTTATATAAATATTTTTGTAAACATAAAAGACAAAGGCAACTGAAATTCTATTTTTGTTGTGCATTTATTATGAATTTTATCATACTAACCACAAACTCATTGTGGACTTAATGTCTGCGTCTGTGAAAACTGTTAAAATTAGGTACCTACATGCAGTAGATGTTTTTTTTTTATATTTCTGATATTGTGAGTCAATTCTAGTAATAAAAATGTTCCCTTTTAATTTAGAATAATTTACTATAATAAAAAACTAAAAATAATGTTGCTCAACCGAGATGCAATGGTAACTGCAATGTAGACATGAATAATTTTATGTAACGCCTATTTGTATGGATTATTTATCTGATATTTCAATTTTATTTGTGAGTTATGGCAGCGCATGTTAGTCTTATGTTTATTCTTAAGAGAGGCCAAATGTTGACTTGCTTACGTGAGACTGTTTTGCCAAGAATCAGAAAGTATATTATTACCTACATTGTTTTAAAATAAATGCTTTTATATGAAAATCAAGATGGTTTCTATTTTTTCCCTATCCTTTTTTTACCCGACTGGAGGGTTGTTTTTAGTATAGAAAATCTATTTTAGATTTGTAGAGGGAAGGTAAATTAACAAAACATGCTTGCATGGAGCTATCTAAGATGCAACGTGGTTTTCTTAACTTTTCTTGCAACTTGACTTCACATAGGAATCGATCCTGGGAACTCTTAAAAACAGCTCCCTCTCTGATAGCTACTGGACAACTTTCTTTTTTTAATGTTTGAAATACCGATTTGCGTGCACATCACTATCATCAAGATTTTTGTCTGTGCCAAATTCGTAAACGTCAAAAATCTATTTGTCAAAAAGTGTCACAAAAAATGAACTGAACGAATTTTTATTATTTAAAGCTCAATGAAATCAGATTAATTCGAATTAATCCTTTATATATGATCACCTTTACCTATATACAAGTTTGTTACTATTTAGATGGCGTTTCCACAGCCTAATGCACAAAGAGGTTAGTCCATGTTGTTAGTCATGTTATTTCTCACATTTTTAATTTGTTTATTATACCATCAATGTTAAATTGTGAAAAGAAATGACTATTAATAATCGGTTTGGTTTCTAGAATTGACGAATAGGAAGATTCTGGAAGAGCTCCAGTTGAAGAAACAAATGCTTCTAAAGCAAGGAGCTGTTGCCCCTCTCACTGCTACATCTATCTCGCTATCGCAGCCGAGCCCCGTCAGCCAGCTGCCTATGTGCTCTATACCACCAGTATCTGCTACTGCTGTAAGTTAATTACTGGAGAAACTCATATTCCACTCTTTTTAACTAAATTTAAATTAACAACTTTATTTCCAGGGCTTTCCACAACTCCCCGAAGCTAATATAGTGAATACAAGCCATCGTGCAGCTTTGCAACACGCAAACGCAACATCTTGCGGTTTCTTTGTCTCTCAAGATTCCTCATTCGGAAATCAAATACTGCCAGTACTACCTCGGTTTGATAACAAGTGAATGAACAATGTCTGCTGTAATGAAGCTGAAGACTTTGCAGGGGCATCTGCAAGAGTTAAAGGACTTTTCAAAGCCAAATATAAAACTTGAGCAGTATGTAACACCACCTCATATTGCAGCTGTTGCATTATACTCAATACAGGTATGTGTTGTACCTATTGTTGTTAATTTCACATTGGGATAGAATCTACTGTAATTTCATGTAAATATTATAAACCATAAGACTTCCCAATTTTTGGAACAAGCTATCACACACAAGCATTTGAAAGTTAGCCTTATTCCATTATGAGTATCATACATAATTGTTTTTTTCTTTTCAGACTCAATTCGATGCCTTGGAAGGAAAGCTGGTGCTAGATGCAGGCTGTGGACCAGGAACGTTGGGGATAGGTGCAGCCCTCATGGGGGCAGCGGCCATCACTGCGATGGACATAGATGAGGGTGCCCTGGAAGTGTTCCAGGAAAACATTGATGATATGGAAATTACCAATATTGAAGCTGTACAATGTGATTTTCTCAATGCTGATATTTTTCGGTAAGTTTTTTTAAATAATGATTATTTCATGGTCTACAAAATACTTGAGAGTACTGTAAACATATCCCTTCATTATTGTATACCAACATAACAAACAACAATAATTTGTCTCGGTTGGAATTTTTGTTAATTTGTATTTATTAATGCTAACTTCATCTTCTAATCATAATAATGAATGTTTTAGGCTAGAAAACTATTTTGACACTGTGCTAATGAACCCACCCTTTGGCACCAAGAACAATTCTGGGATTGACATGAAGTTCCTCCAAACAGCTCTGAGATTGAGTTCTGACAGTGTATTTTCTTTACACAAATCATCTACAAGGTAATTATTTTCTGGCATACTTTGAAAAAGATTTATCAGTTTCAGTATGTAGGTAGCCTAAGGCCCAGAACAGACGGTGAAACGCAACTGCAACGAAACTACAACTGCTAGTTACTTTTGAGTTGCATCTAAGTTTCTGCCATAGCGTCCGTTGAGAGACGCGACCAGTTTGAAACTTTTTGAAATGGTCGCGTCATGTGTGGTCTCTCAACGGAATCTATGGCAGAAACTTAGATGCAACTCAAAAGTAACTAGAAGTTGCAGTTTCGTTGCAATTGCGTTTCACCGTATGTTCTGGGCCTAAGCCTGGAGTCATCAATTGTGTCTACCTACATCTTTGCTTAGGTGTTATTTGTGTTGCTAATGTGTGAATAGCTATCAGTCAAGTATTGCGATAATCAAATATGAATAATCGTGATTGTTTTATAGGGCCCACATTCAAAAGAAGATAAAAGAGTGGGGGGCGAAGGGAAGCGTCGTGGCAGAGCTCCGCTACGACCTGCCAGCCACATACAAATTCCACAAGCAGCAGTCGCGCGACATTGCGGTCGATCTCTGGAGAGTGTACCACCCTGATTCTTGACACAAACTAATTTTATAGATAATATTAAGTGTAATTAGTTTAATTGGTAAATCTTCATCATTGACAAGATCATAAAGCAAGTCACAGCACTTGTGATATTATTTTTAATATCTTTTTTTTTTCTTAAGTGATTGTTCCGTTAGAATGAATTGGAAAATGAGCTTTTGTATTTCCATGGATTACTTGTGAATATTGTACGTAATTTGATGTATTTACTAGGGTAAACTTAAACAACAAATTCAATGAATTGATGATATTTGTAATAAAAAAATATTAATTACAATCAGTCTTAATATTTACAATCACACATACAACTTACAAAATTTAATTATACATAATTAGCTTAAATGCATGGTTGTCTTTTATCTCTCGAATTGATTGGCATATTGGCTTTTTCAGATTTGTCTTTACGCACTTTTTAGCTCGACTTGCACTTGACACAGATCGTCATAGTGTTTGTTGTATCGCGGAATTTAGCACGCAAATAAGCTGGTACGCCCAAAAAAAAGCATTTTAAAGGGCCTCAAGCATAGTTCCGCCTCAGCCTGTAATAACATAAAGTCACTTAGTTCAAGAGAAGACAAGACGCGTCAGTTCTCAATCTACTCGTCGCCAAACTTGATGTTCTGCGCCAGTTTGATAGTGCCAGAGTAGTTGATGGTGACGGTGGACCGGCGCATGTAACTCTTCCAGGAGTCGGAGCCGCACTCGCGGCCGCCGCCCGTGGCTTTCTCGCCGCCGAAGGCCCCGCCTACCTCCGCGCCATTGGTCGGGATGTTCACGTTGACGATGCCGCAGTCCGAGCCGTGGGGACCGATCCACTGGAAGTACAAGTTAGATGCATCAGTCTAAAGCCCGGTCTGTGAGCACGTAGAATTTTGTCCAATGACCCCAAGTCCCATCCTTATCGCTCGCGCGTAATTATATTGCTGTCGCGACTGTGCGACGGGCGCCCGCAGTGAGTGTGCGAGCGCGACAGCAACATAATTACGCGCGAGCAATAAGGTTGGGTAGGTTGGGGTCATTGGACAAAATTCTACGTGCTCGCAGACCAGACTATTTACGTTGAGTGGCAGGATCATACAGTGGCGTAGCTTGGGGGGGGCAGGGGGGGCCATGGCCCCGGGCGGCATATGAAAGGGGGCGGCGGATAAGAAAAAAAACATTACATGAACAAGAAAAAAAAAGGTCGACTATGTCTACGTTGAGACTAACAAATCTAGCTATACTGGCAATTGAAAATGAGATACAATTTGATATCGACGATTGTGTAAAAGCTTTGAAAAAAGCACAAGAGTACATTTTTAATCTATTTTTTTAAGTCATAGTAACAAAAATATTTAAGGAGTTTACTTACCCCTCTAAAACTTGCGCCACAGATAATCTTTCGTGATTTCTCTTGTTACAAACCGAAATAAAAAAGAGGTTTGGAAATAGTTAAAGCCATATCTAAGCTACTTTTAAAACCGTGTATTTATTATACAGTGTGAGTCACGTTAAAGTGTACATATGAAAATAGATGAAACTAGACCTATTTTTATCGACAAAAAAGAGGTCAAAAAATTTTTGAGATTTTTTTTAATTTTTTATAGAATTTTTTTTCTTCCAATTACTTATTGTAAAGAAAACGTATTAACTTTTAAACTAAGCGGTATATCCTGATAAAATAAAAACAGTAATAATGCTAAATAACAGGCGATACTAAAAAAATACATAAAATACACAAAAAATGCCAACAAATAATAAAAAATGATACTTTTTGAAAAAAATCTGCTTTTAAATTCGTGTTTTTTTGGTTATTTGATAAATTTCTCCAAAAAATGCCCCTATAACAGGTGGTTTTTATTACTTTTTATTATTCTCTATCGTATTATCTTTGTAAAACCAAAAATCGCATGTCTCTATCCCTATCACAACATTTGCTATGAGCGTTTGAACAAAGGCCTGCCACAACATTATTCTCCGCTGCAGGTAGAGACAATTTTAATTTTAACTAAAATGCTTATTTTACTTCGAAATCTTTTGTTTTTATTTGAAATCTAACTTGTCTTTATCAAAATTACAAATCTAGAGCCATTTTCAGTTTTGTTGTTAACGAAGCGTTGAATGGCGCGCCCGGAGAGGCTTATACTCTGATTTTTAATTCGACGGAATTTTGACATTTCAGAAGTGTTGCTAACATTGAAACATTCCCACTAAGAATGGAGAGCATTTTCACAAATTAAAAAATAACCCTTTCTTGAATTTAAGGTTTCACTTGAAAAACTAAGGCTTAAAAATGTACTGATCATTTCAAAATGGTTATTTGAATTTTTATTATCATATTTTTGAAGTTACAAAAAAAATTGGGAATTTATTTTTCTATTACTGGACTCCCTGACCAATAATCCATGGGTTACAAACCTTTTTTATGAAAATCTTTTTGTTAATAAAATCTTAGCTTCATAAAATAACCAATTTAACAAGATGCCAATTTTATAATCCAAGTTGATTATGATACAAACGAAGCCAGAAATATAGCTTTGTTATGAGATAAGTTATGAGTGACCAAAACCTACTATCTATACCGTATGTAATCCTGTCTCACTCTATAATATTTTTATGTAGCCGCCTGAATAAACTTGAGTGAAAAAGTGTTTCCACTGTCTCAATTGCATAAAAAGCTTCAAAAAAATCATTTCATTCAGTTTCCATTTTGCCGAATAGGCGTGATTGACAATATATAACTGTCACCTAACACTTAGGCGGCCGAAAATCGGGCCCCTGTTTTAAAGTGCTCCCATAAGGCCTAAGGTGTCCCTTATGTGTTGGTGAAAACGAAATTCCTGTTGGGTATTACCTAATATTTCATAAAGGTCGCTTTAAAATTAGGGATTGATGGTGAAAACGGGCATTAGACTTCCGAGACACCACGCTACAGCGACAGCTCGCCTACACAGCGTACCCTACACGCCCCCCTTGTGGGGGTCCGACGGAAATGCCTGAAACGCCAAGCCGTTCCCGTCAGATGAAGGTGACAAGGGTGCCCCCGCACCCCCGGCCTGCGGCCGCCACCTGGGGGCAGAGTAGAACTGTCGTACAACCGCCTTCTACGCCCCCTTCTCCGCCTGCGGAGCGATGAGACGAGAAGAGCGTTCTCCCGCTCGCGCTCCACTGCCTCCTTCTGAAGGATGACCTCTTCGCAAAAGGAGGCAATCGCCTTCCAGCATCCTTCACTTCCCAGCATGGCGATGACCAGGCTCGGAAGCGAAAGATCCCGGCCCACGACCACAGTGAGGACACGGCGCTGCTCCTCCCAGCCTGTGCAGACCGCGAGGGTGTTACGAACCGAAGCTATGCCCGGTCATCACCTGCGCCAGACGGAACCTGAGGAACCCGTGCGGTCGTTCCAACCATTGGTCCAGAACAGGACAAATGGCGTCCAGAGTGCGGCGGCTAAACTGCGCGCGAGTCATGTCTTCGTGACGGCGCTGCACCGCTCCGGGCGCTTTCCACGCGCCTTCTGGTCTGCCATCCAGTGATAGATGACAGACAAGACCCCAGCTTCTAGCTCCCAAGGAGGAGTACCAGCGAGGACGCACGCCGCAGAGTGCCCTACCGTGCGGTAGGTCCTTGCGACCCTCTACGCTATGGCCCGCTGGGGTCTGCGCAGAAGGGCAGCATTCTCCCTCTTGTTGAGTGCGTCCACCCAGACTGGGGCGCCATACAGCGCCATGCTCCTCAGAACGCAGGCATAAAGTCGACGGCACCTCGTTTGTGGCCCTCCCAAATTCGGGAGGAGCCAACTCAGTGCGCCGGCTGCCTTGAGGAGGCGTGGCGCTAGCCCGTTTAAGTGCGGGCTAAAATGCCACCTCCCGTAAAGCGTGAGGCCCAGATATCTCATCTGGCCTTTGACGTCAATCCTAACTTCCTCAACGCGTCAAGAGGGGCGCGCTGGCGAGGCCCCGGAAAGAAGAGGGCCTCAGTCTTCTCCAGCGCGACTTTCAGGCCGAGGCGTCGTATTCTGCGAGCAACTAATATGCCGCCCGCCAACGCCAGCCATGACGCGGCCCCAAATGTCTTCCCCGGGCAATGACCAGAGTCAAAGTCAANATTTATCAAAATTACAAATCTAGAGCCATTTGCAGTTTCGTGGTTAACGAAGCGTTGAATGGCGCGCCCGGAGAGGCTTAGTTCAAACGATCATAGTAAATGTTGTGATAGGGATAGAGCAGGGCCGGATTAACCATCTCGGGGCCCCTAGGCACAGCTCGTTTCGGGCCCCCCTTTTTTTTGTCACGGAGGAAATGCTTTGCGCACCGTCACCACTGCCGGGGGACAGGGTGGTATGTGGGACTCCCGGCGCCCTAAAAAGGGAAAAGGACGGGGTATACCCACTAAAACCTCCGCGGCGTTCCGTGGTCGTAGGCCGAGTGGGGGTGTCTCGAGTATCCGGCCGTAGCCTTATG